CACAAGAAAAATTTCCCCTTTCTTCCCTACCTTTTTCCACATATCCAAGCACTTGAAAACAATATGATACAAAATGGCCGTTCCAGTCGATGAAATGTTTCCAGTTTCTAGCTACACGCAGTGACGCAACCAGTCTGTAGGATTTGTTCCTCCAATGGAAATTTCAGAACATCGTTATTAACATTATAGTGAGTGAACAAAAAAGTTAACACACAGCAGAACTAAATAAACGGGCTGGCTACGATATTGGCCAGTGGCTACATTATCCAATGAAATCTTAGATCGGATGCCATGCGACGTTTCAAGAAAGTTTTAAAAATCTCCCTTTATCAGCGGTTTTCTTTCAATCAATGACTTTGTAAATTTCATGATTTGACAAGTGTAATACGATAAAATAATGAAAAACGTTTAATATTCTCTGGCATCTAAGAAATTTCTCTTTCAACCCTTTAGAAAACCCTCTGTCGGATACAAATTCAGCCACCGTCTCACATGCAAGAACGTGGCTGTTCATCTTGTGCTATTGTTTGGTGGTCTGTTATGTGGCACAATAAGTCCGAGCCACCAATGTCCTGAACATACAACACCTGATTATTTTAAGCTTCGAAAGCATTGAAAAGATTATCATTGACAGTGACAAAAAAATTTTCAAACTACAGAGTAGTATAGCAATTTTATAGTTTAAAATTTTATTGGTAAATATGTCTTTTCACATTACAAGGAAGATACCCTGCATCATGTGAAATAGCGTATCCGGGGTAGGTCAGAATACTGAATACGCTTCCAAACATATAATTTAACATACTTCAAAATAAACCAGTATTTTAGCCTATCCTGGATCGCACGTATTACGTAAACCAGGTGCCATAAGATGTAACATTGAAGTAAAAGCCATGAAATCCCCTGGTCTGTATTTCTTATTTCTTATTTCCCCTCGAGGTTTAAAATATGGAAGAGAAGAAATGATACAAGGTAGTCCTTTTAGGGCACAAAAGGAACAACGTAGATGCTTTTAGAAAGAACTTTTGCCATGCAAAAATCCATTAAATAGGAGATTAAGGGCGATCTTTTAGTAAAAGCAGACACTTGAAGTTATACATTATGTTTGTAAAATTGATAAATGGTTATTCCTACGATGCAAACTTTTGGTTGTAGCAACATTTTGATAACGTTCTTTAGTATGTTCAATCAATTAATGTATATGTTGTAAAGGAGTATTGACAATTTATTTAATTGATTCGATATCTTTGCATGTTGTATATGAAATATGCCTTAAAGTAATGAAAAATGGTTATTCCTACGATGCAAACTTTTGGTTGTAGCAACATTTTGATAACGTTCTTTAGTATGTTCAATCAATTAATGTATATATTGTAAAGGAGTATTGACAATTTATTTAATTGATTCGATATCTTTGCATGTTGTATATGAAATATGCCTTAAAGTAATGAAAAGTGGATTTTAGTGATTGGGAAAGGTTGCTTGCTGCCTTTTCGCTTATCAGTAAATAATCCTCAACATAAGCACAAGCACAGCTACTTGATACGAAAGACAAAAGCAAATTGTAAAGAAAATTCTTATTGTTTTGTTTCCTCCAACCTCTGGAGAATATGCTTTACTTTGTAAGAGCAACAAAAAGAGTTGAATTCATTTTTCTGATGATTACAAGACATAAATAAACAATTTACCGCAAGAAGACAATACGATAATTCAGGAGCTTAATATATTCAAAATTATTAGATTTAAACAAAAAATTAAATGAATGCTCATTCAGCAATGAAACAATAGCGCTCAATCTTTAGATTTACTATTTCTTTGTATATTGTACAAATGTATGTTCTTCGTATTACTTCAAACCAATCATATACTCTGATCATGCTGGTGGATAGCAATCATATATTTTTGAACAACCCTGTCTGTTATTATCCGTTTGGTGATTGTCGAGTGAGGATGTCTAGCTGTTAAAACAAAATTTTCGCTGTGTTGTGAAAGTTTGGTAAAGTTCAAAGATAGTAACTGGTTTGAGCTATGTTATATAAATGCCATGTTTTGTGATAATACAAGATGAATCCATGAAGTGTCAGAAGCTGTGTTTCATGATAATAGCTTAATAACTACAACGCCATGGCTTTTGATTCGGTTGAAGAGAAGAGAAGTCCTTTGTCAAGCCCAAAAGAAGATGGGCGGCGATAATTGATCTATCGTTCGGAAGATCTTGGCGTGAGATCGTTGATACTTTGCGTTATAGCTGCTTAAATTACGAGTTTGAAGATGTCATGGTAAGGTTTACGACGTAGTTAAATGGGAGAAGCAAAATCAGTTTTCAAAAGAAAGCATTTAAAGAGTAATTAAGAACGTAATGCTCTATGACTTGTATTCAAAAACTGGGGTCATGACGTTAGTTAATATCATCTTGTTAAACGATCTGTGTTTTCATGCAAACTGCCGTTAACTAAAATGATTGCCTAAAAGAACCGCAGATCGACCTTATTAAGTTTTCCGTTTAAAAACTATGATTCTTTAATTTAACGAACGCTGATGATGATGATGCCAGCTTTACAATAGTGCATTAAGCATGAGCAAGAAATCTTAATAGTCCGGAGGATAAGCTCCGAAAATTGGTCAGATTGTTCAAACATGTGAAGAAAGCATGAAACTTACCACAAATTGCTAATTTGATTTATAGATCAAAATAAAAGTGAGACCCCAGCAGGATCAGCTTGTTTAGGGTACTTTTGAGCCGATTAAAAGTTTGGTCAGCGGCTTAAATCGCGGGCTTAATGAGGCTTTTATAAAACCGTTTTAAATATAAAATGTTAAATAAAAATGTTGTATTTTATATAAAACAACAAAACACCATGAAAATTCCGGTAAAATTAATTAATTGTCGAAAGTTACCCTTTTAAAGGTTATTTCGAAAACTGCATAAATTTTGGGCTCCTGTGGCAAAAGCCTGGTCGCCTAGTTAATTTGGCATTTCCAGACGATATAGTGCTATTTCTCGATAATTTTTTGATTATTTTTCGCTTTTAAAATGTCTTTAAACTGGAACCTTTGTGCCTTATGTCAAAAGACACAAAGAAAAGATTTTATGTCCGGAAAAGCTTCAAATACTTTACTTGCTGGCTCAAGTTACAAGACAATTGCAGAAAACTTGAAAGAATTCGAGAAACTTGATTCGCTACCTATTAACATTCCACTTTCTTCTCTTGATGATGGCAGAGGTAAGGAATTCCTAATCAATTAAAAGTGAAATAAACTCACAGATCAACTATGAGCCATAAATTGTACTTATTTAGCCTTATAATAATACTTTAACAGGCATTGAAAATACTTTAAGAAATCACAGAGCATCATGGCACAAATCGTGCTATAATAAATGCAATACGCTAAAGCTTCAGCGGGCACAAAAGCGCAAAAGTGAAGAGGAATTTTCAACTGAGGATCCAGCAATATTAGGAGCTACTAGTCCAGCTAAAACAAGAAGAAAGACATTTGAATTGTCAAGTAAGAGTAGCAATGCTTTATCATGTTTTTCTGTGATTGCACAGAGGGTGATTTGCATAAAGCAGAAACCATGTCAATTACCAATAATGTTCAATCAGCGGCCGAGACGCTTCAAGATTACAAACTGTTAGCAAAATTAGCACAAGGTGATATGCATGCAAGAGATGCATATTACCATAAATCATGCTTGACATCTCTCTATAACCGTCAGAGAAGCAAATTAAACCAACCACAAGATAGTGCTGTTGATGATAAAAATGAAATAACACCTGAGGCAATAGCCCTTGCAGAATTAAGCCTATATATTAGTGAAAGCCTGGCAGCTGGTGAAGCAGTTTTCAAGATGTCTCAATTGTCAGAGCTCTATTGTTCAAGACTTGAACAATTAGGAGTAGAAGTGAAAGGACGTATCAACTCCACAAGACTGAAAGAACGACTTCTCACTCAAATACCAGAGCTGCATGCATTTAAAGATGGTAAAGATGTGAAGCTGGCAATGCCAAATGATATTGGAACAGCTATGGCTTTTGTACACAATAGGAACCTAGACACCGCTGCATTGTACCTTGCAAAAGCTGCTAGTATAGTACGAAAAAAAATGTTCTTGAAAAGGGAACCCTTTGAAGGCACGTTTACACCAGAATGCCAACAACAAGCAGTCCCCGATAGTTTACTTGCCCTGATAAATATGATTTTAGAGGGTCCAAATATAAATAATCAAAAGAAACAAGAGGTGTCAGGAGCCAGTGCCGCTTTAACGATTTCCCAACTGCTAATATTTAATTCAGTAAAGCATGTACGATCAGGTGCTAGCAATGCCATTCGACATGACAAGTCAAGAGAGACACCATTAACCACTTCCACGGCGCTCGTTGTCCATGCAGAAACAAGAAAAAACATTGGTCGACAAGTTTTATAAGCTAGGTCTTTGCATTTCTTATGACAGACTAATGCAGATATCTGCAGATCTGGGAAACAAGTGTTGCAAACTGTATGAGAAGGAGGGTGTTGTATGTCCTCCAAAATTAAGAAAGAATATCTTTACTACAGGCCAAGTTGACAATATCGATCACAATCCGTCCTCAAGAACCGCTAAAATTCATTTCATGGAACAGCAATTTCCTTACACAACATCCTTCTCTTGACTCACAAGGAGAAGAACGAGAACAAGTGCCACAGGATAACACTCCCACAAAGTCAAAGGTCGTCAACAGTTTACCTGAATTCTATACAACTGTAACTCCTGTCACAGATGAAGGTAAAAGGATCTCTTTGTCCCAAAGTCACTGGCTCTTTTAAACCTAAACAAGACCTGATAAATAAAAGCATCAAGGAAGAGGAGAAATGGCTAAAAAGGGTCGACGAACTTTTACTCAAAGAAAAGCTTGAAGAAAAGGATTACTTATCATGGTCAGCTTACTTTGCATCTGAGCAAAACGTAGTTTTGAGGCCCAATGCAATCACCTCTTTATTGCCACTTTTGAAGACAATGCTCATACTATGGCTATGATAAAGCATGCAATGAAAACCGTCAAAGAATCTACTAAGTTCTTAAACCCTAATCAAACTCCTGTTATAGCGATGGACCAACCACTCTATGCACTCGCTAAGCAAATACAGTGGAACAACAAAAATGAATTCGGTGAAGATAAGTACATGGTAATGATGGGTGGCCTGCATATTGAGATGGCAATATTAAAGATGATTGGACATTGGTTAACTAACAGTGGGTGGGCAAGGTATGGTGTAGATTTGTTGTTTTATAATCTCAATCTAATAACTAACATATATTTTACTTTGAAGTGCTCTAATTCATGCTGAGGTTATGACAAGTGGAAGAGCGGATTCTGTTTTGAAAGGATCGCACGTGACGAGATCTCGCTATGTCCACCAAGTAAGTGCCTGTGCAATTTACCTTATGCAGAAAATTGCTTACCAGGAGTACATCGAAAGTTGTGAAGACAAGCCCCAAAAGTTATGAAGCTTGGATAAAAGAACAAAGTGAGCTTTGCCCGCAATTCAAATACTGGGCGACAGTATTAGACCTCGAAATTCTTCTACTGCAGTTTGTTAAGGCTACCAGAGGGTAACTTCCAAGTCTACTTACAAGTGCTTGGAAAGGTACTTCCTTGGTTTTGCGATGAACTTGTCTAACTACTCTAGATGGTTGCCAGTACATGTGAGAGATCTCTTACGATTAGAAAACGCATCCTACTCTTTTTACAGAGTTTAGTGCACATGGAAAATTTGTGGTTCAGAAGTCCCAACATCGTTTTTCTATGATGTCCCTTGACCAAAACCACGAGCAAGAGAACGAAATGATAAAAGGTGATGGTGGAGCAGTGGGCCTCACCGAGTGCCCAACGGCCCTAAGACGTTGGATGATCGCAGGACCTGAAATTGCAAGACTGGTAAGAGAGTTTGAGTGTTCCTTTGGCGTTCAGTGTTCTACAAAGAACATTACTCACCACGAACAGACACCATCTGTCCAAAAGAACTTTGCAAAAGATGTAAAATCAATGTCTGCTGCATTAAAGGAGTTTGGAAACCCTTTATGGAAAATAGCAAGGATCTGATTGTCGTAGATACGAAAGAAATAGAGCCTGAGTGTGTTATAGAGTCGATTTATACAGCTCGAAAGATCGGAGAAGCACAATACACTAAGTACGTCGAAGAGAGACTTGAAAAGTGTAACACACCAATAACTGACACAATTGAACGCAATAAGCTTCCACTTTTTGGAACATCAGTACCAACGACAACCAACAAGACGAAACTTCAAGTCACAACATTAAAGAATGACTGCAATCTTTTGCAAGGTTGTACATTGCTTGTCAGTCAAGAGAAGGAATCTCCAAGAATTTTTAAGCATGAAAACCAGAGTACTCCTCCTTCATTATCATCAGGGGACAAGATGCGAAGTGGCCAGAAATCAGAATTGATTGATTGTCTCGAAGCTGATGTGCAGACCACCTGTCCAAATGTTGATGTCAAAATCTTGGATGCCGCAGCTATTGTAAACATGCTTAGCCCAGGGAAGTGTAAGACCTTTCAAGAATACTCCAAATCAGTGTTTGTTCCTTATATTGTTCAACAAGCAAATGGTATTAGAAGAATAGATCTTGTTTGGGACCGTTATATACCCGACAGCCTTAAGCAGGGTACTCGTTCATCGCGAGGCGCTGTAGGGGCAAGAAGAAGAGTATGTGACATGGCTGTGATCCCTGCAAACTGGAAATCATTTTAAGATCAGATGACAACAAACAAGAACTTTTCAAGTACCTCAGTCAGGCAGCAACATCGATTCAACTGCCAAATGTTACAATTGTAAGCACTTTTGAGGAAGACATAATAAGTTCGAAGCCAATCGAAAAGATGAGTTAGCTCCCTGCAATCACGAGGAGGCCGATACGCGCATTTTCATTCATGCAAACCATGCAGCGAAAGGTGGAATGAGGAAAATTGTCATAAGAACTGTAGACACAGATGTTGTTGTGTTAGCAATAGCAAACGTGCACAAGTTAGATGTAGATGAACTTTGGATTGCTTTTGGTGTTGGTAAACACATGAGGTACTTACCAATTCATAACATTACACAAAGCTCGTTGAGTAGGGAGCAATGTGAAGCCCTACCCTTCTTTCATGCTGTCACTGGTTGTGATACTGTGTCGTTCTTTGCTGGAAAAGGTAAAAAGACTGCATTTCAAGCCTGGAAGTCTTTTCCTGATGTTACCAGTGTGTTTCAGCTTCTTTCATCTCCAAAAGAATCCATCTCAGAAGATGAAGAAATGGAAAAATTGAAAGATTTATCATTATTATGTATTCCCGCACATGCCCGCTCTCCAACATCAATGATGCTAGACAAGCTATATTTGCACAAGGTACTAAGACAATCGACCACATTCCACCAACCCAAGCCTCCTTGGTACAGCACATTCGGAGGGCAACATATCAGGCTGGTCATGTTTGGGGTCAGTCGTTAGTTTCAGTTCAACAGTTACCGCTTCCTTCGCAGTGGGGATGGCAAAATAATGGCAGATGGATTCCTACATGGAGCACTCTTCCAGAGGCTTCCAAAGCGTGCAACGAACTGGTGCACTGTGGTTGCAAGAAAGCATGTAGGGGCTTGTGCAAATGTACCAAGTCAATCTTCCATGCACAGCATTGTGCAAATGTGGTGGTAGCTGTTACCAAGATTAATAAGTAAGTAATATTCCCTAAATAATCCCGAAAATGAATCAAAAGAATACACTGCAGTGAAGACGACAGGTGATACAATATCATTATTAAACATTTTCATGCTCTTGTAAAAATTTAATAACACCAATAAATCAAGAAATCCCAAATATTCTTCTCATTTTTTTATTGAAAGTATGTGAAATTTACTGGTATTAATGACAATTTATACGAATTATATATCGCTTAATAATACTTACTTCCAAGAGGATATAAATGCGATGAGAACTAAATTGTTTTGTCGATTTTCTTTTTATTTGAAATGGGATCCCTGTGCCTTTACTATTAAAATATATGGCAAAATTTATTGATAATTTTCTCGGAAACAAAAAGGTATTTTGCTGGGGTCTCACCTCTATTTTAATTTCATTGATAAACCAATGCAAAATAGTGAATTTGAGACTTTCTTCATGAATTTGAACAATGCTAGGTCTTATACTCCGGACTATAAGTTTTCTTTTCTCGTGGGACTAAAAGACAAAGAAAACGGAATGTTATGTTCATTTTTTGCATAGTTTAAGCCTAGTTTTCACTACTAACTTCATAAACATAAGCGAGAAAACAAAGCAGATCATGTATTCTCATGGAGGAAACAAAAAAATAGAAATTTTCTTTTCAGTTTTCTTTTGTTTGACCTTACGCTTCTGTCAAGTTGCTTTGCTTATATGCTTGTGCTTTATGCCAATGCTGCATGCCTCACTTGTTGTCTTAATCTAACTTTAGATCAAGAATTGTGTTTGTGCTCATTTCAATTTGTGTCTTATTATTATGAGTGTTTACCTGACGGGTCTTACAAAGAACATCCTCCCTCTTGTTTAACTTTGTTACTGGAAACTGCTTTGCAGATATCAAAACCATCTTTCACAACAATCGGCTGAGAACTTCAGTTTAAAACCAATTAATGCATCAAAATACGAATACCATAATGGACGAGTGGGAACCTCTGAAGTTAAACGGGAAAGATGGCAGTGAAGTGAGTCATATCACAAAGTATATAACAATTAAAAGGAGAAAGATGAGCAAACTAAATTAGTGAGTTCCCTCGCTCTCTAAATTAGGGAAGAAGTTCTTCGAAAAAGTTGATAAATTCCAAAATAGACTTCTGCCAACTATTTTGGAATTTCCTTTTTTGTAATTAAAATATAGGATGCTTAGTATATAGTATAAAGTGTGTTGGAATCAGGACACCAAGTATTTGAAACATTCAACAAAATGACAATAAAAAATATGATTGGCTTATTCATGGAAGTAGTAAGTGGTTGTACAGTGTATTAAATTTAATGGAAACGGCTGTGTGATCAATACGATGCTAATTTAGTTGGTCGTATAGTGGGTTGTTTTGTTAAGATTGACATTGTCAGTCATGTACGGAATGCCAAGAAACATCACCTATGAAATTCACTTCAAGATAACTTTACACGTGTGTATGTTCAAAAGGTTCTTTCGGATCAATGTAATAATTTGCAATAAGATTTTAACGTGACATCTTTTCTAAAATATATTGAAACTTGTCTGTAATTATTGTCAGGAGACAATATCATGAAATATGCGATAGTCTTTAGACTTGCAACATCAAGGATCCATTTCTGACTAAGGTTGGAATTACGAATTATTTTTTACGATACTCGTCAAGAAGAAGCAAAAACGCCCTGGCAAAAGAGTTATTGAAAGAGGATTTACATAATTGAATATGTGCTCCCCACACACACACAACAGTGGAGCCACTAGTAACTGCTTCCCACCCATATTCAACTAAGTGCATTTCCTTCCCAATTATTGTATCGATGTTATCAGGGCGGTTGAGCCGTAACCATTGAGTTCTATAATAACCATTGAGTTATTATAGAACTCAATGGCCGTAACTAGCATGAGGTAAACGTGGCACATGCCTCGGTTAAATTTGACAACATTTTTTTGCTAATGCTTCCATTTACAAATATTCTTTATGCAATGAGCTTTGAGAATGATTAAGCTATGAACTACACTGTTATTAAATGTTTCTTCGCCATGTCAAGTTACCGACCTTTCATAGCCCTTAAGTGTTAGTTACATGCTGTATTTTTATAAATTCTGACCAAGAAAACAACACGAAAAGAATTGAGATTGCAGATGGCATATACTTGCATAGTATGTTCATATCTTTTAAAAATTTGTTTCCTGAGTATGCTTTAGCTTTTTTAAGTAAACAACATCGTCAAATTGCTCTGAAAAATGAGATCTTTTTTCCGAGCAATGGCGATCAATGGCTTCGGTAACCAAAATAAGGTCTGCACACGTTCCCTGTTTATATATCATTTATATAGGTAAAAATTCATGTACACAGTTTTGTGGTTTCGGTATTTCAAGAATATTTAACTCGGAGGTTTTAGGAAATTTGTTTTACTGTACGCGTGGAGACGGTGAGAGCCGAGCCCTGCATCACCTGCTCATCGCCTTCTTTTTGAAGGCCATTTTGATTTTTGATTTGAGATGCTTCGGAGTGCGGTTCTTTTGAAGACGTTGGCTCTTTTTGGTATGTAAAAATACATTTATTTTACGTAATATTTCAGTAGTATTACTTCCTTGTATTATTTTCGTCTCATGCTTGTTTTAAATTGATAATTCAGGCTGTTTATGTGTTTATGATTTGATTTGATAATTGAGTTAAAAAGCGCCTGGTTTGAGTTGACGTGTTGTAAAAGCATGTGCTTATAGCTAGTTTCTTCTGACGTAAGGTTTGCTTCTTCACGCGTAGTATTGAAAGTAATTTAATGTAGAACAATTTACTCTAAAGCAGTTGCCTGAATAAACGCTGAGATGTTCCATGTGCAAAAAGGCTAGAGTGTTGGAAATTAAAAAGTTCCTCCATTGATGAAAATTTTAATAACGTCCAAACTGTTTGTGCACAACGATCATCCTTTAAGAGTAAATTAATAATACTTAACCACCATATGCTCATAACTCAACAATAATTTAAAAAGGTGTGATTTACATGAGAGTCTAGATGTTCCTCGAAAGATACATAGGAAGTGAAAGTTGTCGTTGGTAACTCCTTGTAATTCTTCATTTATCATCAATACATCTGTTCACAACACTGCAGTTCTAAATTATATCCAGAATTTCCAGAAGCTTGATCTGCTCAACTTAATTGGCTCAATTTTTGTGCTTATAATCGACCATTTCATTAACAAAATCTGTTTTCCTTTTCAATGTTTTGTGATATCTTTTAACTTGAAGTATATTTTTAATCCCTTTACTACTTCATTCAATGTTTCCCAGTACGAAGTCAATTGCATTAATTCAATTCATTTTATATCCATTCCAAAATAGATTGTGATACATATTTTTCCAAATATTTTCTCCTCTGTTATACAAATGAGGATTGTGAGATATCCATACTTTTACCCTTATCCTTTCCATATTCACCAATAAAAGAGCCGTTTAGAAGTCGTCATCAGAACCACCATATTCCTCCAAACTGTCATTGTCTTTCAATAAGGGGTCTTTGTATTGTGGAACAGTAGCATTGCTTGCATTTTGTCTTTGTGGAGGTGCAAAGGTCCTTCAATGGAGAAATATTTTTTTAAAAATATTCTTGCCTTACTCCAAAGGAATGAAAGTGAGATTTACATGGGTAGGAAAGGGTGGATGTGCAGAAGAATGGCCCCAAATAAATGATTTCAAAGTATGGGTAAAGGCACTATGAGAGGGAGATTTTACATTTGTATGTTGGGAGACAAGTAAATTTGAACACATAAGCATTTTAGGTAAAGGATTTTTTCTCTACATTGGTGTTTGCATGTTACTCAAAAAGTAAAAGGTTTGTAAATATGATTTGAGATGGTTAACCGACTTGCTTCAAGCAAAATTTTATAAGAAAGTGAGGACATTGAATAATCTTGTCTTTTTATTATTGAATTTACATTTAATTTAGAGATGCTTATATGATCAGTTTATGTATTAGTCAATATGTTTAGCGTTAGATACTTGTACAGTAGATTAATATACAACAAGGTCCAGAAATATAACTCTGTGACTTAGAGTGTTTTTTCTGCCTTATGCGGTAGAGATGGATTGTTTGTGTATTACAATTATAATTTGTTTATTGTTGTACATTTTCATGATAATTGATTAATTATGTTAATAAAAATCTGTCATTAGATTGCATAATTAATACATGTTAAGAAAAATCTTAACGTTATGGAATGTGGCCTTGATCAAATGGAAACACTTTTACGCAATGTTAGCGAACAAACAAACAGCCAACTTATATCTGACAGTGATAATCCAATGAAGTTATTGAAAACAATGCTTGATAATTTGCAGTTGTTGAAATTGTTAATTTCTTAATTCATGAAGACCTGAACCAAGCCATAGTCCTCTACTTTCGATTAACAATTTTGATGAAAAATTATTAGGTTAGGAAGTTTGGACTGTCTGTTACAAAAATACTTACACTTCAGGTTCCGTGAAAGTTTGTTCATCCCCCATTTCAAGTGTATCATATACTTTACGCTTTCTTTCTCGATCACTCACTAAAATATGTACACAAAACAACGCCTTTAGGTGCGGTTGGCATAGCATTGCTATGGTTTTGATTAGTTACTTGGATATTTCTACATTGTCACTGTTTCAGTATTGAAAGAGCAACAACGGAGCGTAGCCAGCCTGCAAGTTTAGTCGTGCTTTGTAAATTTCTCCACAAAAGCGTTGTTCATTTCTCTAGAAAGTTAGTGTTTTTACAGTGAGTTGACGCCAAAATATTTACATAACATGAACAAACTTGGGGGTTAGCCACGCCACTGCACTCTTACATGTGTGACACGAATTTTACACAATTTCTAAAATAAAAATTTCCCCTGAATTTTTTTGTTGTTGACCATTACGTTTTCATGCGCCTGCATTCTAAATCTACCGTGTATTTACGAAAAAATTCTCACGAGATACAAAAATATTTGAGCTTGCGTTATATTATAGGCCGCGTTGGATATTAAGAGTCCTTTTGTAACAGTATTTCCACTGTGAAAGAAAAAATAAGAACAGTGAAAGGAATCGTGTTTTTTAAAAGTGGAAACACTGCCATGTAACGATAAGTTATTGTCAATCAACATCAGTCGAAATATTTGCAAACCATTGTATGTCTGTTTAGGTTTTCGTCGAAGGTACAAAAGCAATAGGAGGAGAAGCAACAGCAGCAGTATGAGGATAAGAATGATGTAGAACCAAACTTCACGGTATATTGGTGAGCTGTCGTCCTTTAGTTCTAAAAAATGAATGAAGAACAATGTCACAGCTTAGTATCTACAAGACTTAAGTATCTAGACAACGCTAACAACGATGATTATTCTCGTAAATGGCTAAACGCAACGAGGTTAGTGTCATATTCGCAATCGTCGGTAAGATGAAAAACATCTTATGCGTAAATACATCAAATACGGACAAAAAAGCATAATCCGAAAAAAATATATTTTCTATTCTCAAATTCAATTCGTAAACAAGGAACAACTTTGAACTTTAAGTTTCATTCGTATCCGTCGTTTATGGCTTGAATTCGTGTTAAAAGATCTTTTTTTTCGAATTTTGTTTTTTCTATGTGTAATGCTGTTCATCGAATCGAACAATGTTGGGTCCACATTGTTAATAGTCAACTGCGAACAATTCGGCAGCATAACATTGTTTAATTCCGTTTTTCAGCAAGTTTTTATCCGTGCATAAGACGCACAATAAAATTGGAATGCGCAGTTAAAAAGTTCTGTGAGGGAACCACATTTTTCTAAATCGACAAACTTGCTCTTTACCTCTTATGGAAATTGTGCGTCCTTCAGCAAAATCACTCCAGTTGCTTTTCAAGTCACCGTTGGTGACAACAGTTGCAAACAAGTAAACTTTGGTATCGTCCAAATCATTAATCTGGATGAACGATTTTTGTCCATTTTTTTTGATTTCGATGGCATCCGTATCCTTTAAGTTTTTATCATCTTCTCCTGTTGAAAAAAGAATTTGTATTTATATGCAAAAAACTGATTTCTAACTAACTACCCTGACAGAATAGATGCTTAAAAACTCTTTCTGAAGTTATGAATTTGACCAAATATGCATGGCATTTGTGGAACTATTGTAACTATGCTCAAAAATTCAAAAGAATTTTCGCAATACACGCGACGCAAGTCAAAACTGAGATGTTGTCAAAGGTTAAGTATTGCGTTGCATCTTCGTGATTCATTGGCAGTCATTCGCGAAAGGATTTGTGATGCGTTTATCAAGCACTCATACAATTTCGGTAATGTTCGACATAACATGTGTCACATAATGTTGCTAACGTAGGAAATAACTACGGACCTTTTTCTTTATAAACAATGTAGAATTTTTCCGGGTATCCGCCTTCCTTTGAGCTCGGAACGTAGGTGACATTGACACTATCTTCGTCGATGGCTTCAACTATTGGTGGACGTGCCACTGCCGGAGCTACGAAAAAGAATAAATTATATGTTTGATGTCATGCTAGCAAAAAAATCCCCATTTGCGTCTTGGTAAAAATACACGTTTTGTGGTTTTGAAAATTACACGCGTGAATCCATGGGCATTTTGATGTTTTCATATTTTTGATGTTGCGTTGTTTTGTGTTAAGTTATCTTGTGTTACGTGAGGTTGCGTAAGGTTATGATTATTAAAATAATTTCTCACTTCTCATGTCTGTCGTGCGGGCAGAAGTTGAAACGGCTTCTCCTGAGCCTGCGTTTGTTTCTGCGGTTATAAACACAACGTACTCTGTCTTGGGCTGTAACTTGTTGAATAAATATTCGAGAACACGACTTCCTACTGTAAAGGAAGAGCTATTGATCCTTAGTTGGTAACCAACAATAATACCGTTAGCCTCGATCGGTGGTTTCCATTGCACGTGCAAATAACGTCCGTATGACGTCACGCTTACGTCATGTACCACTCCGGGTTTTCCTTCCTTTGTGGACACTTTAATATGATTACTTTTTGGTCCCGGGCCAATTTGGTTGTAAGCTTGCAAGTACATGGTGTAGTTCTTAAATGGTTGCAAGTCTCCCTGTCTGTATTGGGTCGTCATTACGTTTTTGATAAAGGTTACGCACGCGTTCTTTTCTCCCACACACGAACTAACCGCGCGTTTTACGCGTGTCTTACTCCCGTCTTCGTACCAATAGCTTAGCTGAAAGAAATGTGGCATGTCGAGTCAGATAAAAATTTAGACAAGATTGTCATGGAAAAAAACATATTTTTTCGATGGACAGCGAGTTGTTTTGTTGTAAGTGTAAATACGTAGCACGTCATTTCGTTAATATTCCTATGTGTATTTCATGTTCATTTTAAAATGAAGCTCAACAAGCAGGAAACATTACTTACTATAAAACCCTATTGAAACTACTAATGCATTGGACTGTTTTCAAATCATGTAACTACCAACTTTTATAGACATTTGGTAGTTGTTTTGCAAAACTAGTTCGGTATTTATCACAGCAAAGGAGCTCCTCCTGGTTTCTAAAGAACCTTCAATGTTTTTTTTGTATTCGTTTGTTTTGTTATCTAAACATTCGTAAAGATACAGTTGAAGGCATTGTCGTCTTTCCCAAATCAGCACATTAGTAAAATAAAAACTTTGCCGTAGTGACAAATTTAAAAGTTACCCTAAAAAAGAGCAAATACCATGGTGAATGGTCAAAATAATGACGTAATAGTTCTAAAAAGAACTGTTTAAAACCAGAACACTATCCCAGCAATTCTAAAAGAACTGTTTTTAAACCTGAAAAACACAGTTCGTCAGCTTTAAAACAGTTCTTTTAGAACTATTGGGTTAGTGTTCTGGTTTTAAATAGTTCTTTTAGAATTATTGGATTAGTGTTCTGGTTTTAAATAGTTCTTTTAGAATTATTGGATTAGTGTTCTGGTTTTAAATAGTTCTTTTAGAATTATTGGATTAGTGTTCTGGTTTTAAATAGTTCTTTTAGAATTATTGGGTTAGTGTTCTGGTTTTAAATAGTTCTTTTAGAATTATTGGATTAGTGTTCTGGTTTTAAATAGTTCTTTTAGAATTATTGGGTTAGTGTTCTGGTTTTAAATAGTTCTTTTAGAATTATTGGGTTAGTGTTCTGGTTTTAAATAGTTCTTTTAGAATTATTGGGTTAGTGTTCTGCTTTTAAATAGTTCTTTTAGAATTATTGGATTAGTGTTCTGGTTTTAAATAGTTCTTTTAGAATTATTGGGTTAGTGTTCTGGTTTTAAATAGTTCTTTTAGAATTATTGAATTAGTGTTCTGGTTTTAAATAGTTCTTTTAGAATTATTGGGTTAGTGTTCTGGTTTTAAATAGTTCTTTTAGAATTATTGAATTAGTGTTCTGGTTTTAAACAGTTCTTTTAGAATTATTGAATTAGTGTTCTGGTTTTGAATAGTTCTTTTAGAATTATTGGGTTAGTGTTCTGGTTTTAAATAGTTCTTTTAGAATTATTGGGTTAGTGTTCTGGTTTTAAATAGTTCTTTTAGAATTATTGAATTAGTGTTCTGGTTTTAAACAGTTCTTTTAAGAACTATTACGTTATTATTTTGGACATTCGCTATGGTATTTGCTCTTTCTAAAACAATTTTTAAATCAGCACATTGGTACATTTCTGCGAATAATCAAGATCATCACGATTCATTCTTTAGTGTGAATTTTTTTGTATTTGAAAAAGCTCGAAGTTCATCTTTGATTTTATTGAATTTTTATCGAAAGTGAAATGGTTCATTTTATTTGCCGTACGCGAATTTTAACTCCAGCGAAAGTAAAAAATATGCAATGACCCTGCTATGTATGTGATTTATAGTATGTTGAAACCACGCTCCTAAAGGTCCGTTCACACTGGAGGCAGGAAGCGGAGCTCAAACCGTATGCTGTAACTCGTCCAATTTAGCCTTCTATATTTTATATTATGTCGTACACACTGAGTGCAGCGTTACGGCTTTGCTAACTACGTTAGAGGCTAAATTGGACGAGTTACAGCATACGGTTTCAGCGCCGCTTCAAGCTTCAGTGCGAACGGACCTCAAGAATGAAAGCGATGATAAAATCGCCACTGATTTTGAAATATGTCACAAATTTTTGTTCTCATGTATCATAATTGTATACTAACTCCCTTCCATAACATACCTTGTATCCCTCGATCGGCCCATGAACTGAGTCCCATTTCAGCAAAACGTAGTCGGATCCAATTTCCTTATGCTTGAACGATTTTGGGGCCACCGTAGGTGCTGTCGTTATGAAGGAAAGAGAAGTTGAGCGAGTTGCCATTAAATGCGATGATTTTTAATGACTTTACCTTCGCTTGCTGATCTTTTAATAGGGCACTCTGGGCCATTTCCCTTCGCATTTATGCTTTGCACTTGAATTGCCCACTGCTCATCGACGCTCATGTTCATTAGTATGTACTCTTTTCCATAAACTAATTCGTGTTTCCACTTCGATGCGGTTATTCGGTAGCTCACGTTGTACCCAAAGCCTGGACCATTTTCATAAATCTTTGGTACTGCCTGAAATGTATCGTTAGTTGTTCATAATTAGTTTTCTCTCGTTCCGAAAGAGCGGGCGTCGTTCATAGTGACATGAATAAAGTAAGGTGATTATGGTTTGGAAGAGGTTGAAGCATAAATTGATGTAAAGTTGTAGATTCTCAACATATATTTTAAAGCTCAACAAATAGTTTTTAGCATAGCCATATAAAATTTGGTTTTATAAAATTTATTGAAAGAGTGACGTTTCGTCTTGACTCAACACATTTTCAGACTAATAAGAAAGTTAACAAGAATTATAGATCTTGATGATGGATCCCCGAAAACCTCTTCATCTCCAAACTAAGGCCTTGACTTGACACCAAAGGCAGTTCCATCCCTCTTAAGCTTTTCCAGTCTTAACACCTCACCCTAACCATACAACACATCGCACTTACACATCCACAGTAATCTGATACCTCGAATTATATAAATAACAACGTTTCCCGCCTTGCAACAATATTGGTAAAGTTGTGGTTCGGAGGGAGAAGTGGAAGGAGAAGTCTTAAAGTTGTTGCTTGCAGGAGTTGACTTAAGGCGGAAATTTTAAAGTTGTTTTTGGAATTCATGTGATGCAATAGAGACTTACAGCGAAAAAATATCCGACGTTGAAGTTTTGTTAAGTAATATTCATCACTTTACTTCAGACATGGTGATTGTAAGAATTTCAGTGTCTTTCAAATAAGAGATGCGCATGTCATGCAAGAGATGTTTTCGTCCATTCGTATACTCACCTTCCATTTAATTTTAAGGGTTTGCGCCATTTCTGAATAGGCAGTGACTCCAGTAAGACAAACTGACTGTTCTAAAGCAATTAAACGAGAAAAAAAAACATTCATGTTTTAGTTTTAGTTATGAGTCGATTTCTACAATTGAATGAGAAATGATACATTTCTCATTTGATTTTTTTTAAGCCGAACAGCAAACTCTTCTCCGCTGTTTTACATCCTTTTCCTGGGTGTGAAAAGATTTTGGGGAAGTCTACATTTTAGACGGGAACAGCTAATATGTGTTTTGTACTTACTATCAGCTGGGGTTTTGCACGTTTGTCCTTTTGTGTAATTACTTGGCTCGCTCAATCCATAAACGTTCTCAGCAATCACTCGAAAAACTATGTCTGTGTAAGGATTCAGTCCCTTCACGATACGACCTTCTAGGTTTCCACTTACAGTCATGTTGTCCGTTACATTGTACCACATAGTCATATTTTCCATCACACTCCACTGGATGAAGACTCTGTCCACAGTGTGATAAGAGTTGAGATATAACGTCCAAGCAAGATTAGCAGTGAAGTTTTGACATCCTCCATTGATGTTTAAATTTTGTGGAGCATCTGGAGGACCTGTTATATGAGGTTGAGATCACAGAGTTATCAAACAGCCAGGAATAATAACGATAAGTTACAAAGCTCAAATTTAGATCTGGCAAATACATATCTCAGACAGTGACTTTTGAAAAGAAGACACAAAATTCATGCTCTTTTCAGGGGGATAAGAGAAAAACGTAGAGATCACTGGATAATAATCTTACCGTTTACAATGACGAGGGCCGTTGAAGTTTTTCCTGTATTGTAAATGTTCGTCTTGACAAAGGCTCGACATTTATATTCTCCGCTGTCTTTAGCTAGAATAAGAAAATACAACACACACGTGATGTAATAGCAATTTATATTGCAGTTGGTAGTCACAATTTTCAAAATCACATATTGCTGGGTAATTGCCTCATTTATGTGCCCCTAATCTCTATGGAAGAGAGAAAATCACACGTTCGATTTCTCTTCCTGTTAAATTCAAAGAATTGTTCAAACCGACCCATTTATATCTTCTTAACATCATCCAAGTATGTTTGTAAATGTAGATCGTCCAGGTTGGTATAGTCCTGAGAAGGACTGTTTTTGTTGTTGTTGACTGACGTTATGACAACCTTAGCGGTAGTCATCTTCAGAGTCATCTTCAGAGTCATCTTGGCGGTTGTCGAAACGTCAGTCAACAACAACAAAACAGTCCTTCAGGACTATACCTGGACGATCTACAAACATACTCGGGTTCAAACCATTTACTTTATCATCCAAGTATAGTCAAAATGAAGACTAATGCTGTTTCGAGGCACATGTTTGTGTTAATCGTCAATGATTGTAACTAACATGAGTAAATTTGCAATGGGATTGAAAATTGAACAGTGTATGCAATATTCAACAAAGAACGCTGAGCTTGTTGGAGCAAGGTTCTACTGCAACATAGAAATATTCCGTCTTGTTATTTTTGTGTATCTTGGAAATTCTACTTACTTGAGATGAAGCCACATTTAGGATTGGAGTGTCTTTTCCCAAGTCTTTTCCGTTGTGAAACCATTTATATTGGATAGGTAGATCTGGCTTGGAGTAAGCTTCACATTGTAGTGAGAAGCTTTCTCCTTTCTTCACATCTGTCTTGTTCTTAGGTCGTTTTGTAAAGATGATCATTGCTATAAAAAATAAAATAGCAAAGAACTGGAGTGACTTACTGTTCATAAAGTTCATCTTTATCCATTGTTACCCTTTTGCTTATCTTTATAATTCTTATCCACTACATGTTTACTCATTTTCTTAAGCCATGTTACTCCACACTCCAAAACAAACCCATATAACTCATTTAATTCTTGAAGAAAATTCTATCTTCAACTAATCGTATCAATGTTGTTTTGTATTGCAATATTGCTTTTACATGTACCGTCACTTCCCGAGCGCGCCTGTGCTGTAGGGCATTCACCACTTCCACCTTCGCTATTGTAAGTTAGTACGCGAAATTCCCACAACTCTAACGGAGCTGTATTGTTGATGGTGTTGTGATCACATTATGGCTTTTGATTTTGGACTAAAAAATCCTCCAATATGAACTGAAAATGAAGCGATTCCTAAAATCATCCCAATTTGATTGCTCACACAGAATGCTCGAAAGCAAAAAAAAGTAGGAAGCATAATTGCGAATGAGCTGCGCAAGTTAGTGGTGTGACACTGGTGAAGCAAATGTAGAACAATATAAAGAAATCAACTGAAACTCGTTGGGAAAATATTAAGATCTTAATATGTGTCACTGTGTGTAAAAAAATATTATTAAAGCAGATTTGCAATTATTTACATGTCTTTTCAGAAAATTACGAGGGTCCGTCGATCCTTTCAAATCCAGTAGACACCATAGCACAGGCAGGGATTGACATATCACTGTACTGCATCACACGTGGTCAACCCACACCCTCCGTGACCTGGGAGAAGGATGATGCTCCCTTAAAAGGCAATCATTTTGATGTATTGCAAAACGGTGGTCTTCGCCTGAAGAAAGTGGACGAATATCGTGATAGTGGAAATTACCGCTGCCGTTCGAGTAATCCAGTTGGAGTGATCAAAAGTCTTCCAGCCAGGCTCGACTTTCCTTGTAAGTTAGGCTATCTTAAAAATTGGCTTTAATACCTGCTATGCATGGGATGGAAAGTCAGAGTTCCTTTTACGTGCATATATTATCTTAACTTAGTTGTGATTGATCAATTTACCTCGTGTTTGAAGCTATGATCTCATAGACTCACAGAAGATTAAGTGATTAATGTCCGCGTTTTACATTTTGTTTTTCTTTTGATCTTTTCATGTACATCTATTGTTTTATGTATATCTTGCTTTAACGTCGCATTCTCAGTCGGTACGATTAACGTTATCGTCAATCAGTCTTTTTTCACAAACCTCATCATATAAAAACATTGTGTCAGCATCCTATATTTATTGGCAAAACGGATAATATAGGAAGATACTACATTTGTGTTCAAATCGACATGTAAGATGAAGTAATATCCTTCATTTATACCTACTCCAAACGTGCTTAAAATGACACATGAGCCATCAATATACACTAACAATTGCGGTAATTTCTCTCTCGTTGCTATGCAGCTAATTGTTTCGTACTGTTGTCTCATTCACTCAGTTCTAGATAAATTTTCCCAACCATTTCTAAAAGTAAAGGCGAACAACGCCGATTCTGTAATTCTACGATGTCAAATTCCTAACATGAAACCGCGGAATTTGCGAACTGTTCGTTGGTCAAAGAAAGATTTTCAGTATACCGACCTACTCCTTCCTCTGGAAGATGCACCCCACTACACTGTGGGTTACAACGGCGATCTCTATTTCTCTTACGTCACAACAGCCGACTCGGGAAGTTACGTGTGCGTAGTTGGGAACACAATGCTTGGTCGCACAGAGATAAGAACTTTAAAGCTTGCTGTTGCAGTTCCGATAGGTGATTGACTAATTAAATTTAAATGACTAGCATCCATGCTGTTGATTGCGTCACAGAGCGTTTTCGCATGACTTGTTACCGCCATGTTGGTTTGCCAATTGAAAAGAATTTTAGTGAAGTTCTTTTGTTTGGAATACCAATGTGGCTGCTTTATCCATCGCCTGGCTGATCTCTGGAGAATGATTGAAAACGATTTGTCAGATGCAAATTACACTTAAGCATGCACGTTTTGACCATTGCTTACAGTATAAAATTAACTTTTTTCTGACACATCATGACGTAGTTCACTTTATGATACACCATAGAAAACGCATTCCTTCAATTGATTCCAACACCAAAAAATGCGGCTGACTGGTAAACAAAACTATATTTCCAGTGTGAGCATATAAACCTCAAACAGAAAATGGTCGAGGTCAACTTATGTTGATTTTATTTTTTCTGTACAGAACAAAGATACGAAGTAAAAGAACCAGGTATCTTCAGTGACTTTAAAGAACCAAAATACGCCATTAAAGGGAAAACATTTGTCTTGGAATGCATTGCACATGGCAGGTTGGTTTATTTATAAAGATACATTCGGGAAATTTATCGAAAAAAGCTGTCAAAACCCGTTCATCAGAAATGCAAATCTTGAGCTCATTGTATGTAGCCAAATGAATCTTGCATTGAAATGGATAAACTATATTTCGTTAGACCTGTTCCTCTCGTCTCTTTGACGCGTTTGGGCCATAAGGAAGAGCTGGGGAAAACGACGTCGAACAAGAGGCAATATGTCATTTACAATTTTGACGCAAAGAATGCTGGGACGTATGTTTGCAGAGCGAGAAATAGTTACGGTGACTGGTACGAGGCAACCACTACAGTCACAATGTTAGGTAAGAGTTGACGACTAACATGAATTTTCCTCTGAGCGATCCATGGATGCCCAAGAAAAAATAAAATTATCTTGTACAAATGAATGCACCACCGACAATAAGCCCGGAAAGGCAACCTGGTTAAACTAGGAACCTGTTGTCAGAAATTTCACAGATCTTTGACATAAAAACTGCTATTCGAACGACATGAGAAGGTGTAATGTTTACTTACATGAAAGACGTTCCAAAAGTGTTATCAATAGCAGATTCAGCGCTCGTCAAAATAAATTACAGCTGCTCAATTTTTAATTCTTTCACGAAATCACTATTGGTTTTGCATTTCTAAAGAATATAATTTTATCGATGACTTGTCTCTAATGAGGCCTAAAAATGTTATTGTATTCCAAAATGAGCTGCAGTAATTTATTTTGACGCACCCTAGATCCGCTACTGGGAGGGGAGAGGGGGTGTTAGGATGACTCCGAAAAGTTATCTTAACATAGTCGTTGAGACTATTTTTTATTAATGTTTCTTTATATGGTTACTTTAACGTGATTGGTTACCGTCCATGAATTTTTAGAATAATATCATAGATCAATGTAAATGATCTAAATGAAAATGAGCAATGAAACCAGACCTTGCATCAAACTTTCTACTGCAGCATAGAAATTCATTTCTTATCTATTTTTTTAAGGAAAGATCCATTGGTAATAAATTCGTTTCATTTAAACTTGAATAGTCTACAAACAGTAGAAATTCAGTAAATTAAATTTGAGTAGATTTCCTCGTGTAATGCAGATTGAAAATTTATTTCAAACGCAGTGCAATTAGGAAAATCGTACAAAATATTGAAAACAAAAAATTTAGACATTGGTCAAAATTAGCCATCCGCCTTTCTTAATATTTCCAAACCGTACACAATGCAACTAAAAATGCATTTGTTTCGGACAAGGATGTTCTTCTGTAATGCTGTTCTATATTCAACAGAGGAAACTCAATGGATTAAACGACTCACAGACGCTTCAGTTGACGTAAATTCCAGCTTGACATTGCAATGCGAAGCTAAAGGTGTACCTCCCATCACGTACGCATGGTTCTACAACGGAATAAGAATGATGTCATCGGGTAACAAGATGAATTGCGTCATAAATGAGGGATCGCTGTGGTTTCCCAGCGTGCAAGTTGGCTACAGTGGGATGTATCAATGTGAGGCGTCAAACAGCGTAAAAAGGTTAATGACGTCTATGAGACTTTCTGTGAAAGGTAAACGTTATGAGGGCAAAATTTATTTTTGGATGATTTCTCGTCGGCAGCAACCGAAAACAAACATCTCCGGGAAACACAGTTTAGAACAATAGCAAATAAAGTTACAGCTGCTGAACGCTTTCCCTGTGTCACCATAGATCTCTATACATCCTGTGAACAGTAGGAGATTACTAATTACGAGGCCTGTAGGCTAAGACAAAGTTAAGGGCCTTTATGCTATATCTATTCCTTCTACTAAGTTCATTTTTCCTTTGCTTTTCCATCTCCTGTTTGTAACTTCATAGCAGGGGCGGATCCAGCTTCTGGGCTGACCGTGGCCCTGTGACGTAGCGAGCGACTTTTGCTGGGACTCCATTTTTATGCTGGGACTCGATGAGAGGATGGGTAGAATAGTATTTTGCATTCTCAAACATTTCAACACTAGTTAGGAATCTCAAGTAAATAGAGAGAGTCTCATTCCCAACTAATGCAATAGAACATGCATTGAACAGAAAATTCCCATTGGCTAAAGTACTAAAAGAAAAATTAGTATTTAAGTATCAATGGCTGCTTTGTTATACCAAGTTATACTTGGGAAAAAATCTGCTAGACTGACTCTGACATTAGAATAAATAAGGGTAACCAATACTGTTAAAGATAGACTAATAATATTGAAATTGAGAAAGTTATTTTCTCTTTGTGTTAATTTGGTAACATCATGATAAAGTCAAAGTCACAGGCAGGTAGTCTAAGATTTGGAACTAGTCTAGGCATGTCAAACAGGATTCAGACGACTTATTGATTCCATCTACTATAGCATCAATATTCTATATAAATCGCGAAAGAAAGTAACAGTTATTCAAAATGATATGTTAGTTTCTTTAACCAGAGATAACATAAAATGCCAGGAATACAAGGATAATACATTATTGATTGGGTTAAATTTTAAAACACTAGCTTTGACTAATATTGAAGTAAAACATTTTATTTAACAGACAGTAACAATTAAAATTATTTAGGCCGTACATTAGACAGACTGAGTATGCAAAATAATGACAGCTTTAGACATATATTTTACATGATACACTAAATATGAATAGCTGAAAATTAACGGATTGATCATATATTTCAGGCCAAGATGTCAAACGTAAATAAAAATATAAATTAATACCCCAATACATGTAAATTCTTACCTAACAGGGACATTGGGTCCTGATCTTTCAATTTGGCTTTCAGGGAACTGCAGTTTTGAAAATGAACAAGTTTGCAGCATAATATCGCCAGTAGAATTTATACGACGAAGCCTTTCCTCGTTGATTATTTTAACACAGTGTTGTCTCAAGTTAGACAATTCACCAGAAATAATTTCGCAAGCGTTCTCTTGCTGAAAGGTTTGGACGAGCTTTTCAAGAACATCGATCTTTTTAGAAGTTTCCATTGATCCTAATCGCTGAGTAGAACTAGAAGTAGCGTTTTTCAAGTCGACAAGAATCGAGCAATTTCATATGACTTGTATTTATTGCGCAATCAAAATACATTCACCGTGGCTCACCGTGGCGCACATGACCAAAACGTTCCCTGTGATTGGCTTGCAACGCTGCACCGTGGCTAAAGGTTACTATATTTAGCAACTATTGCGAAATTTTTTGAACGCTATTTATATGTTTTCACTAAAAAGACTTTCTCCATTGTGCTCTTATCGTTTATTGTATAAGTTATCATTCATCACTAGGGCAAGCATATGGTTCAATGGCGCGCTGTCATTTTTTTTGTTGGAGGAGGGGGGGGTCGCAGAAATCAATATAGGTAACGAATTTTGAATAGAGGACAGAAAATTTTACTAGACTTTTCATCAAGTTATAGGTGATTGGGAAAATGTGAAAACTATAAAAGTTATACATCGTGGATCATTTTTGTAAAATTCTCCTTTATTAGTTGAGAAATATTTTACTAAAATTGAATTGCAATGGACATATCAACGGAACAGATGGAAGCACATGCTGCAAGATTAATATTGGACACTTGCTTTTCAACATTATTGCTGTACATTATTGGTGTATAATTTCGTAGGAGCACAATAGTCATAAAGTATGCCTAAACATGTTTGCTCTAAAGAAATTTGTCGTGTATTTTAAATGTTTAATGATTGTTGGTGTATCACCGAATCGCTAAATTGGCTTCATTATCGTTGGGAAATTATCTAAAGACCAAAGGTAAGTTGATATTAAGATATTTTAATTTATGATTAGATTTCCAGTTTAGATGAAACAATGCTGTAGCATTGAAATTCGTGATGGTTAAATTGCTATAAGCTCTATATTCTGTTTCTGCATCTTAATTTTTTGCTTGAATCTACGAAGGCAACATCGACATGGATTTTTTGTGAATAAGGAAAGAATGTAAATGTAAGTGTGCAGTCGTTTAAAAAGCATCATTCACCTCGAAGACATTCTTTGGGCTTGTTTCTTATAAGGACAGAACATTTTTATGATCAAACTTCAGATTGAAGCATAGGCAAATGTAATTCTAATTCAGTTGTTATCAGCTGATTTGTTCTACTTTTTTGTTTTTGTATTTAGATATTTGTATTCGTAATTTTTGGACGGAATAAACAGTTTTAAAAAGTTTATGAAAAAAACCCCGTTTCCATCCACAAATAAGAAAATGTGTTTTGGTAGTCCTAATCATACACAACATTTAGAAGTAGATAAAAATTTAGAAAGCGAAATATAAAAAAAGCTTTAAACTGACTGATTGATTTTCTTCATGCTGTCCCTTATTAAAAGACACGGCGTACGACCTATAAAAAATCGATAACAACATCAATTTTTTGATGTTTTTTCTACTATATAATAGATGATACTGTATGCCTAAATGCGTACATGTGAGCATGATCTACAGCAAAAATATTCATGATGAAGATGAGATTCATCACCAAAAATGTTTACTACCAAAATTTCTTATCCATTTCCAAAAACAATTTCCTAATCCACTTTTGTGTGCTGTAAAACCAATAAATTTTAAAAAAGAGGCTTATTTTCCACGTTCGTAAGAGAGATACAAGGAGATGTGTATGGATTGACGTATATAATTTCTGCGTTTGCGGTTTGCATTTAAAGTTTTTATCCATCAGCAAATAAAAAACAGATAAACCAAATATAAACCAAATGCTTCGATATTTTGATATTTACGATAATAATAGTTGTATGTTTTCAGTGTCTATCATCGAACTTGTGCAGCTATGATTTTCCATACAATTGCAGTTTTAAGGATAAAAAATGATGCGTTTTGTTGTCATCTTGTGGTTGATGCTGACCGTGACTCTTAAATGTGCCGTTAAATGGGGATGGAACAAAAAGTTTGAATTTTGTGAAGATAAATGGAATGTGTTTGTTCAAGAAAAAAATATATCGGAAGAAAGGTGCGGAAATTTGTCTTTAACTAATGGTTGTATCGAAGAGAAAAATTATCTTTTGGAACGATTCAGGATGTTCAGTGAAATTTGTCCACTTGAAGGTAATCTATATATTTTACATTTGCCTTTACATACGTATTTTCATATAAAAGTTTACTGTTGGAGAAGAGTTAATTTGCAAAAACCTAAGGTAGAAAAAGGTATACTTGTATTTTTTTACATATCTATTGCGTATGCAAAAAACTGCAGACCTATGTACATTCGTAACATTGCTGTATCAGAAACATGGATTTCCTCACTAAAGAGTCAAGTTTAGCAAGATCAAATGATTAAGTCGTTGGCTTTTTAGTCTAAAAAATAGAAATTAAACTGTTTTTCAGTTTTATTCCGTGGCTACGTTCATCGTTAATGGATGTAGCTTGTCATGGTCTGTTTCTTATGCAGATCGAACGACTTTGTTATACATCACTCTCCTGCTACATATGGTAATACGACCATGCATGTCTATTTTTATTTATTAAATAAATTTTTCAGGTAAATGTTGGTGTGCAAAGAATGTCGTGAACAAGATGGTCGAATGGGGGAAACGAGTAGCAATTATATCTTGGAGTGAACCGGAAAACTTCACTTGTCCTCATAAATACATAAAAGAAGGAGAGGAAAAGTCGAACATTAGTTCTCCACAGTCGTTCTTAATAGGACAGCACAAAATTCCGTACAAGCACTTTCTGTATGGTGGAAAAACTTCAACATGCTATGTTCATATTAACGTTACATGTAAGTATAACCATGTTTGGAAATTGGTATGAACATATAGATCATATATATAGAATAAGTTGTTTGAGAAATATACAACTCGCGGTTTTTCGTCAATTATGCACTCATATTCCTTTGGAATTTTGATGACATAAAGAAGAGGAGTCCAGGGGCGGATCTAGGCCATGGCGAAAGTGGCTTGAGCCACGGTCAGAATTCTGCCACTTAAGTTTTTCCAGGGTTGACTTTTTCATGATTAAAAATTTTGCTCAAATACAGCAAAATTCGATCAAAAGCAAAAATTGAATAAATTTTGTAATTTTTTGTCAAAAACTTGTGTTAACAGAACAAAAACTTCAAATTAAACGTCTTGTTAAAATAGTATTATCACCCAGTTAAACTCTGAACTGTAAAATCACCGAAAGCGTCTCGAATCTTGCCGAATACACCATGAATATGCTCGGAATATGTTCGTAAATTCGAGCCAGCAATCTCAGAATGAAGAGCCACGGTCAGCGTTCAAAAAATTTCGCAATAGTTGCTAAATATAGTAACCATTGAGTTCTATAAGACCTGGAGGGGAAACGTCATCAAAATTATTATAAATCATTATCGCGCGGCCGCGTGGTCAAAAACATGGCGGATTTTGGTTGTCAAAGTCAGCGGAAAGACGCGGGCTCATGAAATGAAATTTTTTTCGCCCACCCGGATTTGACAACCACAATTGCGATTATATAAAATATCAATGCGAAGCACAAAAACTTTAGAAATTTTATCTTTAAAACATGCTGCAAACCTGTTTGGTATACGGATGCTGAAGTAATGCCAGAAAAGGAAACATTTCATGACACCGGTAAGCAACGTAAGATTGTGTACTATTTAAAGTGTTCAGTGTTTTGTTTTAAATCAATACTTGAAGTGTGATGGCATAAATTTTGTGAATGTTTTTACTCCTAAGTTATAATTTAAGTTATGTTTATCCAGTCTTATTTGTTCTTTACTTAATCGATTGCTAGACGAGGCAAAGCAATCAGTTCTTATCGAGATATGCATATCTTAAAACTCCTTGTTTCAACTGAGTTGAAATGGAGGATTTTTTCATGATATTTTTCAGAAAATATGAAGCAAACATTAAGATCAGAGCTGTATTGAAATCAAATGCAGTGCAGGATTAATTAATGAGCTCTTTGGTACATGTCATTACAATAAAAATACCTGTATTGAACAGCTAGCCTGGATAATTTGACAGATTATGGACAATCTTGATGATGGTGTGTTAAGGTTTGCTTTTGCTAAAAGTTTTATAAATGCCATCTGGTGTTTCTGTAAATGAACTGTTTGTTGTAGTAAACAGGTTAGTACATAGAAATAAGATAAAACTACTTTGTTCAATAATGTGCCAAATTATGCTCCTACCTTGAAATATTTGCTCAAGATAAGCTTATGATGACATGTAACCTTAAATATAGTATCATCTCTGACAAAATCCATCGTTTTCAATTCCAGGTGATTAAAAATTCACATAAGATGCATTGGTTGCAATGAAGTTGAATGTGGAACAAGCAAAATTGATGGCAAAAACTTTTATGTCTTGAAGAATTATGATATCATTTAAAAGAATAAGAGTAGCAATCTAGTAAAAAGCGACATCTGTCTTCAACATGAGACTTTTCCAATTATGTATAGTTTCTTTGTACAAAATACTGTTTTATATAAACTTGATTTTAAGTCATTCACTGATATTTTATCAAAAGATGAAAACAAAATTCAAAGGCATAATGTACAATTCAAAAGTTTGTCAAGTTGTTTGAACCTAGAAAAATTAGTATAGGTAACTGTAATTTGTAAGGACACAAAAGAAAAGTAGTGCAAGAAGGTTAGCATTTTTGAGAATTAATAAGTTCTTCTTGACATACATTACACAAGGCCATAATATTATAAATAAGGACTGTACAATATCAATTATACAACATGCTAAATATCTTCACCTACATTATAATTATTTAAACAGATTTGCCTTCATGCAGCAATAAGAAAAGTGTTATGTCAGAGAAACCAATGCACTTTAATTTATGAAATCGTATTTTCAATGGGAAATTAATGTAGTTCTGTTCAGTAGTAGATCCATGGTTGTCAATGACAATCCAGCTTCTAATATCTTGCCTCAAAACAGAACCAGCAACATGATTATAGAATTTCTGAATTTCGTTCTTTTGCTCTCCTAGTTCAAGATATTTTCTTCAGAATATCATAATACTTTATAAGACACCCAGAATCAATTCTACCAAAAAAAAAACTCAAAAAAATTACATACCTACTTATAATATATTTCCAGTCGACTTAAGTCGTAGGGGTAAGCTAACTTTTTCTAACTCCTTTTTGGACATTTTAACTAAGATTTACCCATCTATTCAAGAAAGACAGTTGCACCAAGCTGTTCACAAACAGTCAAAAACACAAGTAATGCGCATGGGATTATGCATTAAAGCTTAACAACACATTGACAGTGTAAAGATTGCCGTTTGATATTTATTTTTAATATAGCTAAAGCATTACTTGACAAAATATACGTTATTTTACAGTAGATTTACCTCATTTAAATGTGTGTGTCTATTTCACAAAAACCTGAAGCATTATTTTCAATATTTTATGCTTACGGTATCGTGGTTGTCATTATTATGAGCAGTAATAGAGATCCGTTTCGGGAGGGAGCGAATGTTAAAAATTTTTCTCAAAGTGGAAGTTTTGACAACCAAAATCCGCCATTACCGCCATGTTTTTGACCACGGGGTCCAGGCCCCTTTGCCCCTCCAGGTCTTATAGAGCTCAATGATAGTAACCTTTAGCCACGGTGCAGCGTTGCAAGCCAATCACAGGGAAAGTTTTGGTCATGTGCGCCACGGTGAGCCACGGTGAATGTATTTTGATTGCGCAATAAATACAAGTCATATGAAATTGCTCGATTCTTGTCGACTTGAAAAACGCTACTTCTAGTTCTACTCAGCGATTAGGATCAATGGAAACTTCTAAAAAGATCGATGTTCTTGAAAAGCTCGTCCAAACCTTTCAGCAAGAGAACGCTTGCGAAATTATTTCTGGTGAATTGTCTAACTTGAGACAGCACTGTGTTAAAATAATCAACGAGGAAAGGCTTCGTCGTATAAATTCTACTGGCGATATTATGCTGCAAACTTGTTCATTTTCAAAACTGCAGTTCCCTGAAAGCCAAATTGAAAGATCAGGACCCAATGTCCCTGTTAGGTAAGAATTTACATGTATTGGGGTATTAATTTATATTTTTATTTACGTTTGACATCTTGGCCTGAAATATATGATCAATCCGTTAATTTTCAGCTATTCATATTTAGTGTATCATGTAAAATATATGTCTAAAGCTGTCATTATTTTGCATACTCAGTCTGTCTAATGTACGTCCTAAATAATTTTAATTGTTACTGTCTGTTAAATAAAATGCTTTACTTCAATATTAGTGTTTTTAAAATTTAACCCAATCAATAATGTATTATCCTTGTTTTCCTGGCATTTTATGTTATCCCCTGGTTAAAGAAACTAACATATCATTTTGAATAACTGTTACTTTCTTTCGCGATTTATATAGAATATTGATGCTATAGTAGATGGAATCAATAAGTCGTCTGAATCCTGTTTGACATGCCTAGACTAGTTCCAAATCTTAGACTACCTGCCTGTGACTTTGACTTTATCATGATGTTACCAAATTAACACAAAGAAAATAACTTTCTCAATTTCAATATTATTAGTCTATCTTTAACATTGGTTACCCTTATTTATTCTAATGTCAGAGTCAGTCTAGCAGATTTGTTTCCAGGTATAACTTGGTATAACAAAGCAGCCATTGATACTTAAATACTAATTTTCTTTTAGTACTTTTAGCCAATGGGAATTTTCTGTTCAATGCATGTTCTATTGCATTAGTTGGGAATGAGACTCTCTCTATTTACTTGAGATTCCTAACTAGTGTTGAAATGTTTGAGAATGCAAAATACTATTCTACCCATCCTCATGCAGTCCCAGCATAAAATGGTGCGTTCACTTCACTTAAAATGCCTTTGTGTATATGCAATGCAGCTCTAACCTCTTTAGAAAATGCGAATGAAATTGCAGCAGTTTTACAAGAAGCAGTGGAAAGAGCGAATAATTACACCTTTTCACCCTTGATGTGTATGTTTGCTTTGTCCACAGTAATCCAGTGTGCTATTCAGTCATACTACCCAATTACTAATGATGCTGAAGTGAAGGAAATTGGGATTCGTTGGCTAAAATGTTCAATTGTACAATATATCCAAGAGATTTTGTTGATGGGAGTGCAATTGACTATGTCCATATCTTCGTTGTGCTGCGATGCCACCTTCTTATTTGGTAGATCAAAAAATCCCATCCACCAAAAATCATTTTGTTACTTTGTTTTTAGAGGACCACCTTTGAACATTGCTTTTATTAATCTTGCCATCTTTACCATTGTTGGATAAACGTCTTTGTCGCTGTTGGAAGAAGATCACCTTTGAACATTGCTTTTATTAATCTTGCAATCTTTACGATTGTTGGATAAACATCTTTGCTGTTGTTGGAAGAAGACCACCTTTGAACATTGCTTTTATTAGTCTTGCCATCTTTATGGCTGTTACCATGTTACAATGTTACCATGTTACAATGTTACCCATTTGATGGGGCAACAAAGATGGGGAATTATTTTTTTGTAGTGAACTGTCTTTTGGTTATTCACTGAAAAATAACATGCTTCATCTTTCTCTCACTCCTGTGGCAACAGTCCTGTGATTACAGAAAGGTACGGAAACTGCGTTGATTTTACATCAGATACCACAAGATAAGTAAAATTTTTATCCGAACAGAATTTAAAAAATGGCGATATTAGAATTTTTTTTAGATGAGATTATAACTAAAATATTGTTATATTCTACATTAAAAATGAAGGAATTTGCTTTTCCGAGAGTCTAGATTTCAAAATTTTCTCCTTAAAGTTAACGCAGCAATTCTCAGTTATTTCTTACTAAAGTGAAGCTAGATGAACATGATTGCGCTCAGCTACTTTAGTCTCATATTGTTTTGTTGCTTTGTCCTCAGCTTCGTCTTGAAATCCGTGAATAAATGAAATGCTATAGTCTTTCCACCACTGTATTACTGATTTGTTATGCAGTTAAGAGCATGTGTTACTAATAGAGATGTTTTAAATTTCAAATTTATATTGAATATTTTTGAAATTCGGGCAGTGCTGAATATATAAATATTCACCCCCAATTAACGTTCTAGTTTCAGCTCTGGGCTAGGGTACTGCTTTGAGAAACACCTGTTTATAATAATGTGCCGTCTGCTTTGGAAGTGCCTAGTGCATCACCACATGTATAATATGTGTATTGACCACATCCGGATCGTATGCAACTGCACAGTATCCACCTATTTGTTTATGCAAAACATGCATGATCAATTTTGACATACGTTCAGCAACTATTATTATATTATGCTATCATTACTAAACAAATTCAGTTGCAACTTTGTGTTGTATGTTTGGTATTTTTGAGACAGGTTATGAACTCGATTTTGGCCTTTTTAAATTTCATTGGCCTTTGAAAAACAAATTGGCTATTTAAATTTGGTCTCTTGTCAAGTCGTGAGTGTTGCTTGATAAAAAAGCTTTTTTCGTTTTAATTCAACTGCTAATAGAGTTCAAAAAACATATATTTACCATTTATACCGTAAAATGGAGTTGTAAAAACAGAAGAAATAGGAAGAACGACATATGTTTTCATCGCTTATAGTTTAATGAAAACATATAAAGAATACGGAGGTTATAAAAAACACATGATTATTATGTAACAGCTCGCGAAAAAAACATTTACTAACTCTTTAAATTGATAAAATTAACACCTAACCCCACACCCACCTCTACCCCCCAACTTTGCGTCCTCCTAATTCTTCAGCAATGCAACCTCTAGTATTATCTATAATCTCTGTGGTTCATAAACGTCTGTGTCATAAACATTCAGTTGTGGTCAGTGATGATCATTTTGTAGAACTTTGCTAAACCCTCTTAGCTAAACCCACATTTCGCTAAACCTAAGTGGGTTTTCTTATTAATAATGAGTTGATTCATGTTACCAATTTTTGCAGTGCCACCATCCATCAGCAGAGGAAATAGTGAATATTTTACAGCACAACACAACACTGAAGGCAAGATTAAATGCATGATAAGATGGTCTAATCCAAGACCCAATTTCATTCGCATTTTCTAAAGAGGTTAGAGCTGCATTGCATATACACATGGCAAAGGCATTTTTAAGTGAAGTGAATGCACCATTTTTATGCTGGGACTCCATGAGAGGATGGGTAGAATAGTATTTTGCATTCTCAAACATTTCAACACTAGTTAGGAATCTCAAGTAAATAGAGAGAGTCTCATTCCCAACTAATGCAATAGAACATGCATTGAACAGAAAATTCCCATTGGCTAAAGTACTAAAAGAAAAATTAGTATTTAAGTATCAATGGCTGCTTTGTTATACCAAGTTATACCTGGAAACAAATCTGCTAGACTGACTCTGACATTAGAATAAATTAGGGTAACCAATACTGTTAAAGATAGACTAATAATATTGAAATTGAGAAAGTTATTTTCTCTTTGTGTTAATTTGGTAACATCATGATAAAGTCAAAGTCACAGGCAGGTAGTCTAAGATTTGGAAATAGTCTAGGCATGTCAAACAGGATTCAGACGACTTATTGATTCCATCTACTATAGCATCAATATTCTATATAAATCGAAAAAAGTAACAGTTATTCAAAATGATATGTTAGTTTCTTTAACCAGGGGATAACATAAAATGCCAGGAATACAAGGATAATACATTATTGATTGGGTTGAATTTTAAAAACACTAGCTTTGACTAATATTGAAGTAAAACATTTTATTTAACAGACAGTAACAATTAAAATTATTTAGGCCGTACATTAGACAGACTGAGTATGCAAAATAATGACAGCTTTAGACATATATTTTACATGATACACTAAATATGAATAGCTGAAAATTAACGGATTGATCATATAGTTCAGGCCAAGATGTCAAACGTAAATAAAAATATAAATTAATACCCCAATACATGTAAATTCTTACCTAACAGGGACATTGGGTCCTGATCTTTCAATTTGGCTTTCAGGGAACTGCAGTTTTGAAAATGAACAAGTTTGCAGCATAATATCGCCAGTAGAATTTATACGACGAAGCCTTTCCTCGTTGATTATTTTAACACAGTGTTGTCTCAAGTTAGACAATTCACCAGAAATAATTTCGCAAGCGTTCTCTTGCTGAAAGGTTTGGACGAGCTTTCAAGAACATCGATCTTTTAGAAGTTTCCATTGATCCTAATCGCTGAGTAGAACTAGAAGTAGCGTTAAGTCGACAAGAATCGAGCAATTTCATATGACTTGTATTTATTGCGCAATCAAAATACACTCACCGTGGCTCACCGTGGCGCACATGACCAAAACGTTCCTGTGATTGGCTTGCAACGCTGCACCGTGGCTAAAGGTTACTATATTTAGCAACTATTGCGAAATTTTTGAACGCTGACCGTGGCTCTTCATTCTGAGATTGCTGGCTCAGATTTACGAACATATTCCGAGCATTCATGGCGTATTCGGCAAGATTCGAGACGCTTTCGGTGATTTTACAGTTCAGAGTTTAACTGGGTGATAATACTATTTTAACAAGACGTTTAATTTGAAGTTTTTGTTCTGTTAACACAAGTTTTTGACAAAAAATTACAAAATTCATTCAATTTTTGCTTTTGATCGAATTTCTCTGTATTTGAGCAAAATTTTTAATCATGAAAAAGTCAACCCTGGAAAAACTTAAGTGGCAGAATTCTGACCGTGCCTCAAGCCACTTTCGCCATGGCCTAGATCCGCCCCTGCATAGGGTAGAAAATGGGTAAAATTTCAAAACGAAATTTTGAAAATCATTGACATGGTCAGGGAAATAGTAAAAGCCAATACTTCATGAGTTCTGAGCATTGCGCATTTGAACAGTAGACAGTACTAAGGCCATTTTCCTTCTACATTCAATAACTCGTTTAGGTTTTCATTAGCATAAATGATCTAAATTAAGCTCGTTCAGCCAGTCCAGAATAGCAATAACGTCTAAATCATAATAATGTCTAGATACAACGGGCCTCTCAAAAGCCCAGGCCTGTAGGCTTAAGCCTACTTAGCCTAGTAGATAATCTGCCCATCGTAACATGTTTTTTGGGCGCGAAATTAAAGTGGAGTTCAAGGGTACGTAAGAGAACGTTAACGTGCTCACTATTTTTATCGTATATTGAAGACTGTATATCGGTCAAATCATTGCGCATGCTTATTATGAATCATGCATGATTATGTAACGCCATATGGCTATATAAGAACGGCATATGAGGCGATAAACTTGACTTCCTCAGTGGCACTTGAATTTGACACGCATCTCAATGTCCGCCGTAAGCAAAATTAACGTTTCTTTCGATTCCTTTGCAAACTATGATATCATTCCTTGCAGTTGCTTGCAGCTTTTTCGACGACAACGATCAAACACTTAATGTTACTGTCGGACAACAACTAACAATAGATTGTCCACCTCATGGCTACACCAAGTGTGCCATTTACAAATGGGGTGGACTCACTGTTTTGGGGACATGGCTCTTTTCCAACGTCGAGAACGCATTGGTCATGGGAGATGGTAGACTGTTTTTTTCTCACGTCACCAAAGCTAATCTAGCATTCATTCAACAAATGCGTGGCATAAGATGCCTGATCAAAGCCAAGGGAGACGGCTCAAGCTTTAACTATCAAAAGTCTGGAGTTTTTAGATTCAAAATTACAGGAGGTAGGTTTATATTTATTCAAGTAGCAACCCAGGAGGTCACAATACATATAGTTAAAACAATATGCACAAACGATTTTTTGTTTTCCCAGAGAACATCACCTCGTTTGGTCCTGACGTTCAAAAAATCCCAAACCAAGAAGTTGCCCGGGGAGATATAGTAAAATTAAGATGTGTTGCCGCTGGATAGTAAGTTCGCAGTTCATCACTTTCTTTACTCGCTACGAAACTAAGCTACAATTTTTCTAATGGAAAGGTGCAACTAGTCCTCAATCGTATCTGATCACCAACTACCTCCAACATTATAACTAAGTTTTCCCAGCCCAAATCCAAAAGCACGCCATATCTTCGTGCCAAACCACTTTCCTTTGACAATTGGTAGAATGGGGGATCAGCAAAATTCAACTAATTTTAACGTCTCTTTTAAAATCATCCAGTCCAACTCCCAAAGTATCGTTGGGAGAAGACGGATTTGCAGGGTAAAAAGAGCCAAGTGTTTCATCAAATTGACGGCGTCGCTCTTTTAGAATACAACAGAGTATTGTTGATTGAAAACGTGAAGTCTCGCAACGCGGGAATTTACACGTGTCACGTGACCATTGACAAAAATAATATCAAGAGAACTGCGTCAGAGGAAACAAAAATTGTCGTTAGAGGTACATGAAAAGCTTGTTAAGGGTTGAATTTCACATAGGATGAAACATAAGATACGCCTTTGAGACACATTTGCATATACCTCTAAAAGATGTTTTTTCCCAATAATCAAACAGTTCATTAACTTTGAAATGTATTTGTGCCTTTAAATGCCTAAGTTAAACAACGTTTAAATGCTCAAGCCACTTTCGCCATGGCCTAGATCCGCCCCTGATGGCAACTCGCTCAACTTCTCTTTCCTTCATAACGACAGCACCTATGGTGGCCCCACAATCGTTCAGGCATAAGGAAATTGGATCCGACTACGTTTTGCTGGAATGGGAAGGAGTTCATTCCGGGCCGATCGAGGGATACAAGGTATGTTATGGAAGGGAGTTAGTATACAATTATGATACAAGATGAGAACAAAAATTTGTGACATATTTCAAAATCAGTGGCGATTTTATCATATCGCTTTCATTCTTAAGGTCCGTTCGCACTGAAGCTTGAAGCGGCGCTGAAACCGTATGCTGTAACTCGTCCAATTTAGCCTCTAACGTAGTTAGCAAAGCCGTAACGCTGCACTCAGTGTGTACGACATAATATAAAATATAGAAGGCTAAATTGGACGAGTTACAGCATCGCTGACGCCACTTCCACGAACGGACCTTCAAGAACGTAGTTTCAACATACTATAAATCACATACATAGCAGGGTCATTGCATATTTTTACTTTCGCTGGAGTTAAAATTCGCGTACGGCAAATAAAATGAACCATTTCACTTTCGATAAAAATTCAATAAAATCAAAGATGAACTTCGAGCTTTTTCAAACACAAAAAAATTCACACTAAAGAATAAATCGTGATGATGTTGATTATTCGCAGAAATTTACCAATGTGCTGATTTAAAAATTGTTTTAGAAAGAGCAAATACCATAGCGAATGGTCAAAATAATAACGTAATAGTTCTTAAAAGAACTGTTTAAAACCAGAACACTAATTCAATAATTCTAAAAGAACTATTTAAAACCAGAACACTAACCCAATAATTCTAAAAGAACTATTCAAAACCAGAACACTAATTCAATAATTCTAAAGGAACTATTCAAAACCAGAACACTATCCCAATAATTCTAAAAGAACTATTCAAAATCAGAACACTAATTCAATAATTTTAAAAGAACTATTTAAAACCAGAACACTAATTCAATAATTCTAAAAGAACTATTCAAAATCAGAACACTAATTCAATAATTCTAAAAGAACTATTCAAAATCAGATCAACAATTCAATAATTCTAAAAGAAATATTTAAAACCAGAACACTAACCCAATATTTCTAAAAGAACTGTTTTAAAGCAGACGAACTGTGTTTTTCAGGTTTAAAAACAGTTCTTTTAGAATTGCTGGGATAGTGTTCTGGTTTTAAACAGTTCTTTTTAGAACTATTACGTCATTATTTGGACCATTCACCATGGTATTTGCTCTTTTTTAAAGTAATTTTTAAATTTGTCAGCACGGCAAAGTTTTTAATTTTACTATTGTGCTGATTTGGGAAAGAGGTCAATGCCTTCAACTGTATCTTTACGAATGTTTAGATAACAAAACAAACGAATACAAAAAAACATTGAAGGTTCTTTAGAAACCAGGAGGAGCTCCTTTGGTTGTGATAAATACCGAACTAGTTTAGCAAAACAACTACCAAATGTCCATAAAAGTTGGTAGTTACATGATTTGAAAACAGTGCAATGCATTAGTAGTTTCAATAGGGTTTTATAGTAAGTAATGTTTCCTGCTTGTTGAGCTTCATTTTAAAATGAACATGAAATACACATAGGAATATTAACGAAATGACGTGCTACGTATTTACACTTACAACAAAACAACTCGCTGTCCATCGAAAAAATATGTTTTTTTCCATGACAATCTTGTCTAAATTTTTATCTGACTCGACATGCCACATTTCTTTCAGCTAAGCTATTGGTACGAAGACGGGAGTAAGACACGCGTAAAACGCGCGGTTAGTTCGTGTGTGGGAGAAAAGAACGCGTGCGTAACCTTTATCAAAAACGTAATGACGACCCAATACAGACAGGGAGACTTGCAACCATTTAAGAACTACACCATGTACTTGCAAGCTTACAACCAAATTGGCCCGGGACCAAAAAGTAATCATATTAAAGTGTCCACAAGGAAGGAAAACCCGGGTGGTACATGACGTCATACGGACGTTATTTGTACGTGCAATGGAAACCACCGATCGAGGCTAACGGTATTATTGTTGGTTACCAACTAAGGATCAATAGCTCTTCCTTTACAGTAGGAAGTCGTGTTCTCGAATATTTATTCAACAAGTTACAGCCCAAGACAGAGTACGTTGTGTTTATAACCGCAGAAACAAACGCAGGCTCAGGAGAAGCCGTTTCAACTTCTGCCCGCACGACAGACATGAGAAGTGAGAAATTATTTTAATAATCATAACCTTACGCAACCTCACGTAACACAAGATTGACACAAAACAACGCAACATCAAAAATATGAAAACATCAAAATGCCCATGGATTCACGCGTGTTGTTTTCAAAACCACAATACGTGTATTTTTACCAAGACGCAAATGGGGATTTTCTTGCTAGCATGACATCAAACATATAATTTATTCTTTTTCGTAGCTCCGGCAGTGGCACGTCCACCAATAGTTGAAGCCATCGACGAAGATAGTGTCAATGTCACCTACGTTCCAAGCTCAAAGGAAGGCGGATACCCGGAAAAATTCTACATTGTTTATAAAGAAAAAGGTCCGTAGTTATTTCCTACGTTAGCAACATTATGTGACACATGCTATGTCGAACATTATCGAAATTGTATGATTGCTTGATAAACGCATCACAAATCCTTTCGCGAATGACTGCCAATCAATCACGAAGATGCAACGCAATAGTTAACCTTTGACAACATCTCAGTTTTGACTTGCGTCGCGTGTATTGCGAAAATTCTTTTGAATTTTTGAGCATAGTTACAATAGTTCCACAAATGGCATGCATATTTGGTCAAATTCATAACTTCAGAAAGAGTTTTTAAGCATCTATTCTGTCAGGGTAGTTAGTTAGAAATCAGTTTTTTGCATATAAATACAAATTCTTTTTTCAACAGAAGAAGATGATAAAAACTTAAAGGATACGGATGCCATCGAAATCAAAAAAAATGGACAAAAATCGTTCATCCAGATTAATGATTTGGACGATACCAAAGTTTACTTGTTTGCAACTGTTGTCACCAACGGTGACTTGAAATAACTGGAGTGATTTTGCTGAAGGACGCACAATTTCCATAAGAGGTAAAAGCAAGTTTGTCGATTTAGAAAAATGTGGTTCCCTCACAGAACTTTTTAACTGCGCATTCCAATTTTATTGTGCGTCTTATGCACGGATAAAAACTTGCTGAAAAACGGAATCAAACAATGTTATGCTGCCGAATTGTTCGCAGTTGACTATTAACAATGTGAACCCAACATTGTTCGATTCGATGAACAGCATTACACATAGAAAAAACAAAATTCGAAAAAAAGATCTTTTAACACGAATTCAAGCCATAAACGACGGATACGAATGAAACTTAAAGTTCAAAGTTGTTCCTTGTTTACGAATTGAATTTGAGAATAGAAAATATATTTTTTTCGGATTATGCTTTTTTGTCCGTATTTGATGTATTTACGCATAAGATGTTTTTCATCTTACCGACGATTGCGAATATGACACTAACCTCGTTGCGTTTAGCCATTTACGAGAATAATCATCGCTCTTAGCGTTGTCTAGATACTTAAGTCTTGTAGATACTAAGCTGTAACATTGTTCTTCATTCATTTTTTAGAACTAAAGGACGACAGCTCACCAATATACCGTGAAGTTTGGTTCTACATCATTCTCATGTTGATTTTTCTCAACATGTATTAATCATGCAATCTAATGACAGATATTTATTAACATAATTAATCAATTATCATGAAAATGTACAACAATAAACAAATTATAATTGTAATACACAAACAATCCATCTCTACCACATAAGGCAGAAAAAACACTCTAAGTCACAGAGTTATATTTCTGGACCTTGTTGTATATTAATCTACTGTACAAGCATCTAACGCTAAACGTATTAACTAATACATAAACTTATCATATGAGCATCTCTAAATTAAATGTAAATTCAATAATAAAAACACAAGATTATTCAATGTCCTCACTTTCTTATAAAATTTTGCTTGAAGCAAGTCAGTTAACCATCTCAAATCATATTTACAAACCTTTTACTTTTTGAGTAACATGCAAACACCAATGTAGAGAAAAAATCCTTTACCCAAAATGCTTATGTGTTCAAATTTACTTGTCTCCCAATATACAAATGTAAAATCTCCCTCTCATAGTGCCTTTACCAATACTTTGAAATCATTTATTTGGGGCCATTCTTCTACACATCCACCCTTTCCTACCCATGTAAACCTCACTTTCACTCCTTTGCAATAAGGCAAGAATATTTTAAACAAAATATTTCTCCATTGAAGGACCTTTGCCCCTTCACAAAGACAAAATGCAAGCAATGCTACTGTTCCACAATACAAAGACCCCTTATTGAAAGACAATGACAGTTTGGAGGAATATGGTGGTTCTGATGATGACTTCTCCGAAACGGGCTCTTTTATTGGTGAATATGGAAAGGATAAGGGAAAAAGTATGGATATCTCACAATCCTCATTTGTATAACAGAGGAGAAAATATTTAGAAAAATATGTATCACAATCTATTTTGGAATGGATATAAAATGAATTGAATTAATGCAATTGACTTCGTACTGGGAAACATTGAATGAACTAGTAAAGGGATTAAAAATATACTTCAAGTTTAAAGATATCACAAAACATTGAAAAGAAAAACAAATTTTGTTATGAAATGGTCGATTATAAGCACAAAAATTGAGCCAATTAAGTTGAGCAGATCAAGCTTCTGGAAATTCTGGATATAATTTAGAACTGCAGTGTTGTGAACAGATGTATTGATAATAAATGAAGAATTACAAGGAGTTACCAACGACAACTTTCACTTCCTACGTATCTTTCGAGGAACATCTAGACTCTCATGTAAATCACGCCTTTTTAAATTATTGTTGAGTTAAGTGCATATGGTAGTTAAGTATTACTAATTTACTCTTAAAGGATGATCGTTGTGCATAAACAATTTGGACGTTATTAAAATTTTCATCAATGGAGGAACTTTTCAATTTCCAACACTCTAGCCTTTTAGCACATGGAACATCTCAGCATTTATTCAGGCATCCTTTCCTAACTGCTTTAGAGTAAATTGTTTTACATTATATTACTCTCAATACTACGCGTGAAGAAGCAAACCTTACGTCAGAAGAAACTAGCTATAAGCGTATGCTTTTACAACACGTCAACTCAAACCAGGTGCTTTTTAACTCAATTATCAAATCAAATCAAAATATTGACACATAAACAGCCTGTATTATCAATTTAAAACAAGCATGAGACGAAAATAATACAAGGAAGTAATACTACTGAAATATTACGTAAAATAAATGTATTTTACATACCAAAAGAACCGCACTCGAAGCATCTCAAATCAAAATTAAAATGGCCTCCAAAGAAGGCGATGAGCAGGTGGTGCAGGGCTCGGCTCTCACCGTCTCCACTCTCCCTCTCCACGCGTACAGTAAAACAAATTTCCTAAAACTCCGAGTTAAATATTCTTGAAATACCAAAACCACAAAATGCATGAATTTTCCTATATAAATAATATATAAACAGGAACGTGTGAGCTTATTTTGGTTACCGAAGCCATTGATCGCCATTGCTCGGAAAAAAGATCTCGCACAAAGCTATAGCACACTCAGGAAACAAATTTTGAAAAGATATGAACATACTATGCAAGTATATGCCATCTTCAATCTCAATTCTTTTCGTGTTGTTTTCTTGGTCAGAATTTATAAAAATACAGCATGTAACTAACTATGAAAGATCGGTAACTTGACATGACGAAGAAACGTTTGATAACAGTGTAGTTCATACCTTAATCATTCTCAAAGCTCATTGCATACGGAATATTTGTAAATGGAAGCATTAGCAAAAAAATATTGTCAAATTTAACCGAGGCATGTGCCACGTTTACCTCATGCTAGTTACAGCCCAACCGCCCTGATAACATCGATACAATAATTGGGAAGGAAATGTACTTAGTTGAATATGGGTGGGGAAGCAGTTAATAGTGGCTCCACTGTTGTGTGTGTGTGTGTGCGGGGGAACACATATTCAATTATGTAAATTCTCTTTCAATAACTCTTTTGCCAGGGCGTTTTTGCTTCTTCTTGATGAGTATCGTGAAAAAAATTTCGTAATTCCAACCTTAGTCAGAAATTGATCCTTGATGTTGCAAGTCTAAAGACTATCGCAAATTTTATGATATTGTCTCCTGACAATAATTACAGACAAGTTTCAATATATTTTAGAAAAGGTGTCACGTTAAAATTTTATTGCAAATTATTACATTGATCGGAGAGAACCTTTCGAACATACACACGTGTAAAGTTATCTTGGCGTGAATTTCACAGGTGATGTTTCTTGGCATTCCGTACATGACTGACAACGTCAATCTTAACAAAACAACCCACTATACAACCAACTAAAATTAGCATCGTATTGATCACACAGCCGTTTCCATTAGATTTAATACACTGTACAACCACTTACTACTTCCACGAATAAGCCTATCATATTTTTTGTTGTCATTTTGTTGAATGTTTCAAATACTTGGTGTCCTGATTCCAACACACTTTATACTATGTACTAAGCATCCTATATTTTAATTACAAAAAAGGAAATTCCAAAATAGTTGGCAGAAGTCTATTTTGGAATTTATCAACTTTTTCGAAGAACTTCATCCCTAATTTAGAGAGCGAGGGAGCTCTCTAATTTAGTTAGAATGCTGAAAATACTGATTTTGTGTGCATGATTTTATGTTAGAGTGTTTATATGTAAGTTCGTTAATGACATTTACACTTTTCATAATGGAAGTATGTCATTGATCATCTGCAAACACCGAATAATCGAAGTCAAGTTTTGCTTTCTTCAAAAATGCTTTCATTGATTAAACTTACCGTAAGGCACGTTTGTTGACTGCGCGTGCTAGGCTATACGTCGTTCTAAAAAGAGACACAAGCAAACATTGATAGACATGATGAATGAGAGACAAAACCACTTACAACTCGGTGCTCCTCTGTATCTTCTCGTCCCTCTGCGCCTAAAATTACTGCATAACATGTTAGGAGTTAAAACAAACAAACAGTCAAAGAAACAAACAAACAAACAAACGCATACCACAGACAAAATCGGCAACTGTTGCCACGTATCGATAACTGTAAGAATAATTGTTGAAATAAAATCACGACAAATTGTTAAAAGCACTTGTATTTTGCAAAAACCAGTGTTTGCAGAAGATCTTTAAAATTTCATTTTGAAACTCGTACTTCACGATGATTTGCAGAAGACAGCTGTGAACTAAAACATTTACAGTGAAGGCTTCCTTCAGAAACCTTTACCTACTGGAAGTTAATTTTTTAAATTGCTGTGGCGAACACTGTTTTAACGTCCCTCAACGTATCGAACGCCGATAGCTTATTTGAGTGATAAGCTGATAGCTTCAAATGGACGTTGAATTGGAAGACTTTGCAATACTCTGCCAGCATTGCAATTTCTTTTCAACTTTAAACTAGATCGATTGTGAATAACATTTCATTTCAATGTTACATGCATGATTCAAATGCAAGAAGCACCACCATATTAACATGTTAAAAGAATGTTGCCTGGCTGATTTGTGCCAACCTCTATAGCATTACACCAAATGGTATAGAAGCGCCAGTCAGTCAACAAGTTAATACATAATTACTATACATTTCCTTAAACCAAATTTTCATACACTTGCTAGAAATAGGCAATAAGAAAAACAACTAAGTACGGATAGGGATAGACGAAAACTAGGTCAGTCGAACTGATATGGACGATGAAGAAGGATGTTTTGTGTCGGAAGATAATTTCTTTCTCCCATTTGCAACAAGTTGACGAGAACTTTTTGTCTGTAGAAATAAAGGGAAAATAGGATATGATCGCTATGTGCAAGTACATCTTGGTATTTATATAGTAGTATATGTTATATGTTTTGTTTTGCTTATCTTTCTCCTTTTAATTGTTATATACTTTGTGACATGACTCACTTCACTGCCATCTTTCCCGTTTATCTTCAGAGGTTCCCACTCGTTCATTATGGTATTCGTATTTTGATGCATTAATTGGTTTTAAACTGAAGTTCTCAGCCGATTGTTGTGAAGATGGTTTTGATATCTGCAAGCAGTTTCCAGTAACAAAGTTAAACAAGAGGGAGGATGTTCTTTGTCAGACCCGTCAGGTAAACACTCATAATTATAAGACACAAATTGAAATGAGCACAAACACAATTCTTGATCTAAAGTTAAATTAAGACGACAAGTGAAGCATGCAGCATTGGCATAAAGCACAAGCATATAAGCAAAGCAACTTGACAGAAGCGTAAGGTCAAACAAAGAAAACTGAAAATTATATTTTTGTTTCCTCCATGAGAATATATGCTCTGCTTTGTTTTCTCGCTTATGTTTATGAATTTAGTAGTGAAAACTGGGCTTAAACTATGCAAAAAATGAACATGACATTCCGTTTTCTTTGTCTTTTAGTCTCACGAGAAAAGAAAACTTAAGATTTCTTGCTCGTGCTTAATGCACTATTGTCAAGTTGGTATCATCATCATCAGCGCTCGTTAAATTATAAAATCATAGTTTTAAACTGAAAACTTAATAAGGTCGATCGGCGGTTCTTTTAGGCAATCGTTTTAGTTAACGGCAGTTTGCATGAAAACGCAGATCGTTTAACAAGATGATGTTAACTAACTTCATGACCCCAGTTTTTGAATAGAAGTCATAGAGCATTACGTTCTTAATTACTCTTTAAATACCTTCTTTTAAAAACTGTTTTTGCTTCTCCCATTTAGCTACGTCGTAAACCTTACCATGACATCTTCAAACTCGTAATTTAAGCAGCTATAACGCAAAGTATCAACGATCATATATAACAGATAATAATTTGAATGTTATTTAAAAACAGATAATAACAGGCTGGGTTGTTCAAAAATATATGATTGCTATCCACCAGCATGATCAGAGTATATGATTGGTTTGAAGTACTACGAAGAACGTACATTCGTACAACACACAAAGAAATAGTAAATCTAAAGATTGAGCGCTATTGTTTCATTGCTGAATGAGCATTCATTTAATTTTTTGTTTAAGTCTAATAATTTTGAATACATTAAGCTCCTGAATTATCGTATTGTCTTCTTGCGGTAAATTGGTTAGTTATGTCTTGTAATCATTAGAAAAATGAATTCAACTCTTTTTATTGCTCTTTTAAAACAAGCAGAGAGAAAAGAATGAAAGGGGAAAAGAATCACAAGTTTCATAAAGCCTAATTTTCAATTAAAGGATAAGCACAAGCGACAAAACAAAGTAAAGCATATTCTCCAGAGGTTGGAGGAAACAAAACAATAAGAATTTTCTTTACAATTTGCTTTTGTCTTTCGTGTCAAGTAGCTGTGCTTGTGCTTATGTTGAGGATTATTTCCTGATAAGCGAAAAGGCAGCAAGCAACCTTTCCCAATCACTAGAATCCATTTTTTCATTACTTTAAGGCATATTTCATATACAACATGCAAAGATATCGAATCAATTAAATAAATTGTCAATACTCGTTTACAATATATACATTAATTGATTGAACATACTGAAGAACGTTATCAAAATGTTGCTACAACCAAAAGTTTGAATCGTAGGAATAACCATTTATCAATTTTACAAACATAATGTAACTTGTGTCTTCTTTTACTAAAAGATCGCCCTAATCTCCTATTTAATGGATTTTGCATGGCAAAGTTCTTTCTAAAACATCTACGTTGTACCTTTTGTGCCCTAAAGGACTACCTTGTATCATTTTTTCTCTTCCATTTTTTAAACCTCGAGGGGAAATAAGAAATATGAAATAAAGACCAGGGGATTTCACAGCTTTTACTTCAATGTTACCTCTTATGGCACCTTGTTTACGTAATACGTGCGATACAGGATAGGCTAAAATACTGGTTTGTTTTAAAGTATGTTAAATTATATGTTTGGTAGCGTATTTAGTATTCTGACCTACCCCGGATACGCTATTTTACATGATGCAGGGTATCTTCCTTGTAATGTAAAAGACATATTTACCAATAAAATTTTATACTATAAAATTGCTATACTACTCTGTAGTTTGAAAATTTTTTGTCACTGTCAATGATAATCTTTTCAATGCTTTCGAAGCTTAAAATAATCAGGTGTTGTATGTTCAGGACATTGGTGGCTTGGATTTATTGTGCCACATAACAGACCACCAAACAATAGCCCAAGATGAACAGCCACGTTCTTGCATGTGAGACGGTGGCTGAATTTGTATCCGACAGAGGATTTTCTAAAGGGTTGAAAGAGAAATTTCTTAGATGCCAGAGAATATTAAACGTTTTTCATTGTTTTATCGTATTACACTTGTCAAATCATGAAATTTACAAAGTCATTGATTGAAAGAAAACCGCTGATAAAGGGAGATTTTTAAATCAGCTAGCAAAAGATTTATGGGGTGTTAACATTTAAGATAGGTAAAGTTGAAATATTGTTTGCACTTACTATCAGCTGGGGTTTTGCACGTTTGTCCTTTTGTGTAATTACTTGGTTCGCTCAATCCATAAACGTTCTCAGCAATTACTCGGAAAACTATGTCTGTGTAAGGATTCAGTCCCTTCACGATACGACCTTCTATGTTACCACTTACAGTCATGTTGTCCGTTACATTGTACCACATAGTCATATTTTCCATCACACTCCACTGGATGAAGACTCTGTCCACAGTGTGATAAGGGTTGAGGTATAACGTCCAAGTAAGATTAGCAGTGAAGTTTTGACATCCTCCATTGATGTTTAAATTTTGTGGAGCATTTGGAGGACCTGTTAAATGAGGTTCAGATGACAGAGGTTTCAAAAAATCAGGAATGGTGATAAAATTTACAGAGCTCAAATTTTTATGCTTTTACGTATATAAAATTAGGATGAAATAAGAAAACTGTTTCCTCCTCTGAATAAGAGAAAAAATACAGAGATCACTGGATATTGATCTTACCGTTAGCAATGACGAGGGCCGTTGAAGTTTTTCCTGTATTGTAAATGTTCGTCTTGACAAACGCTCGACATTTATATTCTCCGCTGTCTTGTAGCTTGATTAAGAAAATACAACATACACGTGATATAATACCAATTTATATTGTACAGCATATATTATTGAGAGAAGCACAATTTCTAAAATAACATTTTCGATGTGTAGTTACGCGCCCGTAACCTTTATTGAAAAAAGAGGATCGCACTTTCAATTTTTGACAGATAACCTGTGGATGTATTTTCCTGTTCTGTTATGTTTAAAGAATTGCTCAATGTCATCCAACATTAGTCCAATGAACGGTGATGCTCTTTCATAGCTCATATTTTTGTTCATTGTCTATGACTGGTACTAACATTAGTAAAATTAGTCATGGGATTAAAAGTTTGAGCAGTGTCTATGGTATTGGACTAACAAAGCTGGGTACTTTGAACAAGCTCTCTCCTTTTTCTCACCACATCATTAAAATATTGTGTCTTGTTATTTTTACAATGTTCTTATATTTTGGATATTCTACTCACTTGAGATGAAGTCACATTTAAGGTTTGATTGCTTTTTCCCAAGTCTTTTCCATTGTGAAACCATTTATATTGGATAGGTAGATCTGGCTTGGAGTAAGCTTCACATTGTAGTGAGAAGCTTTCTCCTTTCTTCACATCTGTCTTGTTCTGAGGTCGTTTTGTGAAGATGATCATCGCTATAGATATTAATGAAAGAGTTTCAATGGCTTAATATCAAGAATGTCCATCTTTGACCATTTTACCCTTTTTTCTTATCTTAACACTTTTCGTCCATTATATACAACATTATACTTATTTTAGCCATATTGTTTTATTCCAAATTAGACTCATTCTAGCAAAGTTAATCTTAGTCTTGTTGCAAATCCATACTGTTCGTTTCAATATTCATGTAAGTCATGTACCTTGCTTTCCCGAAGGCGCCTGTGCAATAGGACATTCACCACTTGTTCCTTCGCTATTGTAAGTTAGTACGCAAAATTCCCACAACTCTAACGGAGCTGTATTGTTGATGATAAACTCCGGGGCACTGCCAACTGGAAGAACTTCTTGTTGCCATATTTTAATACCAGATTTTCTGTTTTGAAATACATAACCAAATCCCGGGCCGTTTTGATTCAGTTTTGGAACTTCCTAAAGCAATTTAGTTATCCTGCGTTAGGCGTTATGGTTTTAGACGAAACAATATTGCTATGTCATTGTCTCACCTGCCATGTTACTCTAATGTCATGAGGACGTGTTGAGCTTCCATTCACAATAATGGGACAGAACGAAGGCTCTGTGAATGAACAAAACGAGTGTTTGATGCAATGAGCATGATTTGAAGGCAATTAAAATCTTTACTGTTTTGTAAAATGATTTGTAAGCTTTGGGTATCAAGTGAGGGGTCGCTTCTGTAGAAATTTTCATTGTATTTTTCGTGACATCTGGTTTGAACGCCGCCTATTTTTGAAATCTCCTTCTCTTTGTTTTTGTTGAAACTCTCAGATGGCAAAGGATTTGGAGGATATTCACATTAATTTGTACAGTTCATATAATATTAGTACTTACTCTCAGCTGGAGTTTTGCACGTTGGTCCTTTAGTGACATTACTTGACTCGCTCAGTCCGTCTACGTTCTCGGCAAACGCTCGGAATACTATCTTTGCGTAAGGTTTCATTCCTTTCAAGATATGGCCTTCTACGTTGCCTTGCACGTAATCTGATGCGTTGTACCATGTAATCGTGTCATGTGATATAATACCCCACTGCAATTGGATACCCGTCAAGGGCTTGTATGGATTACGGTATGAAATGATCCATGTGAGGTTTGCAGTGAAGTTTGTGCATGTTCCGTGAAGTCGTAGATTCTCCGGGGCTTCTGGCGGTCCTGTAGCATAAAGCGCGTTTTTAGACTGCTTGGCGTGATAGAAAGTTTCCATAGATATGATAATATGCGCTATCGAACAATGTACTTTTTATTGTTAATCAATCAGAGATTGCTTCTATGTGACTTATCCTTTACAAAAGGAAATTCGGGTTAAGGCGTGTGGATGTATTTTTAGTTGCTCGTTTACTGTTTCTATTTCTCTGCTTACCGTGGACTATCACAATTGCGCTAGATCTTTTCTCCGAGCTTGAGCTGTAGGCAATGCAGGTGTAGACGCCACTGTCACGGCTCTAAAACAACATGCAGTCAGTTGAGGAGCTTTTAAAATTACTCAACTGTGAGTTTTTCTCATTAATCAAAACACATTTCATTGACTCAATCATTAATCCTGTGAGAGCATAAGGCAATCCACATGATAATTTGGCTTTGCGAGTTAGACAACAAGAAAAGCAGACCTTCGCATTTGATATGGTTAACTTTTTGTTCGTTAGATCCCATAATGCATTGCTTTTCATCATTTCGGCTCCGTTGTAAAGCCATTTGTAACGAATGTTCAACGGTGGGTCGGAATCAGCTTCGCAGAGCAATGAGAAACTTTCTCCATCCATCACATCAGTCTTGTTTTCTGGTCGCTGGATGAAAACAATTTCCGCTGTAAGAAAAAAAATATCGTGATTTTACCCGTGATGCATGTAGATGATCGACCAGATATCTCGTATATAACAATACGAAGGTCGAGGCGAGTGGTCTACTGCAATGTCAATGATTTGAGGCCAGAAAGATCTAATAAGTATATCAAAATTATATCTAGTCTTGATAAAACAGTCGCTCCTTTTTGTGCAACAAAATGCTCATGCGCAGTCATTGTGCGTTCCTTTTGTCTGATTACGCACCTCTTCACACGATATTGCGTAATATGACATGAATATCGTTGAATGAAGGTTAGTGTACCATAGTACTTACCGACTTTAATATACCTGTCTTTACTGACACTGCCAAATATACTCACGCAATACAAGCATAGATCCCGCTGTCGTTGTGGGATAGATTATGCGAGCAAGTCTTGATCATCTTTGAGATCATATTTTGTCGTTTTTTATTTCCAACTTTTCTCCTTTGAAAAACCAATCATGTTTTGCTCGCGGAATGGCTTCCGATATACACGAGATCTGACCAGTGTTACCCACAGTAAAATCCTTTGCTATCAAATCTGATGTGATATCTGGAGGCTTCACTGAAAATACGACAAACAAGGTTTGCTTACTGCGGTTTTTGTTTTGTATTTAACTTTGTAAATCTTCTATGACCTGTTGTTATACGGAGTGAGAAACGAGCATGTCGTCTTTTGTCAAGGGTGAATCAATAATGGTGGTAATAAAACTCTAAACATGACTTAATGGCTTACTCAATATACATCATTTTGAAACAGTGATAAAAGGCATTCATTATGTTTCGTTTTAATTCGAAAAAATTCTTGAAAATGGAAACACTATCTGGAAACACCAAATGGAAAATTTATTGGAAGTGAAATCTATCGTTGCACTGCATATGTAGATGTGACCAGTTGACAAATGGTTGTGGCATATGTACCCACCTTGAACTTGAAGCGACACTGTCTGATATGCAAAACCAAAAGCATTCTTCGCAACACATTGATACATTCCGTTATCACTGGGTTCAACACTATGAATCGTTAGTGTTCCGTTTTCGATTGTGTAACGGTTGCTATAAACGATATACGTGAAGGTTATAATCAATTGTATTGATATATAAAGATGGTTTTGCTTTCAAGAACATGATCTACTTATTCCCGTGATAAAAATACGTTATGTTGACTTAGTTCAATGTCCGCTTTAACTGCATTGCCCTAAATCATGTAAACTACTAGTAAACTGACCATAAACATTCCCGTTGCAAAAACTGGAGATTTGTCAAACCAACAACGTTTTGTAACGTCACGTGTTCTCTCGGTTTGCTTTTCCTGGAAAAGTTTGCGTGCGTATATCTCGAGGCGAGGACGTCAACTTCAAAAGGAACATGTGTTGTTATGTTTTATCAAGTGATGTTCCAACTTACCTCACATTGCTCATAGCGGTTGTATTGGCATACCATTGAAGCGTTGGCTCCGGATCACCTTTGGTCAAACAACTCCAAGTATGCCGAGAAAAAATGTTCGGCTTACTGCTGACTATTGTTTTGACAAACGTAGGCGGTTCTGCAAAAGAATTTTAAAGGCATTTTAGCATTTAAACGTTGTTTAACTTTAAATACATTTCAAATTAATGAACTGTTTGATTATTGGGAAAAACATAGAAATATCAAAATCTTATGTTTCATATGTGAAATTCATTAACAAATATCTATACTGTCAATGGTCACGTGACACGTGTAAATTCCCGCGTTGCGAGACTTCACGTTTTCAATCAACAATACTCTGTTGTATTCTAAAAGAGCGACGCCGTCAATTTGATGAAACACTTGGCTCTTTTTACCCTGCAAATCCGTCTTCTCCCAACGATACTTTGGAGTTGGACTGGATGATTTTAAAGAGACGTTAAAATTAGTTGAATTTTGCTGATCCCCATTCTACCAATTGTCAAAGGAAAGTGGTTTGGCACGAAGATATGGCGTGCTTTTGGATTGGGCTGGGAAAACTTAGTTATAATGTTGGAGGTAGTTGGTGATCAGATACGATTGAGGACTAGTTGCACCTTTCCATTAGAAAAATTGTAGTTTCGTAGCGAGTAAAGAAAGTGATGAACTGCGAACTTACTATCCAGCGGCAACACATCTTAATTTTACTATATCTCCCCGGGCCACTTCTTGGTTTGGGATTTTTTGAACGTCAGGACCAAACGAGGTGATGTTCTCTGGGAAAACAAAAAATCGTTTGTGCATATCGTTTTAACTATTTGTATTGTGACCTCCTGGGTTGCTACTTGAATAAAAATATGCCTACCTCCTGTAATTTTGAATCTAAAAACTCCAGACTTTTGAAAGTTAAAGCTTGAGCCGCCTTCTTTGGCTTCGACCAGGCATCTTATGCCACGCTTTTGTTTAATGAATGCTAGATTAGCTTTGGTGACGTGAGAAAAAAACAATCTACCATCTCCCATGACCAATGCGTTCACGACGTCGGAAAAGAGCCATGTCCCCAAAGCAGTGAGGCCACCCCAATTGTAAATGGCGTACTTGGTGTAGCCATGGGTGGACAATCTATTGGTTGTTGTCCGACAGTAACATTAAGTGTTTGATCGTTGTCGTCGAAAAGCTGCCAGCAACTGCAAGGAATGATATCATAGTTTGCAAAGGAATCGAAAGAAACGTTAATTTTGCTTACGGCGGACATTGAGATGCGTGTCAAATTCAAGTGCCACTGAGGAAGTCAAGTTCATCGCCTCATATGCCGTTCTTATATAGCCATATGGCGTTACATAATCATGCATGATTCATAATGAGCATGCGCAATGATTTGACCGATATACAGTCTTCAATATACGATAAAAATAGTGAGCACGTTAACGTTCTCTTACGTACCCTTGAAATCCACTTTAATTTCGCGCCCAAAAAACATGTTACGATGGGCAGATTATCTACTAGGCTAAGTAGGCTTAAGCCTACAGGCCTGGGCTTTTGAGAGGCCCGTTGTATCTAGACATTATTATGATTTAGACGTTATTGCTATTCTGGACTGGCTGAACGAGCTTAATTTAGATCATTTATGCTAATGAAAACCTAAACGAGTTATTGAATGTAGAAGGAAAATGGCCTTAGTACTGTCTACTGTTCAAATGCGCAATGCTCAGAACTCATGAAGTATTGGCTTTTACTATTTCCCTGACCATGTCAATGATTTTCAAAATTTCGTTTTGAAATTTTTCCCATTTTCTACCCTATGCAGGGGCGGATCTAGGCCATGGCGAAAGTGGCTTGAGCCACGGTCAGAATTCTGCCACTTAGGTTTTTCCAGGGTTGACTTTTTCATGATTAAAAATTTTGCTCAAATACAGAAAAATTCGATCAAAAGCAAAAATTGAATGAATTTTGTAATTTTTTGTCAAAAACTTGTGTTAACAGAACAAAAACTTCAAATTAAACGTCTTGTTAAAATAGTATTAAAGTAAATGGTTTGAACCCGGGAGTATCGTTATATGTTTGTAAATGATGATCGTCCAGGTTAATAAAGTCCTGAGAAGGACTGTTTTTGTTGTTGTTGACTGACGTTTCGACAACCTTAGCGGTAGTCATCTTCAGAGTCAAATGAGGAGTAAACGTCAGGTTAGCCGTATTTGTTATCTGGTTCTTACGTCATTGTATTGTGTGTACAGGAAATGTGTGCGTCATTGTATTGTGTGTACAGGAAATGTGTATTGTCATTGTGGATTAGTGTGAAGTGAAATTGACGTATTTAGTTGTAATGTGTGGGTGTCAATTGTGTATTGTCATTGTGAATTAGTTTAAAGTGCAGTGTTTTTAGTTGATCGTTTGTTTGTATTGTGAATAAGTCGTTTGTAAGGTGCCGGTAATTGCTGTGATCTGTTCAGGGGGGTTTGTTCCAAGTTGGTATACCAACTTTCTAATGTAAGCCGTTGTCTATAGTCAGTACTGTAAGTGATGCATTTTGCCGAATCCCAGTCAATGTTGTGCTTTGTGATTCGGTGATGTTCGGCAATGTGATTAGTTTTGTCTTGTTTCTTAGTAGCTCGTTTGTGCTCAGTAAGTCTTATGTTTAAGTTCCTGCCAGTTTCTCCGATATAGGAGGCGTGGCAGTCGGAGCAGTTTATTTTGTAAACTGCACCTTGTCGTTCGTTGGGTTGTTCTTTGTCCTTTATGTTCGTTAGTACTTGTCGTAACGTTGTGATTGGTTTATGTGCGACACGTATGTTGTATGGTCGTAAGATACGCGAGATAGTCTCAGACGTACCTTTGATGTAAGGTATCGTTGCTGTTGTCACTGAGTTGCTCGTTTTGTTGGGTTCGTTGGGTTCGTTGGGTTTGTAAGTGTTGCGTTTGATAAAGTCAGAGTTATAGTTGTTTTTGTCAAAAACACGTTTGAGATAGTTGTTTTCGTTTTGTAGAGCGTCCGGTGAATCACATATGATTTGTGCACGTCTTGTTAATGTTCTGATTGTGGTGGCTTTGTGTGATGTAGGGTTGTAAGATGATTGGTCTAGTAGTCGGTCAGTATGTGTTGGCTTGCGATAAACTGTTGTTCGTAGTTTTTGATTGTCATGTTTTACAAACAGTCGAGAAAGGAAGAGTTCCGTTTTCTTCGACATCTTTGGTAAATTGTGTAGCTGTTCTGTTTGTTGATGTGAGTATGAAAGTCATTAATGTCGTCTGCATGTAGTGCTGTGATTGTGTCATCTACGTGCGAAACCAAAAGGTAGTGCATGTTTGTAAGTCGTGAGCGCCCGTTCCTCTATAGATTGCATTACAATTTCCTTGCTACAACAGAAACAGGCAGGCCATTGCCGTCCCATGTAATTGTTTGTAGTGTGTTCCTTTGTATTGGAAGTACGTCGAGGTGAGGCAGAGCTCCAGTAACTCCATAATGTCTTCTGTCGGTAATGGCAGTACGTCCGTGGTGTTTGTAATGAGGGTTTTTGTACAAGTAAGTGCCAGATTAAGTGGAATACTGGTGAACAGTGATTTCACATCAAAAGACACTAGTATATAGTTGTCCGGTATTTGTATAGTGCTCAGTTTTTTAATGAAAGTGTCAGTGGATTGTAGCTTGTGTTTTGATTTGTTTGTAAGTGGTTGCAGTATGCTAGTCAAGTACTTTGAAAGTTCGTAATTAGGCGAGCCACAGAATGATACAATTGGTCGCATGGGTATTTGTGGTTTGTGAAGTTTTGGTAGTCCGTATAGCCTGGGTGGTCGTGGTACTGAACATCTGAGTCGATAGTAAACACGTTCAGATATAATGTTAGATTTTCTCATAGAGAAGATCTTGCTGTTAAGTTTGCGTACTAGTGATGGTGTTGGGTCTCGTTTGAGTTGTTCGTACGTTTGTCTGTCGTTAACAAGGGTGTCCATTTTGTTAAAGTAATCATTCCTGTCCATGACCACAGTCACGCGTCCTTTGTCTGCTGGTAAAATGACGATGTTGTTGTCGTGTTTTAGTCGTTTGAGTGCTTGTTGCTCGTCTTTTGTCAAGTTGTTGTCACGTATAGAGGACGATTGTAAAGTGGAGGCTATCCTGCTTCTGATCTCGTCTTTGGTTGTCTCTGACAAGTCTCTTTGATATGCTACGACAGCATATCAAAGAGATATACTTGGTATACTTGGTATACCAACTTGGAATACCAACTTGGTATAGTTGGTATACTTGGTATACCAACTTGGTATAGTTGGTATACTTGATATAGTTGGTATACTTGGTATACCAACTTGGAACAAACCCCCCTGAACAGATCACAGCAATTACCGGCACCTTACAAACGACTTATTCACAATACAAACAAACGATCAACTAAAAACACTGCACTTTAAACTAATTCACAATGACAATACACAATTGACACCCACACATTACAACTAAATACGTCAATTTCACTTCACACTAATCCACAATGACAATACACATTTCCTGTACACACAATACAATGACGCACACATTTCCTGTACACACAATACAATGACGTAAGAACCAGATAACAATACGGCTAACCTGACGTTTACTCCTCATTTGACTCTGAAGATGACTACCGCTAAGGTTGTCGAAACGTCAGTCAACAACAACAAAAACAGTCCTTCTCAGGACTTTATTAACCTGGACGATCATCATTTACAAACATATAACTATACTCCCGGGTTCAAACCATTTACTTTATTACTATTTTAACAAGACCCTTAATTTGAAGTTTTTGTTCTGTTAACACAAGTTTTTGACAAAAAATTACAAAATTCATTCAATTTTTGCTTTTGATCGAATTTTTCTGTATTTGAGCAAAATTTTTAATCATGAAAAAGTCAACCCTGGAAAAACTTAAGTGGCAGAATTCTGACCGTGGCTCAAACCACTTTCATATGCCTAGATCCGCCCTGCATGGGAGAAAATGGGAAAAATTTCTAAACGAAATTTTGAAAATCATGACATGGTCAGGGAAATAGTAAAAGCCAATACTTCATGAGTTCTGAGCATTGCGCATTTGAACAGTAGACAGTACTAAGGCCATTTTCCTTCTACATTCAATAACTCGTTTAGGTTTTCATTAGCATAAATGATCTAAATTAAGCTCGTTCAGCCAGTCAGAATAGCAAAACGTCTAAATCATAATAATGTCTAGATACAACGGGCCTCTCAAAAGCCCAGGCCTGTAGGCTTAAGCCTACTTAGCCTAGTAGATAATCTGCCCATCGTAACATGTTTTTTGGGCGCGAAATTAAAGTGGAGTTCAAGGGTACGTAAGAGAACGTTAACGTGCTCACTATTTTTATCGTATATTGAAGACTGTATATCGGTCAAATCATTGCGCATGCTCATTATGAATCATGCATGATTATGTAACGCCATTTGGCTATATAAGAACGGCATATGAGGCGATGAACTTGACTTCCTCAGTGGCACTTGAATTTGACACGCATCTCAATGTCCGCCGTAAGCAAAATTAACGTTTCTTTCGATTCCTTTGCAAACTATGATATCATTCCTTGCAGTTGCTGGCAGCTTTTTCGACGACAACGATCAAACACTTAATGTTACTGTCGGACAACAACTAACAATAGATTGTCCACCTCATGGCTACACCAAGTACGCCATTTACAATTGGGGTGGCCTCACTGCTTTGGGGACATGGCTCTTTTCCGACGTCGTGAACGCATTGGTCATGGGAGATGGTAGATTGTTTTTTTCTCACGTCACCAAAGCTAATCTAGCATTCATTAAACAAAAGCGTGGCATAAGATGCCTGGTCGAAGCCAAAGAAGGCGGCTCAAGCTTTAACTTTCAAAAGTCTGGAGTTTTTAGATTCAAAATTACAGGAGGTAGGCATATTTTTATTCAAGTAGCAACCCAGGAGGTCACAATACAAATAGTTAAAACGATATGCACAAACGATTTTTTGTTTTCCCAGAGAACATCACCTCGTTTGGTCCTGACGTTCAAAAAATCCCAAACCAAGAAGTTGCCCGGGGAGATATAGTAAAATTAAGATGTGTTGCCGCTGGATAGTAAGTTCGCAGTTCATCACTTTCTTTACTCGCTACGAAACTAAGCTACAATTTTTCTAATGGAAAGGTGCAACTAGTCCTCAATCGTATCTGATCACCAACTACCTCCAACATTATAACTAAGTTTTCCCAGCCCAAATCCAAAAGCACGCCATATCTTCGTGCCAAACCACTTTCCTTTGACAATTGGTAGAATGGGGGATCAGCAAAATTCAACTAATTTTAACGTCTCTTTTAAAATCATCCAGTCCAACTCCAAAGTATCGTTGGGAGAAGACGGATTTGCAGGGTAAAAAGAGCCAAGTGTTTCATCAAATTGACGGCGTCGCTCTTTTAGAATACAACAGAGTATTGTTGATTGAAAACGTGAAGTCTCGCAACGCGGGAATTTACACGTGTCACGTGACCATTGACAAAAATAATATCAAGAGAACTGCGTCAGAGGAAACAAAAATTGTCGTTAGAGGTACATGAAAAGCTTGTTAAGGGTTGAATTTCACATAGGATGAAACATAAGATACGCCTTTGAGACACATTTGCATATACCTCTAAAAGATGTTTTTTCCCAATAATCAAACAGTTCATTAACTTTGAAATGTATTTGTGCCTTTAAATGCCTAAGTTAAACAACGTTTAAATGCTAAAATGCCTTTAAAATTCTTTTGCAGAACCGCCTACGTTTGTCAAAACAATAGTCAGCAGTAAGCCGAACATTTTTTCTGGCACTGAGTTGTTTGACCAAAAGGTGATCGGAACCAACGCTTCAATGGTATGTAATACAACCGCTATGAGCAATGTGAGGTAAGTTGGAACATCACTTGATAAAACATAACAACACATGTTCCTTTTGAAGTTGACGTCCTCGCCTCGAGATATACGCACGCAAACTTTTCCAGGAAAAGCAAACCGAGAGAACACGTGACGTTACAAAACGTTGTTGGTTTGACAAATCTCCAGTTTTGCAGCAGGAATGTTTATGGTCAGTTTACTAGTAGTTTACATGATTTAGGGCAATGCAGTTAAAGCGGACATTGAACTAAATCAACATAACATATTTTATCACGGGAATAAGTAGATCATGTTCTTGAAAGCAAAACCATCTTTATATATCAATACAATTGATTATAACCTTCACGTATATCGTTTATAGCAACCGTTACACAATCGAAAACGGAACACTAACGATTCATAGTGTTGAACCCAGTGATAACGGAATGTATCAATGTGTTGCGAAGAATGCTTTTGGTTTTGCATATCAGACAGTGTCGCTTCAAGTTCAAGGTGGGGTGCACATATGCCACAACCATTTGTCAACTGGTCACATCTACATATGCAGTGCAACGATAGATTTCACTTCCAATAAATTTTCCATTTGGTGTTTCCAGATAGTGTTTCCATTTTCAAGAATTTTTTTCGAATTAAAACGAAACATAATGAATGCCTTTTATCACTGTTTCAAAATGATGTATATTGAGTAAGCCATTAAGTCATGTTTAGAGTTTTATTACCACCATTATTGATTCACCCTTGACAAAAGACGACATGCTCGTTTCTCACTCCGTATAACAACAGGTCATAGAAGATTTACAAAGTTAAATACAAAACAAAAACCGCAGTAAGCAAACCTTATTTGTCGTATTTTCAGTGAAGCCTCCAGATATCACATCAGATTTGATAGCAAAGGATTTTACTGTGGGTAACACTGGTCAGATCTCGTGTATATCGGAAGCCATTCATGAGCAAAACATGATTGGTTTTTCAAAGGAGAAAAGTTGGAAATAAACAAAACGACAAAATATGATCTCAAAGATGATCAAGACTTGCTCGTGCATAATCTATCCCACAACGACAGCGGGATCTATGCTTGTATTGCGAGTAATATGTTTGGCAGTGTCAGTAAAGACAGGTATATTAAAGTCGGTAAGTACTATGGTACACTAACCTTCATTCAACGATATTCATGTCATATTACGCAATATCGTGTGAAGAGGTGCGTAATCAGACAAAAGGAACGCACAATGACTGCGCATGAGCATTTTGTTGCACAAAAAGGAGCGACTGTTTTATCAAGACTAGATATAATTTTGATATACTTATTAGATCTTTCTGGCCTCAAATCATTGACATTGCAGTAGACCACTCGCCTCGACCTTCGTATTGTTATATACGAGATATCTGGTCGATCATCTACATGCGTCACGGGTAAAATCACGATATTTTTTTTCTTACAGCGGAAATTGTTTTCATCCAGCGACCAGAAAACAAGACTGATGTGATGGATGGAGAAAGTTTCTCATTGCTCTGCGAAGCTGATTCCGACCCACCGTTGAACATTCGTTACAAATGGCTTTACAACGGAGCCGAAATGATGAAAAGCAATGCATTATGGGATCTAACGAACAAAAGTAACCATATCAAATGCGAAGGTCTGCTTTTCTTGTTGTCTAACTCGCAAAGCCAAATTATCATGTGGATTGCTTTATGCTCTCACAGGATTAATGATTGAGTCAATGAAATGTGTTTTGATTAATGAGAAAAACTCACAGTTGAGTAATTTTAAAAGCTCCTCAACTGACTGCATGTTGTTTTAGAGCCATGACAGTGGCGTCTACACCTACATTGCCTACAGCTCAAGCTCGGAGAAAAGATCTAGCGCAATTGTGATAGTCCACGGTAAGCAGAGAGAAATAGAAACAGTAAACGAGCAACTAAAAATACATCCACACGCCTTAACCCGAACCTTTTGTAAAGGATAAGTCACATGAAGCAATCTCTGATTGATTAACAATAAAAAAGTACATTGTTCGATAGCGCATATTATCATATCTATGGAAACTTTCTATCACGCCAAGCAGTCTAAAAACGCGCTTTATGCTACAGGACCGCCAGAAGCCCCGGAGAATCTACGACTTCACGGAACATGCACAAACTTCACTGCAAACCTCACATGGATCATTTCATACCGTAATCCATACAAGCCCTTGACGGGTATCCAATTGCAGTGGGGTATTATATCACATGACACGATTACATGGTACAACGCATCAGATTACGTGCAAGGCAACGTAGAAGGCCATATCTTGAAAGGAATGAAACCACACGAAAGTTATTCCGAGCGTTTGCCGAGAACGTAGACGGACTGAGCGAGTCAAGTAATGTCACTAAAGGACCAACGTGCAAAACTCCAGCTGAGTAAGTACTAATATTATATGAACTGTACAAATTAATGTGAATATCCTCCAAATCCTTTGCCATCTGAGAGTTTCAACAAAAACAAAGAGAAGGAGATTTCAAAAATAGGCGGCGTTCAAACCAGATGTCACGAAAAATACAATGAAAATTTCTACAGAAGCGACCCCTCACTTGATACCCAAAGCTTACAAATCATTTTACAAAACAGTAAAGATTTTAATTGCCTTCAAATCATGCTCATTGCATCAAACACTCGTTTTGTTCATTCACAGAGCCTTCGTTCTGTCCCATTATTGTGAATGGAAGCTCAACACGTCCTCATGACATTAGAGTAACATGGCAGGTGAGACAATGACATAGCAATATTGTTTCGTCTAAAACCATAACGCCTAACGCAGGATAACTAAATTGCTTTAGGAAGTTCCAAAACTGAATCAAAACGGCCCGGGATTTGGTTATGTATTTCAAAACAGAAAATCTGGTATTAAAATATGGCAACAAGAAGTTCTTCCAGTTGGCAGTGCCCCGGAGTTTATCATCAATACAGCTCCGTTAGAGTTGTAGAATTTTGCGTACAATACAGAAGGAACAAGTGGTGAATGTCCTATTGCACAGGCGCGGGAAAGCAAGGTACATGACTTACATGAATATTGAAACGAACAGTATGGATTTGCAACAAGACTAAGATTAACTTTGCTAGAATGAGTCTAATTTGGAATAAAACAATATGGCTAAAATAAGTATAATGTTGTATATAATGGACGAAAAGTGTTAAGATAAGAAAAAAGGGTAAAATGGTCAAAGATGGACATTCTTGATATTAAGCCATTGAAACTCTTTCATTAATATCTATAGCGATGATCATCTTCACAAAACGACCTCAGAACAAGACAGATGTGAAGAAAGGAGAAAGCTTCTCACTACAATGTGAAGCTTACTCCAAAGAATCTACCTATCAATATAAATGGTTTCACAATGGAAAAGACTTGGGAAAAGCAATCAAACCTTAAATGTGACTTCATCTCAAGTGAGTAGAATATCCAAAATATAAGAACATTGTAAAAATAACAAGACACAATATTTTAATGATGTGGTGAGAAAAAGGAGAGAGCTTGTTCAAAGTACCCAGCTTTGTTAGTCCAATACCATAGACACTGCTCAAACTTTTAATCCCATGACTAATTTTACTAATGTTAGTACCAGTCATAGACAATGAACAAAAATATGAGCTATGAAAGAGCATCACCGTTCATTGGACTAATGTTGGATGACATTGAGCAATTCTTTAAACATAACAGAACAGGAAAATACATCCACAGGTTATCTGTCAAAAATTGAAAGTGCGATCCTCTTTTTTCAATAAAGGTTACGGGCGCGTAACTACACATCGAAAATGTTATTTTAGAAATTGTGCTTCTCTCAATAATATATGCTGTACAATATAAATTGGTATTATATCACGTGTATGTTGTATTTTCTTAATCAAGCTACAAGACAGCGGAGAATATAAATGTCGAGCGTTTGTCAAGTGAACATTTACAAGGAAAAACTTCAACGGCCCTCGTCATTGCTAACGGTAAGATCAATATCCAGTGATCTCTGTATTTTTTCTCTTATTCAGAGGAGGAAACAGTTTTCTTATTTCATCCTAATTTTATATACGTAAAAGCATAAAAATTTGAGCTCTGTAAATTTTATCACCATTCCTGATTTTTTGAAACCTCTGTCATCTGAACCTCATTTAACAGGTCCTCCAAATGCTCCACAAAATTTAAACATCAATGGAGGATGTCAAAACTTCACTGCTAATCTTACTTGGACGTTATACCTCAACCCTTATCACACTGTGGACAGAGTCTTCATCCAGTGGAGTGTGATGGAAAATATGACTATGTGGTACAATGTAACGGACAACATGACTGTAAGTGGTAACATAGAAGGTCGTATCGTGAAGGGACTGAATCCTTACACAGACATAGTTTTCCGAGTAATTGCTGAGAACGTTTATGGATTGAGCAGACAAAGTAATTACACAAAGGACAAACGTGCAAAACCCCAGCTGATAGTAAGTGCAAACAATATTTCAACTTTACCTATCTTAAATGTTAACACCCCATAAATCTTTTGCTAGCTGATTTAAAAATCTCCCTTTATCAGCGGTTTTCTTTCAATCAATGACTTTGTAAAATTTCATGATTTGACAAGTGTAATACGATAAAACAATGAAAAACGTTTAATATTCTCTGGCATCTAAGAAATTTCTCTTTCAACCCTTTAGAAAATCCTCTGTCGGATACAAATTCAGCCACCGTCTCACATGCAAGAACGTGGCTGTTCATCTTGGGCTATTGTTTGGTGGTCTGTTATGTGGCACAATAAATCCAAGCCACCAATGTCCTGAACATACAACACCTGATTATTTTAAGCTTCGAAAGCATTGAAAAGATTATCATTGACAGTGACAAAAAAATTTTCAAACTACAGAGTAGTATAGCAATTTTATAGTATAAAATTTTATTGGTAAATATGTCTTTTTACATTACAAGGAAGATACCCTGCATCATGTAAAATAGCGTATCCGGGGTAGGTCAGAATACTAAATACGCTACCAAACATATAATTTAACATACTTTAAAACAAACCAGTATTTTAGCCTATCCTGTATCGCACGTATTACGTAAACAAGGTGCCATAAGAGGTAACATTGAAGTAAAAGCTGTGAAATCCCCTGGTCTTTATTTCATATTTCTTATTTCCCCTCGAGGTTTAAAAAATGGAAGAGAAAAAATGATACAAGGTAGTCCTTTTAGGGCACAAAAGGTACAACGTAGATGCTTTTAGAAAGAACTTTTGCCATGCAAAAATCCATTAAATAGGAGATTAAGGGCGATCTTTTAGTAAAAGAAGACACAAGTTACATTATGTTTGTAAAATTGATAAATGGTTATTCCTACGATTCAAACTTTTGGTTGTAGCAACATTTTGATAACGTTCTTCAGTATGTTCAATCAATTAATGTATATATTGTAAACGAGTATTGACAATTTATTTAATTGATTCGATATCTTTGCATGTTGTATATGAAATGCCTTAAAGTAATGAAAAATGGATTCTAGTGATTGGGAAAGGTTGCTTGCTGCCTTTTTCGCTTATCAGGAAATAATCCTCAACATAAGCACAAGCACAGCTACTTGACACGAAAGACAAAAGCAAATTGTAAAGAAAATTCTTATTGTTTTGTTTCCTCCAACCTCTGGAGAATATGCTTTACTTTGTTTTGTCGCTTGTGCTTATCCTTTAATGAAAATTAGGCTTTATGAAACTTGTGATTCTTTTCCCCTTTCATTCTTTTCTCTGCTTGTTTTAAAGAAGAGCAATAAAAAGTTGAATTCATTTTCTAATGATTACAAGACATAACTAAACAATTTACCGCAAGAAGACAATACGATAATTCAGGAGCTTAATGTATTCAAAATTATTAGACTTAAACAAAAAATTAAATGAATGCTCATTCAGCAATGAAACAATAGCGCTCAATCTTTAGATTTACTATTTCTTTGTGTGTTGTACGAATGTACGTTCTTCGTAGTACTTCAAACCAATCATATACTCTGATCATGCTGGTGGATAGCAATCATATATTTTTGAACAACCCAGCCTGTTATTATCTGTTTTTAAATAACATTCAAATTATTATCTGTTATATATGATCGTTGATACTTTGCGTTATAGCTGCTTAAATTACGAGTTTGAAGATGTCATGGTAAGGTTTACGACGTAGCTAAATGGGAGAAACAAAACAGTTTTAAAGAAGGTATTTAAAGAGTAATTAAGAACGTAATGCTCTATGACTTCTATTCAAAACTGGGGTCATGAAGTTAGTTAACATCATCTTGTTAAACGATCTGCGTTTTCATGCAAACTGCCGTTAACTAAAACGATTGCCTAAAAGAACCGCCGATCGACCTTATTAAGTTTTCAGTTTAAAACTATGATTTTATAATTTAACGAGCGCTGATGATGATGATACCAACTTGACAATAGTGCATTAAGCACGAGCAAGAAATCTTAAGTTTTCTTTTCTCGTGAGACTAAAAGACAAAGAAAACGGAATGTCATGTTCATTTTTTGCATAGTTTAAGCCCAGTTTTCACTACTAAATTCATAAACATAAGCGAGAAAACAAAGCAGAGCATATATTCTCATGGAGGAAACAAAAAAATAGGAATTTTCTTTTCAGTTTTCTTTTGTTTGACCTTACGCTTCTGTCAAGTTGCTTTGCTTATATGCTTGTGCTTTATGCCAATGCTGCATGCTTCACTTGTCGTCTTAATTTAACTTTAGATCAAGAATTGTGTTTGTGCTCATTTCAATTTGTGTCTTATAATTATGAGTGTTTACCTGACGGGTCTGACAAAGAACATCCTCCCTCTTGTTTAACTTTGTTACTGGAAACTGCTTTGCAGATATCAAAACCATCTTTCACAACAATCGGCTGAGAACTTCAGTTTAAAACCAATTAATGCATCAAAATACGAATACCATAATGAACGAGTGGGAACCTCTGAAGATAAACGGGAAAGATGGCAGTGAAGTGAGTCATGTCACAAAGTATATAACAATTAAAAGGAGAAAGATAAGCAAAACAAAACATATAACATATACTACTATATAAATATCAAGATGTACTTGCACATAGCGATCATATCCTATTTTCCCTTTATTTCTACAGACAAAAAGTTCTCGTCAACATGTTGCAAATGGGAGAAGGAAATTATCTTCCGACACAAAACATCCTTCTTCATCGTCCATATCAGTTCGACTGACTTAGTTTTCATCTATCCTGCTATCCGTGCTTAGTTGTTTTTCTTATTGCCTATTTCTAGCAAATGTATGAAAATTTGGGATTAATGAAATGTATTGTAATTATGTATTAACTTGTTGACTGACTGGCGCTTCTATACCATTTGGTGTAATGTTATAGAGGTTGGCACAAATCAGCTAGGCAATATTCTTTTAACATGTTAATATGGTGGTGCTTCTTGCATTCGAATCATGCATGTAACATTGAAATGAAATGTTATTCACAATCGATCTAGTTTAAAGTTGAAAAAGAAATTGCAATGCGCTGGCAGAGTATTGCAAAGTCTTCCAATTCAACGTCCATTTGAAGCTATCAGCTTATCACTCAAACAAGCTATCGGCGTTCTATACATTTAGTCGCATTATTTCAGGCTCTGTTATACCGTTGAGGGACGTTAAAACAGTGTCTGCACATCAGTTTAAAAAATTAACTTCCAGTAGGTAAAGGTTTCGAAGGAAGCCTTCACTGTAAATGTTTGCAGTTCACAGCTGTCTTCTGCAAATCATCGTGAAGCACGAGTTTCGAATGAAATTTTAAAAGATCTTCTGCAAACACTGGTTTTGCAAAATACAAGTGCTTTAACAATTTGTCGTGATTTTATTTCAACAATTATTCTTACAGTTATCGATACGTGGCAACCATTGCCGATTTCGTCTGCGGTATGCGTTTGTTTGTTTATTTGAATGTTTGTTTGTTTGTTTCTTTGACTGTTTGTTTGTTTTCACACTCCTAGCATGTTATGCAGTAATTTTAGGCGCAAAGGGACGAGAAGATACAGAAGAGCGGCGAGTTGCAAGTGGGTTTGTCTCTCATTCATCATGTCTATCAATGTTTGCTTGTGTCTCTTTTAGAACGACGTATAGCCTAGCACGCGCAGTCAACAAACGTGCCTTACGGTAAGTTTAATCAATGAAAGCATTTTTTGAAAAAAAAAATCCTTGACTTCGATTATTCGGTGTTCGCAGATGATCAATGACATATTTCCATTATGAAAAGTGTAAATGTCATTAACGAGCTTACATATATACACTCTAATATAAAATCATGCACAGAAAATAAGTATTTTCAGCATTTCAACTAAATTAGAGAGTTCCCTCGCTCTCTAAATTAGGGAAGAAGTTCTTCGAAAAAGTTGATAAATTCCAAAATAGACTTCTGCCAACTATTTTGGAATTTCCTTTTTTGTAATTAAAATATAGGATGCTTAGTATATAGTATAAAGTGTGTTGGAATCAGGACACCAAGTATTTGAAACATTCAACAAAATGACAACAAAAAATATGATTGGCTTATTCATGGAAGTAGTAAGTGGTTGTACAATGTATTAAATTTAATGGAAACGGCTGTGTGATCAATACGATGCTAATTTTAGTTGGTTGTATAGTGGGTTGTTTTGTTAAGATTGACGTTGTCAGTCATGTACGGAATGCCAAGAAACATCACCTATGAAATTCACGCCAACTTTACACGTGTGTATGTTCAAAAGGTTCTTTCGGATCAATGTAATAATTTGCAATAAGATTTTAACGTGACATCTTTTCTAAAATATATTGAAACTTGTCTGTAATTATTGTCAGGAGACAAAATCATGAATATGCGATAGTCTTTAGACTTGCAACATCAAGGATCAATTTCTGACTAAGGTTGGAATTACGAATTTTTTTTTACGATCCTCGTCAAGAAGAAGCAAAAACGCCCTGGCAAAAGAGTTATTGAAAGAGGATTTACAAAATTGAATATGTGCTCCCCCCCCCACACACAACAGTGGAGCCACTAGTAACTGCTTCCCACCCATATTCAATTAAGTGCATTTCCTTCCCAATTATTGTATCGATGTTATCAGGGCGGTTGAGCCGTAACCATTGAGTTCTATAATAACCATTGAGTTATTATAGAACTCAATGGCCGTAACTAGCATGAGGTAAACGTGGCACATGCCTCGGTTAAATTTGACAATATTTTTTTGCTAATGCTTCCATTTACAAATATTCTTTATGCAATGAGCTTTGAGAATGATTAAGCTATGAACTACACTGTTATTAAATGTTTCTTCGCCATGTCAAGTTACCGACCTTTCATAGCCCTTAAGTGTTAGTTACATGCTGTATTTTTATAAATTCTGACCAAGAAAACAGCACGAAAAGAATTGAGATTAAAGATGGCATAGACTTGCATAGTATGTTCATATCTTTTAAAAATTTGTTTCCTGAGTATGCTTTAGCTTTTTTAAGTAAACAGCATCGTCAAATTGCTCTGAAAATGAGATCTTTTTTCCGAGCAATGGCGATCAATGGCTTCGGTAACCAAAATAAGGTCTGCACACGCTCCTGTTTATATATTATTTATATAGGTAAAAATTCATGTACACAGTTTTGTGGTTTCGGTATTTCAAGAATATTTAACTCGGAGGTTTTAGGAAATTTGTTTTACTGTACGCGTGGAGAGTGGAGACGGTGAGAGCCGAGCCCTGCATCACCTGCTCATCGCCTTCTTTTTGAAGGCCATTTTGATTTTTGATTTGAGATGCTTCGGAGTGCGGTTCTTTTGAAGACGTTGGCTCTTTTTGGTATGTAAAAATACATTTATTTTACGTAATATTTCAGTAGTATTACTTCCTTGTATTATTTTCGTCTCATGCTTGTTTTAAATTGATAATACAGGCTGTTTATGTGTCACTATTTTATGATTTGATTTGATAATTGTGTTAAAAAGCACCTGGTTTGAGTTGACGTGTTGTAAAAGCATATGCTTATAGCTAGTTTCTTCTGATGTAAGGTTTGCTTCTTCACGCGTAGTATTGAGAGTAATTTAATGTAGAACAATTTACTCTAAAGCAGTTGCCTGAATAAACGCTGAGATGTTCCATGTGCTAAAAGGCTAGAGTGTTGGAAATTGAAGAGTTCCTCCATTGATGAAAATTTTAATAACGTCCAGACTGTTTGTGCACGACGATCATCCTTTAAGAGTAAATTAATAATACTTAACTACCATATGCTCATAACTCAACAATAATTTAAAAAGGTGTGATTTACATGAGAGTCTAGATGTTCCTCGAAAGATACATAGGAAGTGAAAGTTGTCGTTGGTAACTCCTTGTAATTCTTCATTTATCATCAATACATCTGTTCACAACACTGCAGTTCTAAATTATATCCAGAATTTCCACAAGCTTGATCTGCTCAACTTAATTGGCTCAATTTTTGTGCTTATAATCGACCATTTCATAACAAAATCTGTTTTCCTTTTCAATGTTTTGTGATATCTTTTAACTTGAAGTATATTTTTAATCCCTTTACTAGTTCATTTAATGTTTCCCAGTACGAAGTCAATTGCATTAATTCAATTCATTTTATATCCATTCCAAAATAGATTGTGATACATATTTTTCCAAATATTTTCTCCTCTGTTATACAAATGAGGATTGTGAGATATCCATACTTTTTCCCTTATCCTTTCCATATTCACCAATAAAAGAGCCCGTTTCGGAGAAGTCGTCATCAGAACCACCATATTCCTCCAAACTGTCATTGTCTTTCAATAAGGGGTCTTTGTATTGTGGAACAGTAGCATTGCTTGCATTTTGTGTTTGTGGAGGTGCAAAGGTCCTTCAATGGAGAAATATTTTTTTAAAAATATTCTTGCCTTACTCCAAAGGAATGAAAGTGAGATTTACATGGGTAGGAAAGGGTGGATGTGTAGAAGAATGGCCCCAAATAAATGATTTCAAAGTATGGGTAAAGGCACTATGAGAGGAGATTTTACATTTGTATGGGAGACAAGTAAATTTGAACACATAAGCATTTTAGGTAAAGGATTTTTCTCTACATTGGTGTTTGCATGTTACTCAAAAGTAAAAGGTTTGTAAATATGATTTGAGATGGTTAACCGACTTGCTTCAAGCAAAATTTTATAAGTGAGGACATTGAATAATCTTGTCTTTTATTATTGAATTTACATTTAATTTAGAGATGCTTATATGATCAGTTTATGTATTAGTCAATATGTTTAGCGTTAGATACTTGTACAGTAGATTAATATACAACAAGGTCCAGAAATATAACTCTGTGACTTAGAGTGTTTTTTTCTGCCTTATGCGGTAGAGATGGATTGTTTGTGTATTACAATTATAATTTGTTTATTGTTGTACATTTTCATGATAATTGATTAATTATGTTAATAAAATCTGTCATTAGATTGCATGATTAATACATGTTGAGAAAAATCTTAACGTTATGGAATGTGGCCTTGATCAAATGGAAACACTTTTAAGCAATGTTAGCGAACAACAAACAGCCAACTTATATCTGACAGTGATAATCCAATGAAGTTATTGAAAACAATGCTTGATAATTTGCAGTTGTTGAAATTGTTAATTTCTTAATTCATAAAGACCTGAACCAAGCCATAGCCCTCTACTTTCGATTAACAATTTTGATGAAAATTATTAGGTTAGGAAGTTTGGACTGTCTGTTACAAAATACTTACACTTCAGGTTCCGTGAAAGTTTGTTCATCCCCATTTCAAGTGTATCATATACTTTACGCTTTCTTTCTCGATCACTCACTAAAATATGTTCACAAAACAACGCCTTTAGGTGCGGTTGGCATAACATTGCTATGGTTTTGATTAGTTACTTGGATATTTCTACATTGTCACTGTTTCAGTATTGAAGAGCGACAACGGACGTAACCAGCCTGCAAGTTTAGTCGTGCTTTGTAAATTTCTCCACAAAGCGTTGTTCATTTCTCTAGAAAGTTAGTGTTTTACAGTAAGTTGACACCAAAATATTTACATAACAGGAACAAACTTGGGGTTAGCCGCCACTGCACTCTTACATGTGTGACACGAATTTTACACAATTTCTAAAATAAAATTTCCCTGAATTTTTTTGTTGTTGATCATTACGTTTTCATGCGCCTGCATTCTAAATCTACTGTGTATTTACGAAAAAATTCTCACGAGATACAAAAAATATTTGAGCTCGCGTTATATTATAGGCCGCAGTTGGATATTAAGAGTCCTTTTGTAACAGTATTTCCACTCTGAAGGAAAAAATAAGAACAGTGAAAGGAATCGTGTTTTTTAAAAGTGGAAACAGTGCCATGTAACGATAAGTTATTGTCAATTAACATCAGTCGAAATATTTACAAACCATTGTATGTCTGTTTAGGTTTTCGTCGAAGGTACAAAAGCAGTAGGAGGAGAAGCAACAGCAGCAGTATGAGGATAAGAATGATGTAGAACCAAACTTCACGGTATATTGGTGAGCTGCCCTTTAGTTCTAAAAAATGAATGAAGAACAATGTCACAGCTTAGTATCTACAAGACTTAAGTATCTAGACCACGCTAACAACGATGATTATTCTCGTAAATGGCTAAACGCAACGAGGTTAGTGTCATATTCGCAATCGTCGGTAAGATGAAAACATCTTATGCGTAAATACATCAAATACGGACAAAAACATAGTCCGAAAAAATATTTTTCTATTCTCAAATTCAATTCGTAAACAAGGAACAACTTTGAACTTTAAGTTTCATTCGTATCCGTCGTTTATGGCTTGAATTCGTGTTAAAGATCGTTTTCGAATTTTGTTTTTCTTTGTATGCTGTTCATCGAATCGAACAATGTTGGGTCCACATTGTTAATAGTCAACTACGAACAATTCGGCAGCATAACATTGTTTGATTCCGTTTTCAGCAAGTTTTTATCCGTGCATAAGACGCACAATAAAATTGGAATGCGCAGTTAAAAGTTCTGTGAGGGAACCACATTTTTCTAAATCGACAAACTTGCTCTTTACCTCTTATGGAAATTGTGCGTCCTTCAGCAAAATCCTCCAGTTGCTTTTCAAGTCACCGTTGGTGACAACAGTTTACAAACAAACTTTGGTATCGTCCAAATCATCAATCTGGATGAACGATTTTGTCCATTTTTCTTGATTTCGATAGCCTCCGTATTCTTTAAGTTTTCATCATCTTCTGTTGAAAAAAGAATTTGTATTTATATGCAAAAAACAGATTTCTAACTAACTACCCTGACAGAATAGATGCTTAAAAACTCTTTCTGAAGTTATGAATTTGACCAAATATGCATGCAATTTGTGGAACTATTGTAACTATGCTCAAAATTCAAAGAATTTTCGCAATACACGCGACGCAAGTCAAAACTGAGATATTGTCAAAGGTTAAGTATTGCGTTGCATCTTCGTGATTCATTGGCAGTCATTCGCGAAAGGATTTGTGATGCGTTTATCAAGCACTCATACAATTTCGGTAATGTTCGACATAACATGTGTCACATAATGTTGCTAACTTAGGAAATAACTACGGACCTTTTTCTCTATAAACAATGTAGAATTTTTCCGGGTATCCGCCTTCCTTTGAGCTTGGAACGTAGGTGACATTGACACTATCTTCGTCGATGGCTTCAACTATTGGTGGAGGTGCCACTGCGGGAGCTACGAAAAAGAATAAATTATATGTTTGATGTCATGCTAGCAAGAAAATCCCCATTTGCGTCTTGGTAAAAATACGTTTTGTGGTTTTGAAAACAACACGCGTGAATCCATGGGCATTTTGACGTTTTCATATTTTGATGTTGCGTTGTTTTGTGTGAAGTTATCTTGTGTTACGTGAGGTTGCGTAAGGTTATGATTATTAAAATAATTTCTCACTTCTCATGTCTGTCGTGCGGGCAGAAGTTGAAACGGCTTCTCCTGAGCCTGCGTTTGTTGCTGCGGTTATAAACACAACGTACTCTGTCTTGGGCTGTAACTTGTCGAACAAATATTCGAGAACACGACTTCCTGTAAAGTTAGAGCTATTGATCCTTAGTTGGTAACCAACAATAATACCGTTAGCCTCGATCGGTGGTTTCCATTGCACGTGCAAATAACGTCCGTATGACGTCACGCTTACGTCATGTACCTCCGGGTTTTCCTTCCTGTGGACACTTTAATATGATTACTTTTTGGTCCCGGGCCAATTTGGTTGTAAGCTTGCAAGTACATGGTGTAGTTCTTAAATGGTTGCAAGTCTCCCTGTCTGTATTGGGTCGTCATTACGTTTTTGATAAAGGTTACGCACGCGTTCTTTTCTCCCACACACGAACTAACCGCGCGTTTTACGCGTGTCTTACTCCCGTCTTCGTACCAATAGCTTAGCTGAAAGAAATGTGGCATGTCGAGTCAGATAAAAATTTAGACAAGATTGTCATGGAAAAAGACATATTATTTTTTCGATGGACAGCGAGTTGTTTTTTTGTAAGTGTAAAGACGTAGCACGTCATTTCGTTAATATTCCTATGTGTATTTCATGTTCATTTTAAAATGAAGCTCAACAAGCAGGAAACATTACTTACTAATAAAACCCTATTGAAACTACTAATGCATTGCACTGTTGTTCAAATCATGTAACTACCAACTTTTATGGACATTTGGTAGTTGTTTTGCTAAACTAGTTCGGTATTTATCACCAGCAAAGGAGCTCCTCCTGGTTTCTAAAGAACCTTCAATGTTTTTTTGTATTCGTTTGTTTTGTTATCTAAACATTCGTAAAGATACAGTTGAAAGCATTTACGTCTTTCCCAAATCAGCAAATTAGTAAAATAAAAACTTTGCCGTGTTGACAAATTTAAAAATTACCCTAAAAAAGAGCAAATACCATGGTGAATGGTCAAAATAATGACGTAATAGTTCTAAAAAGAACTGTTTAAAACCAGAACACTATCCCAGCAATTCTAAAAGAACTGTTTTTAAACCTGAAAAACACAGTTCGTTAGCTTTAAAACAGTTCTTTTAGAAATATTGGGTTAGTGTTCTGGTTTTAAATAGTTCTTTTAGAATTATTGGATTAGCGTTCTGGTTTTAAATAGTTCTTTTAGAATTATTGGGTTTTTTTTTTGGTTTTAAATAGTTCTTTTAGAATTATTGGGTTAGTGTTCTGGTTTTAAATAGTTCTTTTAGAATTATTGAATTAGTGTTCTGGTTTTAAATATTTCTTTTAGAATTTTTTAATTGGTGTTCTGATTTTGAATAGTTCTTTTGGAATTATTGAATTAGTGTTCTGATTTTGAATAGTTCTTTTAGAATTATTGAATTAGTGTTCTGGTTTTAAATAGTTCTTTTAGAATTATTGGGTTAGTGTTCTGGTTTTAAATAGTTCTTTTAGAATTATTGAATTAGTGTTCTGGTTTTAAATAGTTCTTTTAAATTATTGGGTTAGTGTTCTGGTTTAAATAGTTCTTTTAGAATTATTGAATTAGTGTTCTGGTTTTAAACAGTTCTTTTAGAATTATTGAATTAGTGTTCTGGTTTTGAATAGTTCTTTTAGAATTATTGGGTTAGTGTTCTGGTTTTAAATAGTTCTTTTAGAATTATTGGGTTAGTGTTCTGGTTTTAAATATTTCTTTTAGAATTTTTTAATTGGTGTTCTGATTTTGAATAGTTCTTTTGGAATTATTGAATTAGTGTTCTGATTTTGAATAGTTCTTTTAGAATTATTGAATTAGTGTTCTGGTTTTAAATAGTTCTTTTAGAATTATTGAATTAGTGTTCTGATTTTGAATAGTTCTTTTAGAATTATTGGGATAGTGTTCTGGTTTTGAATAGTTCTTTTAGAATTATTGAATTAGTGTTCTGGTTTTAAACAGTTCTTTTAAGAACTATTACGTTATTATTTTGACCATTCGCTATGGCATTTGCTCTTTCTAAAACAATTTTTAAATCAGCACATTGGTAAATTTCTGCGAATAATCAAGATCATCACGATTCATTCTTTAGTGTAAATTTTTTTGTGTTTGAAAAAGCTGGAAGTTCATCTTTGATTTTATTGAATTTTTATCGAAAGTGAAATGGTTCGTTTTATTTGCCGTACGCGAATTTTAACTCCAGCGAAAGTAAAAAATATGCAATGACCCTGGTATGTATGTGATCTATAGTATGTTGAAACCACGCTCCTAAAGGTCCGTTCACACTGGAGGCAGGAAGCGGCGCTCAAACCGTATGCTGTAACTCGTCCAATTTAGCCTTCTATATTTTATATTATGTCGTACACACTGAGTGCAGCGTTACGGCTTTGCTAACTACGTTAGAGGCTAAATTGGACGAGTTACAGCTAACCGCTATTTCATGCGAACGGACCTCAAAATGAAAGCGATGATAAAATCGCCACTGATTTTGAAATATGTCACAAATTTTTGTTCTCATGTATCATAATTGTGTACTAACTCCCTTCCATAACATACCTTGTATCCCTCGATCGGCCTATGATGAACTGTGTCCCATTCCAGCAAAACGTAGTCGGATCCAATATCCTTATGCCTGAACGATTGTGGGGCCACCGTAGGTGCTGTCGTTATGAAGGAAAGAGAAGTTGAGCGAGTTGCCATTAAATGCGATGATTTTAATGACTTTTTCGCTTGCTGATCTTTTAATAGGGCACTCTGGACCATTTCCCTTCGCATTTATGCTTTGCACTTGAATTGCCACTGCTCATCGACGCTCATGTTCATTAGTATGTACTCTTTTCCATAAACTAATTTGTGTTTCCACTTCGATCCGGTTATTCGGTAGCTCACGTTGTACCCAAAGCCTGGACCATTTTCATAAATCTTTGGTACTGCCTGAAATGTATCGTTAGTTGTTCATAATTAGTTTTCTCTAGTTCCGAAAGAGCGGGCGTCGTTCATAGTGACATGAATAAAGTAAGGTGATTATGGTTTGGAAGAGGTCGAAGCACAAATTGATGTAAAGTTGTGGATTCTCAACATATATTTTAGAGCTCAACAAATAGTTTTCAGCATAGCCATATAAAATTTGGTTTTATAAAATTTATTGAAAGAGTGACGTTTCGTTTTGACTTAACACATCTTCAGACTAATAAGAAAGTTAACAAGAATTATAGATCTTGATGATGGATCCCCGAAAACCTCTTCATTTCCAAACTAAAGCCTTCACTTGACACCAAAGGCAGTTCCATCCCTCTTAAGCTTTTCCAGTCTTAACACCTCACCCTAACCATACAACACATCGCACTTACACATCCACAGTAATCTGATACCTCGAATTATATAAATAACGTTTCCCGCCTTGCAACAATATTGGTAAAGTTGTGGTACGGAGGGAGAGGTGGAAGGAGAAGTCTTAAAGTTGTTGCTTGCAGGAGTTGACTTAAGGCGGAAATTTAAAGTTGTTTTTGGAATTCGTGTGATTCAAAAGAGACTTACAGCGAAAAAATATCCGACGTTGAATTTTTCTTAAGTAATATTCATCACTTTATTTCAGACATGGTGATTGTAAGAATTTCAGTGTCTTTCAAATAAGAGATGCGCATGTCATGCAAGAGATGTTTTCGTCCATTCGTATACTCACCTTCCATTTAATTTTAAGGGTTTGCGCCATTTCTGAATAGGCAGTGACTCCAGTAGGACAAACTGACGGTTCTAAAGCAATTAAACGAGAAAAAAAAACACTCATGTTTTAGTTTTAGTTATTAGTCGATTTCTACAATTGAATGAGAAATGATACATTTCTCATTTGATTTTTTTTAAGCCGAACAGCAAACTCTGCTCTGCTGTTTTACATCCTTTTCCTGGGTGTGAAAAGATTTTGGGGAAGTCTACATCTTAGACGGGAACAGCTAATATGTGTTTTGTACTTACTATCAGCTGGGGTTTTGCACGTTTGTCCTTTTGTGTAATTACTTGGCTCGCTCAATCCATAAACGTTCTCAGCAATCACTCGAAAAACTATGTCTGTGTAAGGATTCAGTCCCTTCACGATACGACCTTCTAGGTTTCCACTTACAGTCATGTTGTCCGTTACATTGTACCACATAGTCATATTTTCCATCGCACTCCACTGGATGAAGACTCTGTCCACAGTGTGATAAGAGTTGAGATATAATGTCCAAGTAAGATTAGCAGTGAAGTTTTGACATCCTCCATTGATGTTTAAATTTTGTGGAGCATCTGGAGGACCTGTCATATGAGGTTGAGATCACAGAGTTATCAAAAAAACAGGAATTGTGATGAAAATTACAGAGCTCATATTTTTTAACTTTCAATTACTTTAAAAAGACTAAGTTGAAATAAGAGAACTGTTTCCTCATCTGAATAAGAGAAAAATGCGGAAATCACTGGATAATAATCTTACCGTTTACAATGACGAGGGCCGTTGAAGATTTTCCTGTATTGTAAATGTTCGTCTTGACAAACGCTCGACATTTATATTCTCCGCTGTCTTGTAGCTAGAATAAGAAAATGCAACATATATATGACGTATTACCAATTTACTTTGTATCGTCCACAATATTGGAAATCGCGTTTTCAAAATAACATCTTTTTTGAAGTGATCGGTTTGAATCTGGGAGCATCGTTACATGGAGTGGAGTTTTGAGTTGGACTGTTTGGCGTTGGTGTCAATTCTCGATATTAAAGATAACTACTGCTTATATTTTTAAAATGTCATTCAACACCAGCACCAAATGTCCTTCTGATAACTCCACTAACCTGGATGATCTCCATCTACAAACATGTAACAACTTTTTTTGATTGGAAACTGCGTCATCAGATCTTGACATTTAAAAGTACATAGGTGCCCCCTAATCTTTCATTGATGAAAGAGTGCCGCAATTTCAATTTCTGACTGACAGTTGCATTTTGCCTTTCGCCCTTATGTTGAAACTTGCTCAAACCTACTCAATAATATCAACTCGGCATCATCAAACTATTATCTAATGAATGGCAATACTGTTTCAGCGCACATGTTTTTTGTTAATCGTTCTGATGGTAACCAAAATCGGCATAATTGGTAATGGGAAAAAAAGTTTCTATGGGGTTTGGACCTTACAACAATATTTCTTTCTCGTCGCACAGCAGCATTTTATATTATTCGGCCTTTAAGTATTCAAGTTCGGGTTTTTCACTTTGGAGATTCTACTCACTTGAGATGAAGTCACATTTAATGTTTGATTGCTTTTTCTCAAGTCTTTTCCATTGTGAAACCATTTATATTGGATAGGTAGATCTGGCTTGGAGTAAGCTTCACATTCTAGGGAGAAGCTTTCTCCTTTCTTCACATCTGTTTTGTTCTGAGGTCGTGTTGTAAAGATGATCATTGCTATGAAGAATAAAGCAGCAAAAAACTGGAGTGACTTACTGTTCATAAAGTCCATCTATACCCATTCTTACCCTTTTGTTTATCTTTATAATTCTTATCCATTATTCACTACATCTTTACTCATTTTCTTAGGCCATGTTACTCCATCCCCCAAAACAAACCCATTTTTACTTATTTAATTCTTGAAGAAAATTCTATCTTCAACTAATTGTATCAATGTTGTTTTGTATTGCAATATTGCTTTTACATGTACCGTCACTTTCCGAGCGCGCCTGCGCTGTAGGACATTCACCACTTCCACCTTCGCTATTGTAAGTTAGTACGCGAAATTCCCACAACTCTAACGCAGAAGTGCTGTTGATGGTAAACTCCGGGGCGTTACCAAATGGTAAAACTTTTTCAAGCCACATTTGACGTCCAGGTTTTCTGTATTGAAATATATAACCAAATCCTGGGCCGTTTTGATGCAGTTTTGGGACGTCCTTAACAATTTAAGACATATTGCGTTAGGCACTTTGGTTTTGGATGAAATGATATCAGTGTCTTACCTTCCAAGTTACTCTGATGTTGCGAGGATTCGTTGAGCTTCCTTTAACATCAATGGGACAGAACGAAGGCTCTGTGAATAAAGAAAACGAGTCTTTCAAGTTTGATGTTTAATGTGTACAATGCTGTGACGATTTACCGTCTGTAAATTGTTAACTCTTCCAAATTCAATAATGCTAATCTCATAAATTTTCCAAGAGTATTTTTTGCAAATTGTTTTTTAAGAACAAAGCGATTCTGGCTCTTTTGGTATCAAACAAGCGATGAAATTTTATAGACATTCTCCCATGACGATGGTTGGAATCGAATGAAATATATTTTCGTGTATTTTTCACAATTATTAATTCGCTCAATGTCCATATCTGTAATATCCTTCGTTGTATTCTTGTTAAAACTCTCCCAAACAAAGGATTTTCGGGACTGTTTTTTTTTAAAATGGGTAAAGTTGAAATATTGTTTGTACTTACTGTCAGCTGGGGTTTTGCACGTTTGTCCTTTTGTGTAATTACTTGGCTCGCTCAATCCATAAACGTTCTCAGCAAACACTCGAAAAACTATGTCTGTGTAAGGATTCAGTCCCTTCACGATACGACTTTCTATGTTTCCACTTACAGTCATGTTGTCCGTTACATTGTACCACATAGTCATATTTTCCATCGTACTCCACTGGATGAAGACTCTGTCCACAGTGTGATAAGAGTTGAGATACAATGTCCAAGTAAGATTAGCAGTTAAGTTTCGACATCCTCCATTGATGTTTAAATTTTGTGGAGCATCTGGAGGACCTGTCATATGAGGTTGAGATCACAGGGTTAGCAAAAAACCAGGAATTGTGATAAAAATTACAGAGCTCATATTTTTATATTTTTACATGTATAAAATTAGGATGAAATAAGAGAACTGTTTCCTCATCTGAATAAGAGAAAAATGCGGAAATCACTGGATAATAATCTTACCGTTTACAATGACGAGAGCCGTTGAAGTTTTTCCTGCATTGTAAATGTTCGTCTTGACAAACGCTCGACATTTATATTCTCCGCTGTCTTGTAGCTGGATTAAGAAAATACAACACACACGTGATGTAATACCATTTATATTGTACAGCATATTTTCCTTTTCTGTTATGTTGAAAGATTGCTCAAATCGACACAACAATGTCTACTCATTGTCACCCAACAGTAATCAAATGAACGGTAATGCTCGTTCATAGCACATATTTATGTCAATTGTCTGTGACTGGTACTAACGCTAGTAAAATTAGTCATGGGATTAAACAGTTTGTGCAGTGTCTATGGTATTAGACTAACTAAACTGGGTACTTTGAAAAAGCTCTTACTCTCTTTTCCCCACCACATCATTAAAATATCGTGTTTGTTATTTTTACAATGTCCTTATATTTTGGATATTCTACTTACTTGAGATGAAGTCACATTTAATGTTTGATTGCTTTTTCCCAAGTCTTTTCCATTGTGAAACCATTTATATTGGATAGGTAGATCTGGCTTGGAGTAAGCTTCACATTCTAGTGAGAAGCTTTCTCCTTTCTTCACATCTGTCTTGTTCTGAGGTCGTTTTGTGAAGATGATCATTGCTATAAAAAATGAAATAGCAAAGCACTGGAGTAAGTTACTGTAGATAAAGTCCATCTTTACCTATTTTACCCTTTCCTATCTTTACCATTCTTATCCGTTTATCTACATCTTTACTCATTTTCTTAGTCATGTTATTCTTTTGTAATCAAACACATTTCAGCAAATTTAATCTAAGTCTTGCTGCAAACTTATGCTACGTATTCGTTTCAATATGCAAGTAAGTCATTTACCGTCCTTTCCCGATCGCGCCTGCGTGTAGGGACATTCACCACTTGTTCCTTCGCTATTGTAAGTTAGTACGCGAAATTCCCACAACTCTGACGGAGCCGTATTGTTGGTAAACTCCGGGCACTGCCAACTGGAAGAACTTCTTGCTGCCATATTTGAAGACCAGATTTTCTGTATTGAAATACATAACCGAATCCCGGGCCACTTTGATGCAGTTTTGGAACTTCCTAAAGCAATTATCCTGCGTTAGGCGTTATGGTTTTGGACGAAATAATATCACTATGTCATTGTCTTACCTGCCAAGTTACTCTAATATCATGAGGACGTATTGAGCTTCCATTCACATTAATTGGACAGAAAGAAGGCTCTGTGAATGAAGAAAACGAGTGTTTGATACAAAGAGCATGATTTGAAGACAGTTAAAATCTCTTAAATTTTCGTGTGCGAAAATTTTGCGAGGATTAAACGTTTTGGGAATTTTTTATTTCGCCCAAAACTAAGCGATTCTAACACTCGAATTGAAAATGTAATTTTAAGTATTGTGCATTTAACAATATTGTTTTGCACAATGTTCATTTTCAAAATGTCTTTCGTTTACGTATATTTGTAGAAACTCTCAGCTAGCAAAAGATTTATGGGGTGTTAACATTTAAGATAGGTAAAGTTGAAATATTGTTTGTACTTACTGTCAGCTGGGGTTTTGCACGTTTGTCCTTTTGTGTAATTACTTGGCTCGCTCAATCCATAAACGTTCTCAGCAAACACTCGAAAAACTATGTCTGTGTGAGGATTCAGTCCCTTCACGATACGACCATCTAGGTTTCCACTTACAGTCATGTTGTCCGTTACATTGTACCACATAGTCATACTTTCTATCACACTCCACTGGATGAAGACTCTGTCCACAGTGTGATAAGAGTTGAGATATAATGTCCAAGTAAGATTAGCAGTGAAGTTTCGACATCCTCCATTGATGTTTAAATTTTGTGGAGCATCTGGAGGACCTGTTAAATGAGGTTGAGATGACAGAGGTTTCAAAAAATCAGGAATGGTGATAAAATTTACAGAGCTCAAATTTTTATGCTTTTACGTATATAAAATTAGGATGAAATAAGAGAACTGTTTCCTCCTCTGAATAAGAGAAAAAATACAGAGATCACTGGATATTGATCTTACCGTTTACAATGACGAGGGCCGTTGAAGTTTTTCCTGTAATGTATATGTTCGTCTTGACAAACGCTCGACATTTATATTCTCCGCTGTCTTGTAGCTGGATTAAGAAAATACAACTTACACGTGATGCAACACCAATTTATATTGTACAGCATATATTATTGAGAGAAGCACAATTTCTAAAATAACATCTTCGATGTGCAGTTATGCGTCCGTAACCTTCATTGAAAAAAGAGGGATCGTACTTTCAATTTTCCACAGATAACCTGTAGATCTATTTTCATCTTCTGTTATGTTTAAAGAATTGCTCAATGTCATCCAACATTAGTCCAATGAACGGTGATGCTCTTTCATAGCTCATACTTTTGTTCATTGTCTATGACTGGTACTAACATTAGTAAAATTAGTCATGAGATTAAAAGTTTGAGCAGTGTTTATGGTATTGGACTAACAAAGCTGGGTACTTTGAAGAAGCTCTCTCCTTTTTCTCACCACATCATTAAAATATTGTGTCTTGTTATTTTTACAATGTTCTTATATTTTGGAAATTCTACTTACTTGAGATGAAGTCACATTTAAGGTTTGATTGCTTTTTCCCAAGTCTTTTCCATTGTGAAACCATTTATATTGGATAGGTAGATCTGGCTTGGAGTAAGCTTCACATTCTAGTGAGAAGCTTTCTCCTTTCTTCACATCTGTCTTGTTCTGAGGTCGTTTTGTGAAGATGATCATTGCTATAAAAAATGAAATAGCAAAGCACTGGAGTAAGTTACTGTAGATAAAGTCCATCTTTACCTATTTTTACCCTTTTTTTCCTATCTTTACCATTCTTATCCGTTATCTACTACATCTTTACTCATTTCCTTAGTCATGTTATTCTTTTGTAATCAAACACATTTCAGCAAATTTAATCTAAGTCTTGCTGCAAACTTATGCTACGTATTCGTTTCAATATGCAAGTAAGTCATTTACCGTCCTCTCCCGATCGCGCCTGCGTGGTAGGACATTCACCACTTGTTCCTTCGCTATTGTAAGTTAGTACGCGAAATTCCCACAACTCTGACGGAGCCGTATTGTTGATGGTAAACTCCGGGCACTGCTGGAAGAACTTCTTGCTGCCATATTTGAAGACCAGATTTTCTGTATTGAAATACATAACCGAATCCGGCCACTTTGATGCAGTTTGGCACTTCCTAAAGCAATTTGGTTATCCTGCGTTAGGCGTTATGGATTTGGACGAAATAATATCACTATGTAATTGTCTTACCTGCCAAGTTACTCTAATATCATGAGGACGTATTGAGCTTCCATTCATTAATGGACAGAAAGAAGGCTCTGTGAATAAAGTGTTTGATACAATGAGCATGATTTGAAGACAGCTAAAATCTCTTAAATTTTCGTTGCGAAAATTTTGCGAGGATAAACGTTTTGGGAATTTTTATTTCGCCCAAATACTAAGCGATTCTAACGAATTGAAAATGTAATTTTAAATTGTGCATTTAACAATTGTTTTGCACAATGTTCATTTCAAAATGTCTTTCGTTTACGTATATTTGTAGAAACTCTCAGCTAGCAAAAGATTTATGGGTGTTAACATTTAAGATAGGTAAAGTTGAAATATTGTTTGTACTTACTGTCAGCTGGGGTTTTGCACGTTTGTCCTTTTGTGTAATTACTTGGCTCGCTCAATCCATAAACATTCTCAGCAAACACTCGAAAAACTATGTCTGTGTAAGGATTCAGTCCCTTCACGATACGACCTTCTAGGTTTCCACTTACAGTCATGTTGTCTGTTACATTGTACCACATAGTCATATTTTCCATCACACTCCACTGGATGAAGACTCTGTCCACAGTGTGATAAGAGTTGAGATATAATGTCCAAGTAAGATTAGCAGTGAAGTTTCGACATCCTCCATTGATGTTTAAATTTTGTGGAGCATCTGGAGGACCTGTTAAATGAGGTTGAGAGGACAGAGGTTTCAAAAAATCAGGAATGGTGATAAAATTTACAGAGCTCAAATTTTTATGCTTTTACGTATATAAAATTAGGATGAAATAAAAGAACTGTTTCCTCATCTGAATAAGAGAAAAATGTAGAGACCACTGGATATTGATCTTACCGTTTACAATGACGAGGGCCGTTGAAGTTTTTCCTGTATTGTAAATGTTCGTCTTGACAAACGCTCGACATTTATATTCTCCGCTGTCTTGTAGCTGGATTAAGAAAATACAACACACTCGTGATGTAATACAAATTTATATTGTACAGCATATATTATTGAGAGAAGCACAATTTCTAAAATAACATCATCGATGTGCAGTTACGTGCCCGTAACCTTCATTGAAAAAAGAAGGATCGTACTTTCAATTTTCCACAGATAACCTGTGGATGTATTTTCCTCTTCTGTTATGTTTAAAGAATTGCTCAATGACATCCAACATTAGTCCAATGAACGGTGATGCTCTTTCATAGCTCATATTTTTGTTCATTGTCTATGACTGGTACTAACATTAGTAAAATTAGTCATGGGATTAAAAGTTTGAGCAGTGTTTATGGTATTGGACTAACAAAGCTGGGTACTTTGAACAAGCTCTCTCCTTTTTCTCACCACATCATTAAAATATTGTGTCTTGTTATTTTTACAATGTTCTTATATTTTGGAAATTCTACTCACTTGAGATGAAGTCACATTTAAGGTTTGATTGCTTTTTCCCAAATCTTTTCCATTGTGAAACCATTTATATTGGATAGGTAGATCTGGCTTGGAGTAAGCTTCACATTCTAGTGAGAAGCTTTCTCCTTTCTTCACATCTGTCTTGTTCTGAGGTCGTTTTGTGAAGATTATCATCGCTATAGATATTAATGAAAGAGTTGCAATGGCTTAATATCAAGAATGTCCATCTTTGACCATTTTACCCTTTTTTCCTATCTTAACACTTTTCATCCATTATCTATAACATTATACTTATTTACTTTAGCCATAATGTTTTATTCCAAATGAAACTCGTTCTAGCAAAGTTAATCTTAGTCTTGTAAATCCATACTGTTCGTTTCAATATCCATTCAAGTCATGTACCTTGCTTTCCCGAACGCGCCTGTGCAATAGGACATTCACCACTTGTTCCTTCACTATTGTAAGTTAGTACGCGAAATACCCACAACTCTAACGGAGCTGTATTGTTGATGGTAAACTCCGGGGCACTGCCAACTGGAAGAACTTCTTGCCGCCACATTTGACTACCAGATTTTCGGTATTGAAATACATAACCGAATCCCGGGCCGTTTTGATACAGTTTTGGAACTTCCTAAAGCAATTTAGTTATCCTGCGTTAGGCGTTATGGTTTTAGACGAAATAATATCGCTATGTCATTGTCTTACCTGCCATGTTACTCTAATGTCATGAGGACGTGTTGAGCTTCCATTCACAATAATGGGACAGAACGAAGGCTCTGTGAATGAAGAAAACGAATGTTGGATACAATGAGCATGATTTGAAGGCAATTAAAATCTTTACTGTTTAATGTGTGAAAATGTAGTAATGATTTGTAAGCTTTGGGTATCAAGTGAGGGGTCCCTTCTGTAGAAATTTTCATTGTAATTTTCGTGACAACTGTTTTGAGCGACTAGCATTATTGAAATCTCTTTCTCTTTGTTTTTGTTGAAACTCTCAGATGGCAAAGGATTTGGAGGATGTTCACATTAATTTACAGTTCTTTATAATATTTGTACTTACTCTCAGCTGGAGTTTTGCACGTTGGTCCTTTAGTGACATTACTTGACTCGCTTTGTCCGTCTACGTTCTCGGCAAACGCTCGGAATACTATCTCTGCGTAAGGTTTCAGTCCTTTCAAGATATGGCCTTCTGCGTTGCCTTGCACGTGATCTGATGCGTTGTACCATGTAATCGTGTCATGTGATATAATACCCCACTGCAATTGGATTCCCGTCAAGGGCTTGAATGGATTACGGTATGAAATGATCCATGTGAGGTTTGCAGTGAAGTTTGTGCATGTTCCGTGAAGTCGTAGGTTCTCCGGGGCTTCTGGCGGTCCTGTAGCATAAAGCGCGTTTTTTTAGACTGCTAGACGTGATACAAAGTTTCCTTTAATATGATAATATGCGCTATCGAGCAATGTACTTCTTTATTGTTAATTAATCAGCGATTGCTTCTATGTGACTTATCCTTTACAAAAGGAAATTCGGGTTAAGGCGTGTGGATGTATTTTTAATTGCTCGTTTACTGTTTCTATTTCTCTTCTTACCGTGGACTATCACAATTGCGCTAGATCTTTTCTCCGAGCTTGAGCTGTAGGCAATGCAGGTGTAGACGCCACTGTCATGGCTCTAAAACAACATGCAGTCAGTTGAGGAGCTTTTAAAATTACTCAACAGTGAGTTTTTCTCATTAATCAAAACACATTTCATTGATTCAATCATTAATCCTATGAGAGCATAAGGCAATCCACATGATAATTTGGCTTGCGAGTTACACAACAAGAAAAGCAGACCTTCGCATTTGATATGGTTAATTTTTTGTTCGTTAGATCCCATAATGCATTGCTTTTCATAATTTCGACTCCGTTGTAAAGCCATTTGTAACGAATGTTCAACGGTGGGTCGGAATTAGCTTCGCAAAGCAATGAGAAACTTTCTCCTTCCATCAAATCAGTCTTGTTTTCTGGTCGCTTGATGAAAACAATTTCCGCTGTAAGAAAAAAAATATCGTGATTTTACCCGTGATGCATGTAGATGATCGACCAGATATCTCGTATATAACAATACAAAAGTCGAGGCGAGTGGTCTACTGCAATGTCAATGATTTGAGGCCAGAAAGATCTAATAAGTATATCAAAATTATATCTAGTCTTGATAAAACGATCGCTCCTTTTTGTGCAACAAAATGCTCATGCGCAGTCATTGTGCGTTCCTTTTGTCTGATTACGCACCTCTTCACACGATGTTGCGTAATATTGACATGAATATCGTTGAATGAAGGTTAGTGTATTATAGTACTTACCGACTTTAATAAACATGTCTTTACTGACACTGCCAAACATATTACTCGCAATACAAGCATAGATCCCGCTGTCGTTGTGGGATAGATTATGCACGAGCAAGTCTTGATCATCTTTGAGATCATATTTTGTCGTTTTGTTTATTTCCAACTTTTCTCCTTTGAAAAACCAATCATGTTTTGCTCGCGGAATGGCTTCCGATATACACGAGATCTGACCAGTGTTACCCACAGTAAAATCCTTTGCTATCAAATCTGATGTGATATCTGGAGGCTTCACTGAAAATACGACAAATAAGGTTTGCTTACTGCGGTTTTTGTTTTGTATTAACTTTATAAATCTTCTATGACCTGTTGTTATACAGAGTGAGAAACGAGCATGTCGTTATTAGTCAAGGGTGAATCAATAGTGGTGTAGGTCTTCAGGTAATAAAACTCTAAACCTGACTTAATGGCTTACTCAATATACATCATTTTGAAACAATGGTAAAAGGCATTCATTATGTTTCGTTTTAATTCGAAAAAAATTCTTGAAAATAGAAACACTATCTGGAAACACCAAATGGAAAATTTATTGGAAGTGAAATCTATCGTTGCACTGCATATGTAGATGTAACCAGTTGACAAATGGGTGTGGCATACGTGTACCCCACCTCGAACTTGAAGCGACACTGTCTGATATGCAAAACCAAAAGCATTCTTCGCAACACATTGATACATTCCGTTATCACTGGGTTCAACACTATGAATCGTTAGTGTTCCGTTTTCGATGGTGTAACGGTTGCTAAAAACGATATACGTGAAGGTTATAGTCGATTTTATTGATATATAAAGATGGTTTTGCTTTCAAGAACATGACCTACTTATTCCCGTGATAAAAACACGGTTATGTTGACTTAGTTCAATGTCCGCTTTAACTGCATTGCCCTAAATCATGTAAACTACTAGTAAACTGACCATAAACATTCACGTTGCAAAAACTCGCGTGCGTTATTTTTCGCGTGCACTTGCTATTTACATGTAATTAAGTGAAAGTTGATTTCCAGTGCTTTGTAATGTTTAAATTATAAATGGAGATTCGTCTAACCAACAACGTTTTGTAACGTCACGTGTTCTCTCGGTTTGCTTTGCCTGGAAAAAGCATGCGTGCGTATATTTCTAGGCGTGGACGTCAACTTCAAAAGCCACATGTGTTGTTATGTTTTATGTTTTATCAAGTGATGTTCCTACTTACCTCACATTGCTCATAGCGGTTGTATTGGCATACCATTGGAGCGTTGGGTCCGGATCACCTTTGGTCAAACAACTCCAAGTATGCCGAGAAAAAATGTTCGGCTTACTGCTGACTATTGTTTTGACAAACGTAGGCGGTTCTGCAAAAGAATTTTAAAGGCATTTTAGCATTTAAACGTTGTCTAACTTAGGCATTTAAAGGCATAAATACATTTCAAAATTAATGAACTGTTTGATTGTTGGGAAAAAACATCGTTTAGACGTATATGCAAATGTGTCTCAAAGGCGTATCTTATGTTCATCCTATGTGAAATTCAACCCTTAACAAGTTTCTCATGTACCTCTAACGACAATTTTTGTTTCCTCTGACGCAGTTCTCTTGATATTATTTTCGTCAATGGTCACGTGACACGTGTAATTTCCCGCGTTACGAGACTTCACGTTTTCAATCAACAATACTCTGTTGTATTCCAAAAGAGCGACGCCGTCAATTTGATGAAACACTTGGCTCTTTTTACCCTGCAAATCCGTCTTCTCCCAACGATACTTTGGAGTTGGACTGGATGATTTTAAAAGAGACGTTAAAATTAGTTGAATTTTGCTGATCCCCCATTCTACCAATTGTCAAAGGAAAGTGGTTTGGCACGAAGATATGGCGTGCTTTTGGATTTGGGCTGGGAAAAACTTAGTTATAATGTTGGAGGTAGTTGGTGATCAGATACGATTGAGGACTAGTTGTACCTTTCCATTAGAAATATTGTAGCTTAGTTTCGTAGCGAGTAAAGAAAGTGATGAACTGCGAACTTACTATCCAGCGGCAACACATCTTAATTTTACTATATCTCCCCGGGCAACTTCTTGGTTTGGGATTTTTTGAACGTCAGGACCAAACGAGGTGATGTTCTCTGGGAAAACAAAAAATCGTTTGTGCATATTGTTTTAACTATATGTATTGTGACCTCCTGGGCTGCTACTTGAAAAAAGATATACCTACCTCCTGTAGTTTTGAATCTAAAAACTCCAGACTTTTGAAAGTTTAAGCTTGAGCCGCCTTCGTTGGCTTCGATCAGGCATCTTATGCCACGGTTTTGTTGAATGGATGCTAGATTAGCTTTGGTGACGTGAGAAAAAAACAGTCTACCATCTCCCATGACCAATGCGTTCTCGACGTCGGAAAAGAGCCATGTCCCCCAAGCAGTGAGTCCACCCCATTTGTAAATGGCATACTTGGTGTAGCCATGAGGTGGACAATCTATTGTTAGTTGTTGTCCGACAGTAACATTAAGTGTTTGATCGTTGTCGTTGAAAAAGCTGCCAGCAACTGCAAGGAATGATATCATAGTTTGCAAAGGAATCGAAAGAAACGTAAATTTTGCTTACGGCGGACATTGAGATGCGTGTCAAATTCAAGTGCCACTGAAGAAGTCAAGTTTATCGCCTCATATGCCGTTCTTATATAGCCATATGCCGTTACATAATCATGCATGATTCATAATGAGCATGCGCAATGATTTGACCGATATACAGTCTTCAATATACGATAAAAATAGTGAGCACGTTAACGTTCTCTTACGTACCCATGAACTCCACTTTAATTTCGCGCCCAAAAAACTTTCCTATTTGTGCTGTAACAAACAACTGGTATACTCCTTGCATTGCTAATGATTGTTGTAGGAGTATTAATCTGGGCCCTAATGACAGCATCGTATTCTTGTCGATATTGCTTCCATTGTGATACCATTGATACTTTGGATCTATTGCCCCCACTACCGTGCTTCGTAAACCCCTGAAATTGTTCATCAAAACGCGATAATCCGTTGGTTCGTTCGTGAAACGAGGTTCACTTTCGACTAAATGAGAAATAAATAATGTTAAAACTTTGTTCGAGTATTTTTTAGGGATTGATAGAAAACGCGATGTAGATTTTATCATTAAAGATCTTCACAAAACATATCATTTCCATCTCTAAAACACCGTGACATGTTAGGATGTACATAAACTCAATGTGAATAAAACAATAAAAATTAATATTGTTGATCACAAAACATAACATTTTCATCTCTAAAACACCGTGACATGTTAGGATGTACATAAACACAATGTGAATAAAACAGTAAAAATTAATATTGTTGATCACAAAACATAACATTTTCATCTCTAAAACACCGTGACATGTTAGGATGTACATAAACTCAATGTGAATAAAACAATAAAAATTAATATTGTTGATCACAAAACATAACATTTTCATCTCTAAAACACCGTGACATGTTAGGATGTACATAAACTCAATGTGAATAAAACAGTAAAAATTAATATTGTTGATCACAAAACATAACATTTTCATCTCTAAAACACTGTGACATGTTAGGATGTACATAAACACAATGTGAATAAAACAATAAAAATTAATATTGTTGATCACAAAACATAACATTTTCATCTCTAAAACACCGTGACATGTTAGGATGTACATAAACACAATGTGAATACAACAATAAAACTAATATTGTTGATTTCTATGCTTTTTCGCCATACTTTGACGTGGTCAACCTATGTTGTTTTTCTACTTGTTTAGTATGTAACATATACGTAACATTGACATGTGACGCGTGTAACACGTGATACACACTATTTGTTAAGTGTGTAACATATTCGTGGCATTCCTTCCACATTGTAAGGCTGAGTTTACACTATACCGGATTCGCTCATCACGACATCTTCATTTGCTTTAAAAGGTTAACTGTTCGGAGTAAAAGCTTATTAAGCTGATAGATTTAGTCTATTTAATTGTGTTTCTGACGTTGAACAATTTCACTACCTTTTAATAAAAAGAGTATTCAACCTGCTTCAATAGCAATCCGGTATAGTGCAAACGGGGCCTAATATTTACATATCAGTACTACTATTCCTTACCGGTGTGTATTTTGTAACACAGCAACACAGCCGTGACAACAATAGTCAGTGATTTCATATTTGTTAATGAATTTTTCAGTTCAAGACGATAGAATAAGCAAACGTTGTTGAGAGATAAGCCACAGAGCAACTGACTATGGTATTTGAGCAGTCTTTAGCGATGGTGTATCATACATCAGAAGGATATCCCGTCAGTATTTTTCTTCTAGTGGGTGAGTTTTTTTCTGCAGGACTTCCTCAGCTGTCATCAATTCTTGTTAGTTGTGGTTCTTCCGAGCGTTTTTCCTAAAGAAAGAGTGTCCCAGACCTGTCGCTATTAATATTAGGTTAGTTTCAAGATACTGCGCTTGAGAAGCAAAATATCAATATTTTTCAAGGTTATTTCAGTAGAGGTAACTTCTAGGATCTTTTCTTTTTGTTTAACTTGGCTTAGAGCATACTTTTCAAGACAGACAACTTTGCTTTAATGTCCTTACAGTCGTCGAAAACATCACGACTTACTGATGATTTCAAAACGCTGTCACACTCGAATTAGCCCGATTATTGTTTTGAAATTTTCATATGCACACACTGCGCGCATTAAGTTGTCAAAGTTGCGGGCCTGTCATCGTGCTGTTACCTTGCTATCAGTATGTTCAAGGTGTCGTTCAAGGCGTTAAGTCAATGATTACTCCCATAAATAATAAAAGAATAAAATTGCTCACGTATTGCGTATAGAAATGGATGATTAATCGGTGATTAATGTATATTGGCAGGCATTAGTGTATATTGCCAGGCAGACGTTAAATTAAAATAAAGTGTACTTTTCAAACGCAAAGTCGGGTGGGGTCATTGCTTGATGCTAGTTTTGCGTGTCAAAAGTTACGAGTTTTGCCACACACTAAAAATTAATTGTCCACTCACCATGTTGCTGCCACGAATAAAAGGTTTGTCACAGTGTGACGCTCAAACGAGAAGAGAAAGTGATTATCCAAACACCGAGATATTATCAACTCTTTGAAAACCTAGAGCTGTGATTATCCAAACACCGAGATATTTCAACTCTTTGAAAACCTAGAGCTGTGATTATCCAAACACCGAGATATTTCAACTCTTTGAAAACCTAGAGCTGTGATTGGTTTCGTCATGCTTTTTTTTAACGATCCTTCTGGACTTCCTTGGAATTTCCTTTTCGCTGTGCACGAAAACAAACTTTTCTCGCGGAAAGGACAAAATTGCTCATCGAATGGGGCTTAATGCTTTTTTAATCAAAATAGGAATCGGCACTGGATGACCTGGTTGTACGTCGATGTGTGAACACATATGTCGATGTGTGAACATGTGTGTCGATGTGATTGTGTTGTGAGAACCAAACCTTTGTAAAATTTGAGGTGTAGGTTAGCTCCGTAGTTTGTTACGTGACAAACATACGTCACAGTACAGCGTAAAGCTAACTTCGTAGCTACGTAAGACAACTGCACCCAACCCTTGTCCAGTTTGGTTGATATCTCAGTTGTTCTAACTGTCTCTGCCTTAAATATGACCAAACACTTGAACCCATAATAACTTATGTTTGCGTGCGATAATGTCTGTTTAAGAACACTTACTAATCACACGGTTTGTAATTTTAAAATGTAAACACTGGGATGAAATTAGCTTAGTGTATTATGAATGTATGTAAATCCTGAATGACAGGCCCTCGTTAAAGAAAGAGATGCGAAAACCGCGCGTTGAACTTACAATCATCTTGAAATACGCCTTGTGTTTGAAAAATGGAAAAATGCTAATTTGCCGTATGGCGTCACAAATCAACGCTTTGTAAGATGTAGCGATCATGACAACCGAAGCAATCCTCAAACGTTGAAAATTTTCCATTTGTTTGATCTCGTTGTTGTTCTATTTGTTTTGTTGCAATTTTTAAACACTTGTACCTGTCTTGCGTCATTTAATTTCGCATTTCTCCTTCAAAAATGTCTTCATGTCACACGAAGTCACCCGAGCGGGCAGTGTGTCACCGAATCGCTTTTTTCGGCGCATTTTTTTTCTGCCTAAGTGATAACAAGTTTCGTTTACCTTCTAGTGTCCAATTGCTTTCCGAGAGTGGTCGGATCTTTTCAATGCACAGGTAAGATGCAATAAAATCCCTCTTTATAATTAAGTTGATACAAACGAACAAAGAGTTGGTCGGCAGATGGCTTCTGTCTATAGCTTCCTCATAGCTCTTGTTTTGTGCACCTTATTTGTGTTAGCCACGTTAAAACGGCGTATGCGTCTGACTTGAGGTTCGAACAGAAATGAATAGAACGTTGTTATAGAAGGTTTCAAAACAATATATCGGTCTGGTATCGATTCGCTCATTTGAATACGATGAAAAGGCGTTTTTGCTAAATTTGCATATTTTTGAAAACGTCATCTACTGGGCAGACACTTGATTTTGCAGAAGGCACGGCTTCCATGAGAGATATTAATTTTTATGAAAAATTTTCACCTCTCAGTCGCTATATATACATAACGAATTGCAGATGGAAATTGGCTGTACCATGAAAGATTTGTGATTTTGTGTTTACACGTCTTTCTATTAAATAAACCCTCAAATTAAAATATTAATAGAATGCTGAAGAAGTTTTATCAGTTTGTCAAATGTGAAAATTGGTGTTTTGCTCATATGATTGTAAAAGGGTGCATAGTTTTTGTTATTAAATTATATTGAATATAGAGCAGTAAATACCTTGGGTGTGTACCAGAACGCTTGTAGGCTCCAATAGGCCGTTGCTCTCACTTAAAAAAGGATGTCACAATGCAGTTTCGCTATTTTTTCCTATAATATTTAAAATACGACAACATTTTCCTCAAATAACAGACTTACCTACAATGAACGAAACAATTGAAGTTATTTGTAATTGGATATGCTTGCGGATGAAAAGTTCAACGACCATATTTCAACACTATTTTATTTCGTTGTAAAGTGATACGCTTGTTTATTGGGAGAAACATACTATGTTATCGTTATTGCATAGTATGATTCAACATGTTCACGTTATTTTCTGGGAACAATGACACATCCTCTCTAGTTATAGAAATTCTTTTATTTAACACAAATGGCAGAATTCTACGCCCTTGAAGACATTATATAGTTTAACGTTAATTCTCTATAGCAAAAAGAATCGAATTTTGTTTATGATTTACTGTATAAACAAGCACAACTTACAATGTAAAAACTGCTTTCAACATGTATTGAAAGGATGTACAAAGACACGGTTGAAAAGCTAATCAAGATTAGTTATAATAATAGCGCAACTAATCACATTTGTTTCTGATTGGTTATCTTGATGTACCAGCCAATCAACAAGCGATTTTTTTAAATCACTGGCGCGACCTTTCGAACTTTGACATAAACACTTAGAACACGATGACAAATGTTCGGTTGAACTGTTTGAACTGTGCTCAGATTGAACACGAAAGTAATGTACGACATCTTGTACAGAAGTTGGCATTGCCAATCGGTGAAGAATGATTGTTGCATTCGATAAAAATTGAAAAAGCTCGGTTGTATCGTCTTTAGTCATTGCTGACTTTTTTGTTTTGAGTACAAATCTCAGATGAAAGGTTTTGAAATAACGATTTCTTGTGGGGATCATGCAAAGTTACGAAATATTGTGTAATTTGTGTTTAGCATGTCCTCTCAAGACTATGAAGTAGCAGTACCAATTAGGACAATAATTAAGTTGTATAATTTCTAATTTGCGACCGTTAAATCAGCTGTGTTCCCATTTAGCAAACATATAGCAAACATTTAGCAAACTTTAGTTGAACGTAAGCATAAGTAAGCACAAAATATGTTGATTTAAATTTGGAATTTTTAAAATTTCTTATCAGACACTTAGTCAAAACCTTTCAGCTTTAAAACCCCATTCTGTTTTTCTCATTATCTTGTGTGGTTAACGTGCTCTTTCGTGCGGGATGTAAGTCTCGCTACGTTGGCGAGACTGTCTCACCCGCCATCAAAGAATTCAAAAGAAAATGCTATTTCTGGCAAGAGCTCAAGCATGTTTCTCCGCCGCAAAAATAACCGCAATTCAGAGTCCTGGTTTCCTGTATTAGACGCAGCGCACACTCCTTTCTCTTTAATACGCAAAGAGTCGCTTCATACAAAGAAACTCGAATCTAATTTCTAAACCATCATCGCTATCTTTTTATTTGCTAATTACAAACATTACGCGCTAATATAAATAAACTTCCGCGTCTATTGCGTATTTTACATATCAAGAAGCTATATATGTAAATGTTTTATGATAAATATTTGCTTGAGCGTAAGAATGCCGAAACATGTTTGCTTTCAAAAAATATGTCGTATACAATATCAGTTATTCGTCTACAATAAATATCTAATAAATAAACTATCATGCTGCTGTTAACTATGAAAGCTATTATTTGTTATACTGACTAGAAACGAGATGGATACAAAATGAGATTAAAACCCTATTTGTACTGATACGCTTGCAAAGTTCTGTTCCATTATATGAAAAGGTTTTTTGGTATGCATGGTATGCTAAAACTGCTTGAAATATTTCGTAGTTCATAGTTTATGGTAATTTATTTCGCAGAAAATATTTGTGGGAAAAGCAGCAAACTTTGATGAAGTTTTTGTAAAAATTTTCAAAATTGAGGCGTGAACTATCAATTTTACTTTCCAGTTGCCATGTCAGGGTCGATGTTAATATGATCATGAAACCCTCTACGATAAAATTTGCTATTAGTCAAATTGAGTTCTTTGGTTTTTATTCATTTAACTGCAACGACATGTAAGTTGTTTGTCTTCTTAGAACATTCTTTAAAGTTTCTATGTTTCCTTGGCAGGATTGCGTTTTGATTTTTGACCAGCAATTTCTGTGGAGTAGTTGCGTTCAGTCATAGCATTTCTTTGTTCTCAGTTGATTTCAAGCCAATCCAATTTTTTTCTATATATAGGTTAGTAATGGCGGATGACGGTTTTCCTTTGCAAACTGTCGCTTAAGTCCTTTGTGCCATATGCTATGCATGCAAGATTTTAAGTTCTGGGGCCGGTTTTATGAAGCTCTTAACAACTTTTTAACTACACTTTTTGTAGTTATATCCCGGTCACAATTCTGAAGAAAAGTTAAAAAGTAGTTGAATTCAACCTCGCAGTTAAGTCAAAATGTGTAAAAAAGTAGTTAGCGCATACTGTATTTTTATACAACCAGCCCCCTGATGGTTTTTTTCAAAGGGGAGGGGCTATGCTTCCCTAACATCTTGAAGAGTAGTTTCTGCCAATTTTCCGACATTTCATTTGGGTCTTCTGCAGAAGGTTTCATTTTCCCATTGTTGTTTTAGATCATTCTTAAATTTTTTATTTAATAATTTTCATGTTTTGAGTTTCAGTTGTGTTTTCTTGTTTTTGTTAGTAATGGTCATTTTAGTCTAACCCCCGCATGTGGTTGAATACTTAAATTCCACTCAAATTCCCAAAATCTTTTTGCGGGTCATAAATTATGAAACAGCTGGCGTACATGCATGCATTAATATATTTTCGCCATGCGTAGCGTGAACAGCAGCTGGCTCGCAAATAAGGCAAAGCCAATGAAAATATGACTAATGGGCATTCGTTTTGTCAAAGAATTAGGTCACTTAGCGTAAAACAAACTGTATATAAACAAACATGAATTTTTGTCCATGCAAGACAGCAAATTTCGAAGTTTGGATTTTTTTCCGCTTAATTTTTATGTCATGCGTTTATTCAATTATTCAACTGATTACTTCAGAGAGAAAATGGACTTATGCATATTTAAGTTGTATGAAGAGCTTCTTATCAATTGTCGCATTCAACAAAAATTTGCCTGCCCTTATAGCTTCACAGGGGAGGGCAAATCACTTAGGAAGTGCCGAAAAAAGCAATTTATAGCTGTTTGTTGTCATGAAAGGGAGGGGGGGCAGTTGCTCCCGTTGCTTTCCCCTGGCCTACGCCCCTGTTTTATAAAGAAAGTTATGTGTGTGCACTCTCTACGAAAAATAAAGTCCACACTTCTTCTATTTATATTATATCCAACCATTCTTTTGAACACCGTAACTGGCAGATAAAATCGAACTGTTTATTCGTATTATTACGCACTTTTTTTCGATTTACGCACGTTATGCTTAACTGTATCGTTAGTCCCAGTTTCTCACTCCAGTCTCGCGATATTCCTTAAAAAATCCTAAAGAAAAAACACAGATTATAGCAATGTGAAGTCAACCGAACTGAACGCATTTGGTAAACTTCATTTAAGGGTATAATGAAGTGCAGCAAGTTGCTATGGCTACTTAGGCGAATTAACTCGGTCGTGTTCTATAATAATTTCATAAAACGTGAAAAAAATTTCTTTTCGGTTTACAAATTGAGCTGCAAAATTACCGAGTTGCTCGTTGAAGCAGTTTAAAAAACAAAAGCGCTCTTGTGCTGATCATTAAGTTATAGCCATTCGACATTCTATATTTTTAGTGTGGCATCTCTCGCTGACTCGTTTTTTTAAGAACAAAAGAGTCCTTTTCCTTTTTTAAAGTGGCTCAACATTTTATTTTTCATCTAGTTCTTCATTCTCTCATTTCCTGTCGTTGTGAAATCTGCTTATCAAAACTAATTTATAAAACAAACGCAATAAAACGCATGCGTTGATTGGTCCATGGATGCGTTTGCATTAGCTTGTGCAAACCGATCTGAGCTCAAACAATCAAATTAATAAATAAATCAATGAAAAATTTTCAAAGCAATCATGAATACATTTTGAAAGAAAAATTAAAACGCTTGTTTTAAATTTGTCGGCCGTTTTGCATCATTGTTATTTTATAAAAGAATTAAAAGATGTTTTTCGTGTTTGCACCGGCACGTGCAAACCTCAGAGACGTTTGTGAAAACTTTGCATAAACCTGTGCAAACACAGTAAACATCTTTTTTTCCCCTTTAGTGAAAGAAAATTGAAATATAATTTCTATGTTGTATGTATGCTCAAAGTGGATGGCTCCTTTCGTCGGCACTTGTAATTCTTAAAAACTTCCTCGAATTTTTCTGTAGGATCGTTAGTTCGGGAAAAGACTTGAAATAAACTTCAAATCTTTGAGAGAAAACCCTAGGATCGAGGTACAGTCATTTTTATCATTTCGAATATAATCATTTTTACGAGATAATCTTTGCGAGCCTGCAATGTCATTTTAAAACGGCGGTGAGTTATACTTCATACCCATCATACTATGAGGAGTCAATTTGTGTCGAACGAGAAAAACATGAATGCACCAGTGATATGCACCGTCTTACCCTCACTTGCGACATGACCATAACCACAAGATTGCCAAAAATCTCCGCTCTTTTTATGCTTGTGCTTATTGCAGTTCATTGCAAGTGAGGATGCTTGTGCGTATGATTGTGTTTATGTTAGAAGTGACGACCAGGCTGCTGCTTGAACAGGAAATCTTTCAAATGCTAATATTTATGCAGAACACTGCAATTATTTTTTCTTAGAACTAGTCTAATTATTTCTAGTAACCACTGATCTGATAATTACGGTGGCTCACAAGGGCCACCACACAAAATAAAAATATTAATACACACACAAAATAAAAATACACACACAAAATACATTATACACACGCAAAATACATTATACACACGCAAAATACATTATACACACACAAAATAAAAATACACACACAAAATAAAAATACACACACAAAATACATTACACACACACAAAATAAAAATACACACACAAAATACATTATACACGCAAAATAAAAATACACACACAAAATAAAAATACACACACAAAATAAAATACATATACAAAATAAAAATACACATACAAAATAAAAATACACACACAAAATAAAAATACACACACAAAATAAAAATACACACACAAAATAAAAATACACACACAAAATATGATTGCGGGCGCTTGCACTGTCGGCTTACTCGGAATTACTCGTAATTGATCGTTTTTGTTTTCAAAGTTCTAATAGTTCCAACTTCCAGAGTACATAATAAAATGCATTGATTTCACTGTGATCAATTATTTCAAAGTTCCTTACGATATTGCTCCCCGTATTCTGGTTAAAATTAAGGTTAATGTGTTGTCCTGGTTGCGGCAACAATTCCGGCTCAGTCTCGGAATCAAACACGTACTGTGATGATTATTTATCAGAGCAAAACATTACACGCTTGATAACAGGTTATTTCAATCGTGGTTATCCGTATGGGGCAATCGTCAGACTTTTGCAAACCTCCCGTATTCTGATGTCTATACGGACGTTGAAGCGCCGCTTCAGATCTTTGGGCTTAAGACGAAAAGGACAAGTCGTTGATGAACAAAATTTAAGAAATGCTATAAACCAGGAGATTCAAGGTGCTGGACGACTGTCTGGCTATCGAAGTATTTGGCATGCATTAAGACTTCGTCATGGTATAAATGTGAGTCGTCACGTAGTAGCCAGAATATGAAGGAAATCGACCCAGATGGCGTGGAAACAAGAAAGGCCAGACGATTATCGTAGAGTATATAAAAGCCTAGGAGCAAACGCTTGCTGGCACCTCGACGGTAAGATTACATTAATGTAGTTTCTATGAATTTTTAATCAAACTTATAGATAATGGGGAACAGTTACCCAAACCTAGCTTTTTTGTAGCACATTATTGAGTGCAAATGTCTAACAAACTCTTCCCTTTTTAAGGATATGACAAACTCAAACCATATGGGTTTGCAGTACATGGTGCTGTTTGTGGTTACAGCAGAAGAATTCTGTGGCTTGAGGTTGTCAGACCAAACAAAAATCCAAATGTAATTGCAGAAATATTTCTTAATGCTGTTAAGGAGTTTGGAGGCTGCACATTGTGGGACAGAAAATATTTTACTGTCTGCAATGCAATGCTACCTGAGAGCTGCTGGAGATGATGAATGGGCAGGGGAGAAAGCTCATGTTTATGGATCCTCTCTTTCAAATCAAAGAATTGAAGCATGGTGGTCTTTCCTGAGACAAACTAGGTCAGGCTGGTGGATTGACTTTTTCCAAGATATGGCACAATAAGGTTTGTTAGAGTTGGGTAATACCTACCACATGGAGGCACTGTGGTTTTGTTTTAACATGTTATTGCAAAAAGATTTAACATAAGTAAAAGATTACTGGAATAGCCACTACATTTGTAGGTCGCAACATGAAACCGTATTAGGAGTCCAAGACATTTTGTTCTTTCTGCCAGAATACTATGGGGGTGAAAACTGCCTAATAGAGATTTCTGCTGATAAGCTGAGTGAAATGGAAGAGAAAATTGACCCATGCATTTGTGAGGACATTTACAAAGAATATTTTGATTATGTCTTGGAAAACAAAAATTTGGCATATCCTGAAGGCATAAATGAAGGATTTGAAATTTTTCAACATTTAATTAATGTACCACAATGAAGTTAGTGTTAATTATATAGATTATCACACAACATAATAAAAGTTAAATAAAGTAAATGGTTTGAACCCAGGAGTATTGTTACATGTTTGTAGATATAGATTGTCCAGGTTAGTAGAGTCCTGAGAAGGACTGTTATTGTTGATGTTGACTGACATTTCAACAACCTTAGCAATAGGCATCTTCAGAGTCAAATCGAAATGTCAGTCAACATCAACAACAATAGTCCTTCTCAGGACTCTACTAACCTGGACAATCTACATCTACAAACATGAAAAGTTACCATGTAAGAAGTATTTGGCATAATGATACCCATGCCACAAAGATGAAATAAAAATATACTGTTGCAAAAAGGTTTTTGCAACCAATTGCAAAGCAAATAAAACCATATTATGAAACATAATTTGTTGTAAATTGTTGAATACCATTATGCTAAAACGTAGCATTCTGCCACTAAACTTAAAATTTGATGTTATAAACACGTTATAAGAACTTTGAACTAATTGAATATGTACTTGTTACAAAAAACTGCTAAAAAACTTTATGGAATCCCCAAAGGAGAATTTAAAATTCCATCATCCATTTTTTCTTTAAAAGTATCATATTGCACTTCATCCTTTGAACCAGGGAATAGAGGGAGATAAAGTGTGGTATCACACGTGTTTGATCTTGGATGAACATCTTCCCAAAAGCATAGTGAAGGCATTGGTGTAAAGCCAAGAGGTGGGATGTCATCACTTCCTGTTGCAAAGATTAGTACATCTCCCAAAGTAGCACCACATCGTCCAGCTAAACAGAGAGCAATATACGTGTTGATGTAGCAATTAGCAGTGTTTAATTTCTTCAATTTTTCAACTGCAGAAATAATAATGCATACTTAACATCTTAGTACTACAGGATTTTGTAAATACTGTAAACTAGAAATATAGTCAATGAACTACCTTACATTACCTTCGCAATCTTGCAGATAATCCCTCCAATGCATAAGTGCAAGTTCTTGTCGGGGGTATTTGTTACTTCTAGGTTCATAGAAACTACATTAATGTAATCTTACCGTCGAGGTGCCAGCAAGCGTTTGCTCCTAGGCTTTTATATACCCTACCATGTAATCGTCTGGCCTTTCTTGTTTCCACGCCATCTGGGTCGATTTCCTTCATAATTCTGGCTACTACGTGACGACTCACATTTATACCATGACGAAGTCTTAATGCATGCCAAATACTTCGATAGCCAGACAGTCGTCCAGACTTGTCCTTTTCGTCTTAAGCCCAAAGATCTGAAGCGGCGCTTCAACGTCCGTATAGACATCAGAATACCGGAGGTTTGCAAAAGTCTGACGATTGCCCCATACGGATAACCACGATTGAAATAACCTGTTATCAAGCGTGTTATGTTTTGCTTTGATAAGCAATCATCACAGTACGTGTTTGATTCCGAGACTGAGCCGGAATTGTTGCCGCAACCAGGACAACACATTAACCTTAATATTAACCAGAATACGGGGAGCAATATCGTAAGCAACTTTGAAATAATTGATCACAGTGAAATCAATGAATTTTATTATGTACTCTGGAAGTTGGAACCCATTAGAACTTTGAAAACAAAAACGATCAATTACGAGCAATTCCGAGTAAGCCGACAGTGCAAGCGCCCGCAATCATATTTTGTGTGTGTATTTTTATTTTGTGTGTGTATAATGTATTTTGCGTATGTATTTTTATTTTGTGTGTGTATTTTTATTTTGTGTGTGTATTAATATTTTTATTTTATGTGGTGGCCCTTGTGAGCCACCGTAGATAATAGACTGGATATAGCTTCTATAGGTAGCAAAAGTGAAGCCTAATTATATATGCAAAATGCACTTCCGGGTACCACAAGAAATACAAATTACTATAGAAATGTATGGCGGATAACGTTTACATACAAGGATTTTCGAATATTTAAGGCATTTCGTGACATTTTACTAATCTCAAACATCTGTCATGGATAAAACAAGTTATGTTAATCAATTTGACATCAAAATGATACCAATATCTGCAAAATATCGGCGCTCGTGTTTAATTGAAAATTGCGCGTGCAAGAATCGAATTTGGCCCATCGTTGCAAAGGCAAGATAATTCACAGCTCATTTTCCAAGTTCAGAGGCAGTTACGATCTAGAATGAGTTTCGATGCTTAAAAAATTCGTTTAGTACCTTTCTTTTATCATTCTTTATTATTCTATATTCTATAGACAGTGTTTTATGTTACTTTTGCCGTGACTTCATTAGCTGGGTACTGTTGTTGTAAGAACAAGACAAATTTACTAAGCTTTCTTCCTCTCTTTATTCTTATTTTCATTTCTGTTTTTATTTTATAAAAATAATACAATCACCACACCTTGCTGTAGCATTTGTATATAGCCATGAGTAAGTATGGTTGTTATTGACAAAAGTATCCAACATTTTTATCAATTGCAGTCTATACCGTAGCATCAGGAATTGTATTCCCATGTGGTAAACTGCCATCTGAAGTTAAAAGCACCTTTCTGTTTTATTGCATACTTGAATAACAATAGCTGTTGGTTTGAATCAAAGTACTCATGTCTTTTAAAGGCAGAAAAGCAGATTCACTTTAGTAATTTTTTTCAACCAACAGCTTAACAAGTAGGGCAGGTGGTTTTCTTTGGCAGCATCTGCCTACAAAATTAGCCATGTATGGTATTGCAATCACTTTAAATTCAGAAACAATGGAAAAGCTGTGTGCACTACTATAATCTTGATAATCATCACAGTATATATTTTGTCTACAAACAGAAGTAATTTGTTTCAAACCAACAGCTATTGTTATATCAACATGAAACAAGGCAGGATGGTGTTTTCAGCTTCTGATGGTAGTTTATTACATGGAAATACAATTTCTGTTGCCGAATCTTTGTATACAATGCAATTGATGCACATGTTATGTCAATAACAACTTTACTCACTCATTGATGAAGACCAGGTCCAAATGTATTAGCAAGGCATGGTGATTAAATTATATCTGCAAAATAAAAACAGAAATGAAAATAAGAATAAAGAGAGGAAGAAAGCTTAGTAAATTTGTCTTTTTCCTATAACAAGAGTACCCACCTAATGAAGTCACGGCAAAAGTAACATAAAACAATGTCTAGATAATAAAGAATGATAAAGAAAGGTACTAAACGAATTTTTAAGCATCGAAACTCATTATAGATCATAACTGCTCTGAACTTGGAAAATGAGCTGTGAATTATCTTGCCTTTGCAACGATGGGTCATATTCGATTCTGCACGCGCAATTTTCAATTGAACACGAGCGCCGATATTTTGCAGATATTGGTATCATTTTGATGTTAAATTGATTAACATAACTTGTTTTATCCATGACAGATGTTTGAGATTAGTAAAAGGTCACGAAATGCCTTAAATATTCGAAAATCCTCGTATGTAAACGTTATCCGCCATACATTTCTATAGTAATTTGAATTTCTTGTGGTACCCGGAAGTGCATTTTGCATATATAATTAGGCTGCACTTTTGCTACCTAGAAGCTATATCCAGTCTATCATCAGATCAGTGGTAGTAACTTGTAACTGCTTATCATTCGTAGCAATTTTCACGTGCTTTGCAATGGTGATGCACATGCACACGACCTGCCACGCGTATGTCAGTAATATTTGCGTTCAACAGTTGTTGTATTATCTTTTTGTATTCCCATATTGTTCTTCTGATTTTTGTTATTTGCGATGGATGAACTCACTAAAAATCATTTTCAACTTTTGACTGATGACTGTAGAATTTGATGCTGAAGGAAATAGACTGAGTAATCAGCAAAATAATTACAATTGAAAATCATTCGCACGGTTGAACCGTCGAAACATATAGTCGGAAGTCCTTTAATGTCATGATGAGAACATCATTGTGCCACGTGCTCAGCATGCGTTTGCGCGAAACGATCCAACGTGCTGCTAAACAGAATGTATTACAATCTGCTTTTTGAAATGAAGTAAAAAAATTTGGAATAAACTTTTTACAAACGTTCAAGGGAATTGTTAACTGGTTGATATGGCCACCAAATTTAATAATACAATAAGTTCAGACAGCCAAGGCAATAAGTTCAGGCAGCCAACACGCCGTCTTCACGAACGCACAACAATTCTTTCACGTGAACAACGGATGCAAATGGAAGATAAAATGCTTAATAGTTTTCTAATTTTTCATCATTTGTGGGACACGTTCTCCTCGTAAAGACAACGTTAACGGTTAAGAAATTTTTACAAGTTTGTTGTTGCGATGGGCAAAGGAGAGGTGATATTTCAACGAAGCCTAACACGCGTCGCTACCACATCTAAAGACAAAGAGTTTTCAGTCGTGTCCACAATATACTTTGTGATGATGTATTTGAGAAAAATCCGAACTTGTATTCGTATCTTGCTGTGGATGTAAAATGTCGTGGTCCATTACCAAACGATAGTCCCAGACATACACAACTTATTAAAGAGGTAAGAATCTTCGGCCGGTTGCATTTATTTATGTGAATTGAAAGCGTGTCAAATATTTCTATGTTTATAATTATTAACCACGGATGCATCTTTGGCAAAGATTACCGAATTACAAAGTCATAAAATCAATGATGTCTTCTCTGGGCATCAATACTTCCCCTCCACATAAAAGAAATTTAGAGTATTTACTACGACCCTTTTTAATTTATTCGTTGTGTTCATGGAAGGAGAGACCGGTAACTGTTATTCGTCACCTCCTTGATAGTAATATATGTATATAGTAATATAAAGAAAGGATTTAGCATGTGTACATGCTCTCACAATCGAGATGCGAGTCTCGGACAGTTTTGAGTTTTTGGTTTCTCGCCCGGACACAATAACCCCCAAGTCAACCTAATCCCCATGTGTATGTGTCAATGGTGTTCCACGTTATAATTTATTTTATCATTTTCATGTAAAGAATTACCCAAAGAACACCTAAATGATTAAATTGCTCTTCCGGCGCATAATCTTTTCCTGAATGCCTATTGAAGTTTGCGCATGTTTATTCTGTCATTTCTGTAATGTCAAATCAACGCGTGTAATTCAATCGACTATAACGCATATCCTGTTTCGTCTTCGTTGGCTAGTTTCAATTTTCATACAGTTTGTCAGTTTCATGTTGAATATGATAGGCCAACATGAGAGTTTTGATTGAATCATTACGACAATGAGTTGGAAAAAAAGATTTCTTTAATAATAATATTAGCTCATATCCAAGCTTAAACCGTCTATTAACGCCCAAGGTAACTACATTCTCCTTAACCTTCTTTAATATGTTGCCACTTGACTTCTTTCCAGTCATCCAAGCTTCGTACTTTCTTCCTATGTAATTTAACACCCTCTAAATATACAACTACACATATAAATCATACCAACCAGAACTTAATAATAGGCTTAAAGCCAGCAAGAAACTGTCACTATTTTTATTTCACAGCAACACAATCAACTAATCCGTCCCATTCAATTCACATTTCCGTTCTTCCGTTGAAATGACGTAATAACGCCTCAGTTAGCTTGTATTTTTCTTATTCCTATGTTGGGCTATCATTATATCCTTTGATGAAAGTCGCTTTCCGCCGGACAAATCTCTGTTCACGAGTTCCTTAGTTTCTTGTATTTCGTAATTGGAAAACTTAGAGTTCAAGTCTGGCGGCAGCATATCTTTCTTGTGATCGATCTATCCTCTTTCAGATTGCATATGTTAATTTATGTGTTAAAAATATTTAATTGCTCATCAGTTGAAAAAGGGCGCTTTGCCTGGCAGAATGCACGTGCTTTAAAACAATTGTTTTATGTATTTTATTTCAGTTTGCACATATTTCAAGCCCTAGAAGCTATTTAAGACTTTTGACTAAGGTCCCTAATACTGGAGCATGTCGAGACAAAGGGCTGCATGTGACTTCATTTAACTGAATGTTCCAATTTCTTTACCACATTGCACAATTCCGATTTTATAAATTTCCTGTTTCTCCATCTTAGCTGCATTGGTTAGACGCAGACGTTATCTGTCTTCAAGAGGTCGACCCGTTTTATTTCCCATGCCTGTTACAAGAACTAGCCCCGAAAGGCTACGACGGAAGATTTCAACAGCACACTACACAAGGCGATGGCTTGGCGATATTTTTCAAAACTCGAAAGTTCGAGTTAGTGGATTATAGAAAAGTCGGCTTCAATGAAGTCCTTGGCAAAACAATAGATCTTGATAAATTAGCCAACGGGAACAAGCACAACCAACGATTTGCGCAGTACACTACTCTCCGTGATATTAAATCACAAAAAGAAATGGTTGTAGGTACGAGAATATGTGGATGAACATATTGAGTATATTTTTGCTTTAGTTCCTATAACAAGTGCTCTTGGGTGGGGGACTTGCTCTGGCTGGCTTTGCCGCGCGTTATTTTTCGCTCATCTGTTTTTATTTTTGCTTTTTTAGTAAATGTTCACTTGACATTCAATTTCTGGCGCGAACCAGATGTTCACGCAGCGCAAGCATCCGTCTTTTTCCGACAACTTTACGAGTTATTGCCGAACAAAGCCAAACACAGTACGCCATGGGTTGTCTGCGGTGACTTTAATATGCAACCTCATTTCCCATATACAGACTGATAAAAATGGTTGCTTATCAGAGTTGGATGCGAGAAAATTACGATCAGGAGAATATAAATATCCGGAGATAACAGAAAATATCACGGTAAGTTCATAGAGCAAACGTGCATGCATGGACATATTATTAATAATAATAACGTCATCTTCAGAGCGAGCGAACTATGTAATGTCATATGATATAATTTTTTGAAATATTTACCTTGGTGGGAAAATGATCTAATTGCAATTACATTAAGTCATGATGAGTCTGAATTGTACTGAATTTTTCAGAAACTCTAATTGCACATTAAAGTGATAACATCTCTAAGATTTTAAATACCTTTTTAGACGACAAAACACGACAGAGCCTTAGAAAGAGACGAAGATGTACACGAAATGTTATTGAAAGAACTCAAGCATCCATTTAAATCTTCAAGCAGTGCATATAAAGCAGTGCGGGTAGGTTTTCATCTTTAAGTACTGAGGGTGATTTAAGTGTAAATTTGGAAAACAACAATGTCTATTGTGAAATAAGTCATACTTTTCTTCAAGGATATTTTAGACGTAAATTTACATCAAAAACAACGTGTTTATTGTTAAATAAGTCATTTCTTATTTTTATTTGAAATTCTGTAACTTAAAAGTCATCAATAACCTTAGTTCAATTAGTAACTAATAACTTTGGTGTAAATTTTGTCTTTTTTCTTCTTTGCAGGGTTGCGAGCCAAAATTCACTCATTACGAATGTGATGATGTTTTTCCAAGCGTTTTTCATTTCGATAAAATGATCGATACTCTAGATTACATTTGGTTCTCATCTGACCTACTTCGGGCCAACGCTGTTCTGGAAATAGTGGACGAGGAGTTGATTAAACCTTTTTGCGCATGCCCAAACATGCACTTTCCGTCTGATCATTTATCGTTGAAGGCCGTCTTTCAGTTCATTGATAACGACAACGATTCTGCCTACAGCAGTGAAGAGTCATAGTTTTTTTGTTATAAATTGGCTCCAAATCGACTTTGTAAATAAGTATTTTGTATTTATTTTATTTATAATAAATGGGTAATATTATAGATATGATGGGTTTATTTTTTCTTTGTTGGTCCGAAATAATGTTTCAGCGTGTAACAAAAGCCTGCTAAGTGCGCGAAAAAGCAATCGACTTTAAAGTAAATCTCTGTTCAACTTTGGCAGTAAAGAAAAGTACAGGGCATAAAACTTTTGGAGGGTTGTTCGTTACGCTGTTGACGAGAAGTGCTTCAAGAAAAGCAAGAATGTGGTAGTTGTTAGATTTGGTTGAGTGAAGTATTTTATAGTTGTTGAATATAAGGTTTTCTATAGGAGAGGGGGTTCTGGGAGGTGGAGGGAAATCATTGAGTTATGAGAACTGGTTTTGTAGGGTAGTCAGGAATTAAGCGTTTTCGCACTAAGAGAAATGCTGGCCAACTGAACTAGAAGAGAGTCTGGTTGTATGTTCTCTGACCCGTACAGACAGGCATCTTTGTGTCATGCCGATGTAGGCTTTACCACAGCCAGGGCAAGTTATTTCATATACAAGATTATTGCGAGAAAGTGAAGGAAGTTTGTTCTTGTTATAATAACCCTTTCTCATAATCATGTTTTAACTTTACCCTTCAGATATTTTCTTCCAGTCACTTGGTTGCGAAGGAGCGTTCATGTATGTGGGGACCAGGACTCTCCAAAGTGCATTACACGTATCGTAAACAACCTCACGAACTGTGCTAGCCCCCCGACGATAAGCAAATGCTATAGACTGTGGGCTATCACATGTAGCCAATCTTCTTAATGTGATTGCTAGTCTTTCAGCAGGTCCAACTGATTGCCTCATTTGAGTATCTTGCATACGAAGAGATGGACCAACCAAAGCCAGCAGCTCATCAAATATTTGAGGGCTCATACGAAAATACAGATTAAACTGCTCCTCATCGGTTCATAGTTCTTGAACCAAGTGCAGAAAATCTCCTTATGCTCTCCTTTGCCTGTTTAATTGACGAACCCACCACCTTTTCATTTTATTATTATTTTTCCGTTTTTCAACCTCTTCCAGCTCGTACAAAATGCGAACAAATGCTAGTAACTTAGCATGATGACTAGACGCCATGTTGATAGTCGCAATGTGGTCGCAATGCTCGCTTTTGCATGTGTGTTTCTGACGTTCAAGCGACTAACGCGCGCGCATCAATTCGCTTTAGTAGCGCGACCAAAGCGACTGCACAGCGTGTTTCAGCCTTACAGTTGCATGCGTTCTTTTTCATACAGACATCATGTGAGCCTTCGTTTTCGAACTCTACCTAAGACTGCCGATGTTATCCTTTTCGATGTTATCCGAAAATAATTAATACCACGTGCTTATAAACCTCCAATTACAGTGTTGAGATACGAAATTTCACCTTGCAGTTTTCTGATTGCCTTTCAAAATCCTTCTAAACTGATGTAGCGATGTCTTCAGTTGAATTGCGTTAGTTCTTTCGGAGACTTTTACTTTGCTCATAATCAAATTATGACTTTACTTGGTACGAAAACATTTTTTTAAAACATCATTTTTTTCGAATGCTTAAAATATTTATTCCATTGATATGTGTTCAAGGTTGCTAAAGTTCGATGCATACTGTTGATGAAAACTACTGTTTGTCAGAGCTAATGAAGTAACGTAATATCCTAGTGATGATGTTGGAACGATCCTCAGATGAGGAAATTTAAATATTTTTAGAAAAGCAATCAGAAACCTGCATCATGTATTCTCAATTAACTTGGCTCTCGTAATTCCTTTATTGCCTGTGATTTTTTGAAGATAACAAAAATTCAAACTCAAGAGTTTTTGCTCAAAAACATCACTGTTGCTGTTAGCTGAACTCCCTTTCACTGAATTGCAGCTTTATTTCGCATACACACGTTGCTCTCGACAATTGTATTTGACAATTGTATTGGAGAATGCATAAGAATTTGTATGAAATAAATGTGACTTATGGCTCATCTTAACAGTCACTTTCATGCTGAAGCTGTGAGTTTTGATTGCTCGAAACAAACAAGAACAGACACCAACAACTCAGAACTCAAAATGTTGAGTCAAGTTTTACACAAAAACTGCCAATATTACAAATCGATTTAATCGTGCTAAGATTTCTTTATAGATGTTGTATGTTTGTACTGTACATGTAGGTACTAAGCCAACAGCCTGGTATTCTATCTTACTGTTTTTCTTCATTTACTCTTTTTCAACAATTCGAACCCTGCTCATTTGACTTTTCTTCCATTTGTTGCAAGTATAAAATGCTTTTCTTCGATGGCCACAACTTCACATCCTCTCCTTCCAACAATATCTCGCTGTTGTTCACAAACTCCATTCCTAAATTGATACCTGGCTCTTCTTGAGGACTGTCGTTTTCATCCACATGAAGCATGGCGTGCTTAAGCGCGTATCTATTTGGCTTCTCTAGACACTTCGTAAGCATATCTTTTGGCAAGTCATAGGCGTTTTCGTAGTATTCGGTGCAAGGCTGTCGTGCCTCTTGTATCACGCTGTCTGGCGACTCGTAAATATGTTCTACGTCTGCATTGTTGTGATTCACCTTTCTATTATCGAATACGCCGTCCTTGTTGCCACGGTTATCGCCATCATTCGCATTAACATTGTCAGTCTCATTTGCACTTTGTACGCAATTATCAGTTGTTTCTATTTCTTGATCGTTAGGGATTGCTTCGGTGATACAAAGGTATTCTATGCTTGTAATCACTGATTCTTGCGTTTCAAAAGGCCTGTCATTTTCAGTAGGGTGTTCATGTGATTTGTATTTCTGTAAAACCTTATCCGGCTCCTCGTACAAAATATTTTCTTCCAAAGTGACCTGAACGTTACTGGACACGTGATCTTCATCCGGGATTGTTAGCTCCCCGCTCGAACAACTCGTCCACGAGGACATGCTTTGGAGATCATCGTTGTGATTTTCGGGTCCTGCGTTGTTTACGACACCCACGTAGTTCTTTTTCGTATCAGATTGCGTGTTATCTAATGAATGACGCGATGATGGTAATGTTCGGAGTCCGACGCGTGGAAAATCACGCAATCATTTGGAAGCAAAATAATCGGGCAGGAAGATTGTGACCACGAGCGTGTGTTTGAGGCCATCTGTTTAACAAATAAGTAAAATTACAATGAGCAAATGCCAGGTGAATGAAATATTTATCTGTAGATTTCATAGCATGGCAATGTCAAAAAACAAAACGACTTTTCACTGAAATACACACAGCAGTGGTTTCAAGTACCGACAGAAGAGTGAAACCTATAAACAAAATTTTTCATCGAAATCTTACCAAATTTTCCTGGAATCCATTTTCGATTACACTAAACTTGTCTCTTGAGTGTAATGTTGAGTCATGCACACGTATACTGCTATATATCGGGTCTACTCTTTCCCTCGTCACGAGATTCTCTGCATAGTGCGGCGGTGGTGTTTCTCTTCCTTCCTGCATGCCATGATTATCTAATGTGAAATAGCAAAGCTATTTGATCTGATTGGTCGCCAAACATGTCTGACTGTTCAATGGAGGAAAATTTGTCACGAGTTTTTTTTGTATTTAGGAATTATCTTTTTTTAGAATTTTAGCTCTGCTAGCTAACTGACAAATTTTCATGTTTGCAGTGAGAATTTTGAAAAACTTCCTTTTTTGGGATTTGAATTTTTCGAGCTTGAAGTTTACATGGACTATCGTGGTCTTTTTATTTTATTAAATCATTAGTTACTGCGTTACATTCGCGGTTAAAATAGGAGTTGGTGAAAATACTGTACATCATTCGCGAACAATTTTCTTTGATTTTAGCAATGTTGTGAATTGTGATTCGTATAAAGACGCGAAAACTTGTTTCGAACTCAAGTGTTGCAAAATTATCACTGTTGAAAAGTGAATGTCTGCTGGTTTTGAATCAACATAACTCGCTAACTCACCATAATTTGACGTTGCAATATTCTCCAACCGCTTTCTGCATACAAGAAATTAAAGATAAATTCACAACTCCTGTATAAACACGAGAAGCGATGGTCATGATTATTTACTGTACGCATGCGCATACCTCAACTTTTCTTTTTGTTTCTTTCGATGTTTGTAAACGAGGAAGAGTATTATACAGAAGACTTCAAATATCGCAAACGCCATGAAAGTGTAAACCAAAATCCAAAATGTTTTTCCTCGTTTGTCTTCATTTTCATTCGCTGTTGTATTATTGGAATTCATTTTATTTTGAGTAAACTGGTTATTCTTTTATATCACGCGTAATTTCTTGTCGACGAGATACGTCATTCAATATGGTCATCTCTTGGTCATTGTTTCTTTAAACACGCTCACCTTTTGAATTGTCTTTGTAAGCCTTAGCTGAGAAAAAAAAGAAATTGTTGGTGTAGTCACAAGTATCAGGCTTTCGTGGGTCGGCTGTTAGCAGTACTTAAACATTTTCTGTGGCTGCGTATGTTTTTTTACACAGTGGCATTAAGTCTTTGAAGTTATGTTTAAAAAAGAAATCTAGGATATATTTTTCAAAGAATATCAAAACGCAGCGGTTCGATGTGCACACCATTGTGCACAAGATGATTTTCATCAATTTTTCAACAGTTATTTAATCCGACATCTACAATCTATAATTTGTTAACTGCTGTTTAATATTACTTTAATAGTCTTTAATAAAACATTTTGGTCAATTTCACTTCTTGGAATTTCAATCAAGTCCGTTGAAATTTTAAGCAAGTGCGTTTGATGGAGCACTCATTGCTCAACACACAAATTTCTATTTTTCATGCTCATGTGTCTATTATCTATTGAACACGTATTAAAGTTGAAATTTGGGAGGTCGTTATTTTAGTTCGCTATCTTTTTATTGCTCAAAGACATTTGGTAGCCCTTGCAGTCGGGATTACTTGTGAAAACCTTGATGAAATTTTTTGATGATGACATTTTTTTCATTTTATTTTTCAGAGAAAACTTGATCGTGCAATATTGGAAGATCAGGAATCATTAATTTGGTATGTGTTTGACTTAAAATTTTTGCAATATGACCTACTCATCTGAGTTTGCGTGCAATCGTGATTATTCTATCGAGTTTTTTTCCAAATAAATGCACTACAGTTTATGGCAACAAAATTCCTTTTACTCAAAGTCTTTAAGCAAATCTTTTAGAAGTAATATCACAGTCGACTCTTTTGTTTCATTGCCAGCCCACGAATGAACTATATTGATGCGATGTTTTTAAGGCTCTTGAGTCCTCCCTATGTTACTAAGACGACGGGAAGTTTGAAATGCTTACGCGTTTAAGCCCCCATATTATGTAAATGCAATACAATATGTTATTTTAAATGATCTATAATTGAGAAATTTAAATTTGATACGATGAAAATGAGACGACAGAACTTGCTTTCTTGTGACGTTCTCAACTTCGCAGTAAAAATTAAGCATACTTTTGAGACATGCATTTGGTGTTTTTGCGCATTTCTTTCGAAGATTATACACGAGGATACATATAAGGATACACGAAGCTTCACTATTAAAATATTTTTAAGAAGGGAGTGTAAGCAAATAATATACTATCTGACAAAAGTAGAAAATTATAGTTTAGAAAAAACATATTTTAATTTCATCCACAATTCAATATTCATATATCATGACAACTTAAATTCTGGAAATCTCATATCAAAAAGTGAAGCGACTCTTTACCTTTAAGAGTGAATATCGTTCTACTTCTTCGATGAGAACTGCTTTTCGAACCTCTCACGTTGCATTATTCTGTGGTCGTTTGGTCTTTATCATTGTCTTATACTTCGAATGACGAAAACTTGATGAACATTCGTGGTATTGATCGCTTGTATTGATAGATAATTAGAACACAACCGCGGAAGTTGTGCTTATAAAGTCAAGATCAAGGCATTCCTATGAAAGACATTTAGGCAGGATGTTACGACACGAAAGCGGTGCTTTTCACTAGCGTACTGTCTGTTCTAATGTTACTTTGTTTTAAAACATGAAACGGAGTTTTCGATGAAGATGTTAGCGCACCGTTGATGAGTGTTCGACTGCCATTAAGTGTCGTGATAGTACACAAGTCGCAACATTTTAGGCAAAAAGTAAACATATAGCAAAAGTGAAACATAGTTACAGCGAGAATTGCGCAACAGAAATTATGAGATCAGTTTTATTGGTAATTGGTAATAACCATTAATAATATTTCGTCCATGTCGCCAGTTTCTTTCATCAAAGTTACATGATTAGAAATATGAATATTTATAAGTAGTGGACGTTTTCCAAGGCGTGTAAAGGTTCCTGCGATCTTATGATTAAAACAGGATTGATAGGACTGTTTGATGGCTGCCTTTGTGAAATTTCTTCACGCGCATTACTTGAAGGAACTTCTTTGTCGTCATTCAGTCAAAGAGCTTTAAGGTGGTGGCTTTTATATTACCCATTCAAAGGAAAGCGATGACAAACAGTCATTAGTTGTTGGAGTTATGAATATTGCTCTGGGAACTTTTTTGAAAGTGAACCGCTTTTGTATCGAAATATTTCAGATGAAACCAGCTTATTAATGACAAGAAATATATTTCTCGAGACTAATTTTATTCACCAATTGTTTTGCGTTCAAGATATTGTTTTTCTGCTTGTCAAAGGGGATTCCCAATAAGATTTTTTAGGAAAATGATAAAATATCGATTACAACGATTTTCTCAAAGATATTTTATGTCAAACCAGTTTTGCCAGGCCAGTGAAGATCATAGGCGCCAGTCAGTGTTGGCCAGACTCAAACCTAAGTACGCAAAAATGGGTTTGAAAAGTATCATAACAAATTGAGGTGAATATGGATTATAGGGTCGTCGCTATTTCTTATTGTCTGTGGTTACCAAGTTGCTAAATATGTACACACTCTAAAATAACTGTCAAAATTAAATCAGTACTTTACAAAATCAAGTGAACAATTCAGCTAGCAGCATTTTCACTTGTACGTTTCAATTGAATGAAAGCAAATGCAAAGAACGAAATTTTCAAGATGGAAAACTATAGCACTGAAAAACTTCAAACCAATATCCATCAGTGCAAGTATTGGAATCAAAGAATTGCTTCAATATTATAAACTAATACTATGTTTCAGACATGTACTAAAATAGGCATGCCTGCGGTGTTATTCATCTACGTCGCAATGTTATGGTCAAACAATATAAGCTCTCCTCTAATTAGGGTGTTCACATGTGTGAGTTTGAAAAAACTACATTATGTTACATATGTGTATATTACAATAGAATAATGTACAATGTTGTCTAATTCTTTGATTCTTCAGTTTTGCTTTTGTTTTGGTAAGACTTTGATAGTAGTTCAACTCGTATTGTTGTTCTTTTAACGGGTTTCTTTTAAACTCTGGTAATTTTCTGGGTCTTCATAGTTATCTGTGAATGAATAAAATGATATAGTATAATTTGCTGTTGGATATATGCTGCTTGACATGTTTATCGCAGAATTTAACTCGCCTGATGAACTTTCTTTGTCGCCCTGGATGCTTTGTTGCCCCGAATCTGTGGTCATTATCACATATGGTGAATAGTCATCTTCTACGATGTAATCTTTTGGCTTCTCAGAGTTTGTCACGAGAACACTGCAATTATAAATGCAATAAGATAAACACTAAACAAAGTAAAGTGGCGTATAAAACAGAGAGTTTGTCGTTGTGAAAGGCACATTTGCGATGGTGAACAGCCAAAAGTTTTTAGAGTTCCGAAAACCAATAAAAGCCCAAAAGTTCTAAAACCCAAGAAATCCATGAAAAGCTCAAGAGTCCTGAAAAGAACTGTTTTATACAGTTAGAGCAGTAATTGAAAAGTTCTGAAAAGAACTATTTTAGATAATTCAGACGCTATGAATTTAGGCAGACAACTCGTCAGATGTCAACGTCTGCCAGCTGTTTAGAGCGGTATAAAAATGATCAACGTACATTTAACTTTTTGGCGACTGCACCATGTCACCATGATTATTACTATATGATGTAGCTATTTATACTTTTCATAAGCTGATTATATTTATTATATTTCAGTGATAGCCACTTCCAGGCAGCATTCCTAGACTACAATAATAGATGGAAAACTTATGATTCATTAGCACTTGAATGATTTTACCAACAACGTAGGTTGGTTACTTACTGGCAACCAATTTTTTACCCATTAAATTTTTACAATGACATGCAGTATAGTGTTGCCTTTATTCCCTGTAACCTATTCACCGTTTAATCTTGGACAATATTCTACACAAATACAAAAATTCCCTCACTTTCCTATCTTTTTCCTCAAAAACAAAATAACAGTTATCAAAGCCACGATAACCATTACAGCAAACGCCAACGTAACGACGAGGGCTACGAAAGATTTGTCGTTTATAAATGATTTTGCTTTTCCTGTACTTTTCATTGTAGTTTTCTTTGCATTGCTAAAGACAAAGTTGTATAATGTGAGTGCCACGTTCGTGTAACTGCATATGTATAATTAAGTAAAAGATGTTTGCTCTGCACAGGCTTATGCAAACCGAGGAGACCTTTGGGAGAAACTCGAGAGCAGATCAGTGCAAGCCAGAGACCGAAGGTCGAGAGTTCTCACAAACGTCTCTGAGGTTTTTTTTAAGCCAGTGCAAACACGAAAAACATCTTTTATTTCTTTTATAAAATAAAAATAATGCAAAACAGACAAGTTTAAAGTTAACGTTTTAATTTTTCCTCTAAAATGTATACACGATTAATTTGAAAATTCTCTTTTAAGGATTGATTGTTATGATTGATTTGATTGGTTGAGATGTGTTTTGCACAGGCTAATGCAAACACAGCTCTAGACCAATCAGCGCACGCGTTTCTTTGTGTTTATTTTATAATTTATTATCAAAAATGCGTTGATCTGTGCAAACTGCTTCCCTCTGTTCCAAATGTTTTCAACTATTTAAAGCAAGTGCGGTTGTGTAAGCTCTCCAGTGGGGATCTCGTAGTAAAAATTACCAAGTCTGGTCACAACGCACGTTGATCTCACGCATTCTGTATTCACAACCACCAGAATAGTTTTATGCAGGGCTCCTCGACGTCGATAATTGGGGGGGGGGGCAGCAATTAGTCGTATATTCGTAGTCACAGCTCGTACAAAACAATTGATTTCAAATGAAAGTAATCAGGCAAAAAATGCATATATGAATATTTACCCCCTGACCCATTATCGACGTTCCAGCTTCCCTGGTTTTAAGACATAGCTATGTAGTTATTATGCTGTATATACTTGCATGATGCTTTACAATAAGTAAATATTGAGAAAAAGCCAATGCAAGACGTTCAAGATCAATTCAAATTTTGAGAAGATGGTGGGCATTCCATGTTTTCTGCACAAATGGTCTTGCTGGCTCAGATCTTAACATGGGTTAGCTCACGTTACACCAACGAACATGTTGAAATCCGTTCTTCAGTAAACAAGATGGTTTTTTTTGGATGTGTTTTATGTTAAATGTTGTATAGAAGCTATAGACTTTAAACACAAGATCGTTGTACATACTCTTTATAAAGTGGATTGTTTCACTTCATGGTGCATTACCTTTTTTATCAATTGGAATCAAATATAATTTAACAATCTAACCTTTCACATTAGTAGTTGTTGATATATTTCTTGACGCTCGATATGTGAAAGGTGTTTTGGAAATCACGGAATTCGACGTTTTCTCTGAAATTTTAGGAATTCACTTTTGGTATATTGTAAGGTTTGAACGTGGTGTATAAAGCGTGACATATCATGGAAAATCTATTATCACGGTCATATATATAAGAGTGCATTGTACATCTGTAAAAACAAGTATTGCAGTCACCTGACATACCTGATGCCATTTGACAGCAGCGAAATTTATCGATATTGTTCAACTCATTTTTACCATTTCCACGATAGAGACCTGTTATGTAATAACCCACTCTCTTACAAATGGACCAGCCTTTTCTATTAAAATCTGTTAAAGAATGCAGAGGTTTGAATTAATATATTTGTCCTAGTAGCTGCACTTACTAAACGTGCGCAGAAACACTAGAATTTTGTTCTTTTGTGAATATAAAACTTTCTTAAAAACGGTGCTGGATGATAGTCAAAAACAGGCCTTATATCATCCATTTAATTGGAGTGATGAGCTTTTATGAAATATGCTTGAATATTTCAGGCCTAGGTCTGTTCACATTTAAAATATTATTGGTGTACAAGAATAACGAGTTTCCTGCTTTCCTCTAATCAACAGCTTGTTAACCACCATCTTCGTCGTGCAAAAAGATGAAAATCTCTTAAAAAGTCTTTGCATGCCTGTGAAAGTTTATTGTTCCTACACGATCATACATATGAATATAGCCACAACAAAAAAGAAAAAATTGTTTTTGGCATAATTCCATTTTCACCATAATGCAGTTTGGTACAAGAAACACTTGCCTTTTGCTATATTTTCATCATAGCACAACCCATAGCGAAGAGGGTGAGATTCTGGCCTACAGCAACGACCGCGATCAATCGAACTCAACGTTGATCTATTGCTGCGATACAATCCACTTAAAAAGTGCCCACGAGGACACTCGCTCCATTTTCCATTTCTAAATTAGTTTTATGGGCGATCAATGATATGCCATCGTAATTCGTTCTTATCCAAAATGGTAGTAGGAATTGTACCTGTTAAGCGACGTACTCCAATTAGCTATCCGGCACACGCCAGGCTCGTTATCGTATGTTTGTGTTGATTCACAGCACCTTGCATCCTCCAAAAGATAAATGGGATCATTTTTTCTTGCAGTGCTACGACGAAATCCGGTGATGAAATGATATTTGTTCTTGCATATGGACCAGCCTCTCGAGTCAAAACTCAACCTCCAGCTAACATTTGCACATTCTCTTGTGCTTGCTAAAAAAGACACAATTGTGTTTGTTTATTTATGTCATAAGAGACCCTCTAAACAATCTTTTATTTACTGACACTTCTCCACTCTCCGTCGTTGTTTCTCAGTGGTACCATTACGAAAAAAGCTACTGATGGAATACTTTCCGAATACCACCATCCTTTTCTAGAAACTTACTTCTTCAACAAGAAGTAATCTCTGCATTATATTGTTCCTTCTCGAAGTCAATATAAACCTTCTGTGATCATTCAAATAAGTAGTGCTACACTTGGCAAGTGTACAAAGTCATTCCTTTTCTAAGTCACTGATCTGCAGTTATTGTTCATCTCAGTAGCGCTACCCTTTACACAACTATTCATTCTCTAACAAGACTATCATCCTCAAGACACTTTTTCTATTTCTCTGTCTTTAGAACTCTTTACATAAACAGTCATTGTTTCAACTGAATGAGGTTATGAGATGAACTGATGGATTGTTTTGGCCAGCTTACAGCTGAGAACCGTTTTCCCAATCCCGGCAAACGGAATATTTTACCAAGAACCAATATGCTGTTTGTCAAAGGTTGCACAATTCAGTATTTCGTACAAAAAACTTAGACGAGCTTTCTTCAATAGCCAGCTCATAAACATCGTTCTTTAAGTTAACATCCTCCACGTACCTTTATGCCATGCACCTAAAACTTTTGCTTTCACACACTGGTCGGTTGTGCGATCGGAAGTTGAAGGACATATGAATTGTAATGTAACGATCGTGCCTTTCAACTGAGGTACGGGTTTTAGCCACTAAAGAAAATAAACTCTCATTATACATTATGAAACACACATTGTACACTATGAACCAAATAATCATTATATTTTGCTGCAAGAAATCGTCTGGTTATACACAGTGATGTAGCAGACTCTTTACTTGGGAGGGCACATATTCATATATTCATGTTCTGCTGCATTAAATTCCTTTGAATCCATTGTTTTTAACAGATGCATATATGAATTTGTGCCCCCATTTAACTGGTACGCCATTGCTTTTACGGGGCGAGCCCTGTCGAAAAAAACAGAAAGAAGGTCTTCTGTAAGATCTGCACAAGACTTCACACTTGTTAAAGTTTGTTATTTACATGTGAAGCTTTTGTAAACTTTCCATGGGAAATGGTTAAACAACATGTAAAAATAAAATAAACATACGATTACTGTGAAATTTATGTTCAAGCACTCTATGTAATTTGGATGAAAATGCAATTTGCGACAAACGCTAGTGTTTGTTACTGACCACCACCTATTAGGTGTACATGGTGTACATGACCGTAATCTGTGAAGTTTGATTCGACGTGTATTACTATTAGTAATTTTGGTAATAATTATATGAATTTCACGATGTTTTACATATGTCAGATTATATTCATGTTTTTTTCTTGAATCGTGCATAATGATTTCAGGGCAAGTGAACTTACTGCATATGTCAACACTCGTGACATCCTTTTACATGGTAAATTTCTAATGCAAATGATCGAAATAATTTTCTATGTATTCACATCGGATCACGTGATCTCACTAGTGATATTTCATGTGAAATTTACGAAAGTGATGTAATTATCACGCACTTTTAAAGTTACGTTATTTTTTTGTGCTCTTAATTCAACGTAGGACGTGTTGAGCCAAGATTGCTCGCTGTCACGGATTATGTCCGGGAACTTCACCAGTGCTCTCTCGAAGCGACAGTTCCTCATTGAATTCCTGTGGGTGTTGAGTGCCGACCGATGTTTTGGATTGTGTGTCATTATATGACCACGCACTTGCAAGCATTTCTCTTCCTTTGGGGGATCTTGAAAACAAAGAAAAATAATCTATATTTGGTAAAAAATGGCGGAGCAAACGCAATCTGTTGCTATGATGATTCGATGGTAACTGCATATGGACGTATATTAAACAGCTGCCCTTTGCCTTTAAAGGAAAAGTAACTATTTATCGCATTAGTCGCAACGTTTTACAATCAACCTGGATTTCTAGAAAGCATGCGAGTAAATGATTTCATGTAGACGTCATACGCTGAAGAGCTACGCCTCCATACTTATAAAGCAACAATCGATATAGCCGATAGTTTCGTAATAGCTTGTACCGAAGAACACCAGGACCAACGGATTTCTTTTCAAAGTACAATCGCACATTCAAAGTCAGGCAGATCAATCGAGCAGAGTTGATAATCCACCCCACACACACTCCTTCCAATAAACGTTGTATATTACGATGAACTCCGTCTCCGACAACACGTTTTGAAATTGCAATGTTTACAAGCATTTAGGAAGATCTTATGTTTTTATCCTAAGCTAGAAAATCGAATGCCTTTCGTAAACTTCCCCCTCCTAATCATGAGGACCACATATAATGGCCCTGATGATTAGGTAATCGTTTCGTTTATCATTAAGGCATATATGCGTTGGATATCCATAATTCTTGTACAACCTGTAGCTATTGTTGTCAAGCGCTTGTCCGTGTTGGCAACACATCCATATCGAACACCGTCGTTATAGAAAGAAGGATTTTCAAATGTGCACAAACAGGAACCATCTTTTTGACATCGGGAAAATCTGCTGCACACATTTGCATCAATTTTGCAGCCATTGATTCCGACATAAAAGCTGTCGATAGCGTTCCTGTAAACAGCGGTTGTTTGGCCGGTCATGGCAGCAAGACCGAACTGTAGATACCACGAAGTCATGAGAATAGACTGTAGGTGCCAGTTGTTCACTGACATCATTGACTGGTGAAGAAAAAAATTCAATTGAAACATGTGGTATTGCAGTACATCAGGATGTGCGAGATACTACAGTCCATCACATTTTCATCATTCGCAGAATTCTAGTAATTAGACGTACATTATTTTTTATACAAAGTGTGGAACATCTTACCAACGATCACCAGACTGAGGTACTTTCCTACAATGCAATTCACAATGGGTCAAAATGAATTATATGATTCATTACAGAATTAAAAGAATGTTCTTCATCAACATTTTCAATTCTTCGTCAATATTGACTTGACTGTTTTGAGTATTTCCATTTCCTCTTCTCAAGTTTCATATAAAGGAAGTATTTGTTGGATCGGTTGGCTGTTGCTAGCGTTTTGTAAACTCCTGTTTTCAGTGCTTATTCTTATGACAAGTTTAGACGGTGCTCGAATGACAAATTATGTCTTTCTTTTGTGTTTCAGTTTCGGTTGTTTAAGTAAGGGGCGGTCTTCAGCATGACTCAAGTTGCAGTCTCGTGATTTCAACACTTCAACTTCAGTCTATTCTCGTTCTTTAATATTTATCTAAGCTCAATTATACTCTCTAAGCGAAGGCGTTTCCAGCGTAGATGTTGAGTGTCGACATAGTAATGTCGAAATCTGCTTTCAACGCAACTAAAAGCCGGGCTGCGTGTTAGGAGAAGCCAAAAGCGTTTACAATAACGTAATCGTAAAGTGATGTGACACAAGATAAGATTAATGAACTCTGTCCCGTACGCCTTCACGCAAGAATCGCGTGGCATCACTGAAATGTATAATGATAATTGTTTCTAAGTACGTACAATTATCATTGGTATTGTAAATGCTACCCAGTTAGTGGTAGCAGTTTCATTTTTACAATTTTTATGACCATTCGTGTATTCTTGAATTGTGTCGGAAAAAGGAGTGCAAATTAAGGAAAAAAATAGGAGTTTTCTACAAAAATTAAATAAATGTCATAGCGCTTCCTCTCTGTCTCTCATTTTTGTAAATTTCACGATGGTGTCTTCTGGTTTACTTTGTTTGTTTGTAATTGCTTGATATTTGATTAATGCTCATGCGAAAGTTTATATATATATTGACAAGGAAAAGTTGTAAATATTCACCGTTTGGGTACCTTTGTATACTAATCCAAAGCGTGTCACCTAATTTAAAGTCTATTAATATCGTATGTAACAAATTGAGTTTTTTCTCCTGCCGTTCTTTTAGAACTTTAACCAATGCTCAAAAGTTGCTTTTAGAAGCAAGTAATGAGCGATCTCAATAGTAAATATACACTAAACTTTAATGAAATAATCATTATTGGTCTGTTTAGTTGCATGATTAAAACACTAGACGAGACGTCTTTATCAAACAAACTGTCAAATATATCACTTAATCTGTCAAAAGCTTGTGCTTTCAGCTAACGTCTTAGATTTTGACCATTTTATCGTCAATTGAATTGGTCTTGGGGTAAACATTGCTTATAGTCGACGAAAAATTTCCGTTTTTATTTACGCACTACACCGACGAATTTATTGAGACCATTGTGGTTGTCTCAATTTGTCGTCGACGTCGTATCGTAACACCTTTAAGCAGAGAACATCTAAGAGTTTCTTTTGCGGAAGACTTAACTAACAATTATGGCTAACAGCAAGAGAAACTTTTGAAATGTCTAGAGAGAGAGTGTGTCTGAAAAGATGATGAAAAATGGAGAGGAGTTGATGATTTAAGAGAAGCACTTCAACAGAGGATCCACGATTTCATTCAGGGCGGGCTGTGTCATTTGAGCATTTGACATAAGGAATTTTCATCAACAAACTGTTATCATAAATGAGCTCAGCTATAATGAATGCGCTCATGCTCTTGGACAGTCTTTGATCGCAAACAGGAAAGTTGCGAAAAAAAATGCTGATATGGTGTGTACCGTGTGTAGTGTGTACTAACTATTGAAGACTGGTTTGAATGAGAAAATAATGCCCATGTCATCAATAACATAGACATAAAGAATTGTCACTAGGCGAAATTGAAAAAGAAGAAGAAGAAGAAGATAAAGAAGAAGATAAAGAAGAAAAAGACCTATGCTTATTATTTCTTGCCTCTTTAAAATGATTAGTAAATTGTTCCTGCGAAATCTTACCCATGTACTCATCAAACTGCAAATTTTTGCTCAAGTGCTTCCAACTGAATGGGAGGTAATCAATTCAATGTGTCCAAGTAGAGTTGTTACCAAATACGCAAGCCAGCAAAAGTTAAACTAAACAGGAAAGTAGGAACTGGGCGAATGAAGGATGCTGGAACAATGTTTAATTCGGGGGATTGGATCCTCGTGCAAAGTTAGTGAAGTATTTTTGAAAACTAAAATAATTTCTTGTCAACTGACTATAAAATGGCCGTTTAAAGCCCTCTATAGGATCTGAAAGTATGAAATCTTCTCAAGATTTTGCATCTCAATTAACCCCTCCTCCCCTTCTCTAATATTAAAAGCGTTCCTGCGTCCCTAAAACTAAATATTTTAATTTTAGCAAGCGCATTTGATAAACTAAAAAAACCAAAGACGAAAATTCGCTTGACAAAGCTTCTATTTAAAGTATTTTTGATGAGGTAGTAGTGAAATTGTTATTGACGTCTCCTCTAGGGCATGGGTGGGCAACATACGGCCCGCGGGCCGGGTCCGGCCCCTGAAGAGATTTTGACTGGCCCGCCGACTGTATCCGACCATTGAATTCTGAATATTATTCATGTGATAATCCGGCCCACCAATAACTTCATTTTCCTAAATCTGGCCCGCCGACTGGAGAAGTTGCCCACCCCTGCTCTAGGGACTGCCAAACAATGCAATAAAGAACGGAAGCTAAATAAAAATGCATTCCGTGTTTTATAAAGTAAAGCAATTGCACAAAGCAGGGGGTTCGAGTTTCCACTTAGAAGTAACTTCAAGTTAATCATACAATACAAGTTGTATTGTTGTAACAACACATATATCCAATCATTTATCACATTTAGGCCAAAATATTGCCCGCCATCTTGGTGATATTTGCTGACTGGGCGATAATTTTTGTCTAAGTGACAATTTTCCAAATCGGGTGGTAAACAGACAATCATTTGGTCGTGTTATCTTACATAATGATTGAATTACGTTTCCTCGGTGATTTGTCCTTTAATCTTTCTAACATCTTTTATAAAAGCCTTTGGAAAACTGGTGCAACATTATGAAATGTTCATATACTGCGGCGAGTGAATGATTTGTCAGAACTACAACGAACGTAGCTACAAAGACTTAGCTCGAGAGAAATGGTATGGCGTCGAACTTGGACGATCGGGCATGTCCGCGGTTTTTGGACGGATTCCACAAGAACATTCTGCCATGGGATCGTTTCAATCGATGGATTACATGCTTCTGTGTGGTCACATTTGATCTCGAGTTGGGCCAAGCGATGGAGGTAGAGGAAGAACAGAAAAATATCTTTTTAATGTAGGAACGTTGAAGTTTTCTCGTGTACTGATAAACTCCAGCTGTGCTACTTGAAGAACAACCCTCAAACTGCCTTTTTTGCATCTGCTTGCTAGTGCACGACTGTTTTGGATATTTTCCACTCTCCGATGTTGAGAAGACCTTGTATTGGATGTTCAATTTCCGTTTTTATGATAGCTTTTGTCAATAGTCATTTTGACAATTCTCTCGTTTTCTGCTTTTAATAGTTGATATATCCACGATTTGTTCGCCTATCTGAGAAAGAGGTAAAGTTTTAGGGAGTTGTTTTATGTAATTAATGTCTTAGAATGGAACAGCATGGATAGTGCTTACTTTTACTCCTTTTTGTGCAGAAAATGAGCATATGTTATTCAGCATTTCCTGATTCCAATTCAGGCAAGTTTTCTTGTCAATAAAGATGATGAAGTCTGGCACCTGTATTGAAAAGCTTCTGTTTTCTTTTTAGGATGTATGGGGGATACCCAGTTTCACTTTCGAATGAGATCAGAATCTGGTTCATGCAAGAGTAAAAGCTGTTGTCGATCCAATGAGAATGGCTTGCCATTTGGTTACAAAGTATGATAAAGTAACAGTGTTTGTATACACAAAGAGCATATTCACGAGAAACCTTCAAAATAACTGCATGTTGCACACATTCACGTCAGCATCATTTTGTCCAATAAATTTACATTAAAGTCAGCCGAAGGAAGAGAAGTCAAAGTTTGCATTGTTTCCACCACATATTTTCCCCAGCTCTAAGTGTTGTTGAACAAATAGGATGCTGACACAGTGAACCATTTGTTTTCCCTAGAGTGACTTTGGGCATTATTATGGCTTTGTGTATTTTCGTCAAGTAAAGGATCCTTCCATACCACGAGGCTATTTCCAAAAGGTTAGATCAGTATGATGCGCATTTGATTGCCTTGCTCATTGTCATGGTTACAAAGATGGAGACATTGTCGTGCCTTAATATTTTTTAATTCAGTATGATTATTTTTTCAGTCCATAGTGCTTATCACCAGGTTGCCTTATGTCAACTTTTTTTCAGCTGTGGTAAGTGTGTCAAACTCAACTTCCCAATGTCTGTAGATAGGGAAATTACTATTATCATCCATTGCTTATTGTTAACATACACCCAAGTAATCCATTGCTTACTAATCTCTAACTGTTTACAATTCAATGAAACAGTTTTATTCAAATAATCTGTTGTATGTTTTAAAATTGGTTTTGATGAAGGCATGCATACTACATTATGCTAAGCATGATAATGCTTCTACATTATTTATGCTCTACAAGTACGTTCTTGGGAGGGATTTGAATGTTTTTTAAACTTGAATTTGTTGTGATATATGGAACATATAGAATAGAAGCTTTGTTTTTAATCAAGGTAAAACTTGTTGCTCCTGGATATTTCAACATACTTGAGCTGGCACTTGAAGCATCATGTAATGACATTGATCATTGGCCCTACCCTGTTCCTGGTCAAACGCTTTCACTACCAATCATGGGCTCCTTGATACAGGTTTCTTTGTAAAACTTGTGGATTATACTGCGTACTTGTGGTAACCAACCGAAATTTGTTTAGTAATTGAAGTCTGTCTTTGTACTTCTTCTAGGTTCATTTACCGTCAGGAAAAGACAAACCTGGAACAATTCTCTCACCTAGTTCAAGTCTTGAAAACACAAATGCCATTGTAAGTTGAAACAAATTAAATGCTTAAATTTTTTGTGTCAAACATCCTCAAACTTTGTATATCATTTCGTTCTCATATTGATGTCACTTGCTGACTTTAATGACAACCAATGTGAGATTTATTTTAAAGATTGAGTTTTTTGTGTGACAAATTCATTGAAGACAACATGTGGGTTTAAATGCTTTATTTTTTCACAATTGTACTGTACTTATATTTCTACTGTAATGCATTTGCAGCACACATAGTTCAAAGTTTGAAACAGGTCTACATTAGTGAACTGCATTTTTCTTGATGAATGCCATAATGCCCTTATTTTTTTGTGACATAAATTGAATGTCACTTTGCGCATAGAAATGCTACAATATAATAATTTCTGAACTGAATCTTAGTACCATGTCTATTTAGCCAGCTCCTCCAATCCAGATTTCAATTCCTTTACTTAAAGAAACAGATATGTATAGGTAAAATTTTATAAATTGTGATTGGTTGTTTACTCTCTTGAAATATCTCCACCATGAAATATGATGCAGGTCATGGCAATATTGTGAAGATTTTATTTGTAAGTATTTTCAAAACTATAGGTGCATCTCTCCTGTTTTGAACAGCATCCATTTGCTCTGGGAACTTGTTTTATTGAACGAGGTTTGGCGCTCTTTGCATTTATTTACTTTCCATTTAGATAATTTAAATTATTCGTTATTCCGTTGTTCACAATGAATGAATGAAAAATGATATGTTGAAGTAGAGTTGCAAAGTACATTTTCGAGACATGCATCTTGACAGTAGTCGTGTGCCTCTGAATTAGGAAAAGTCAGTTCGGAAACTTCAAAATTATCTTTTGCGCTGTCGTAAAATAAATGACTTGATTAAATCTAGCATGCGTAATTAAGTATTAAACATCGAATAGACCTTAAATAGTAATACATTAGTAACAGAATTTAAATCAATGAATCACATGTTGACAATTTTTCTTCCGTCCAGCCTAAATTCAAAGGCCTGTAAACCGGTAATCTGTTGTTCTCTGGTACTAATCTTGCTATACTACGTATTTTCCAATTGTACTTAGATAAATTCTGTTTTTGGATTGCAATAGTGCGATTTTTAGTCGATCATTTTTTGCGTTTTTTTTCAGCCGATTGTTGTCATGGCTCCTTCTCCATCTCTCTGTTCGGACGTTGTCCAGACTTTGATAACGTATGATGAATTTAAATATTAATTCGGTTTGAATTTTTGTTAGTCTTTTCATTTCCTAGCTGTGTCGTATTTCTGAGTGACCATTATGTGTAGTCTACTTTAACTTAGTTTTTTGTTTGTTTGAATCTTGAGTGTCTTGAATTTTTGAGTGTCTTGAATCTTGCAACCCACAACTAATACATTCAATCACAATTATATGTTTTCTTTTAGCTTGATCCATCCACTGCATTTCAACTCGGATTTCCGCCCATTTTTTACAATACATGATAGTGAATTCAAAGAATACACAACAAAAACGCACTCTCCGTAAGGAAAAAAATGTGTTTCTTATTCGTGAATATACAAAATCCCATCTACGTACCTACGTAATATTCGATCATGTACTTTTTCACCTTTAGTCCACCAGTTATAATTGGAGTGACCAATCCATTTTTTGCTAAAACCTTACAACATTGGCCTCATATCTTACGAATAGGAGCAATGAATGACTTAGGTAAGACTTCAATGGTAGTTTTAATGGGAGCAATGAATAACTTAGGTAAGACTTTAATGGTAGTTTTAATGGGAGCAATGAATAACTTAGGTAAGACTTCATTGGTAGTTTGAATGGGAGCAATGAATAACTTAGGTAAGACTTTAATGGTAATTTTAATGGGAGCAATGAATAACTTAGGTAAGACTTCAATGGTAGTTTAAATGGGAGCAATGAATGACTTAGGTAAGACTTCAATGGTAGTTTAAATGGGAGCAATGAATAACTTAGGTAAGACTTCGATGGTAGTTTAAATGGGAGCAATGAATAACTTAGGTAAGACTTCAATGGTAGTTTAAATGGGAGCGATCAATAACTTAGGTAAGACTTTAATGGTAGTTTTAATGGGAGCAATGAATAACTTAGGTAAGACTTCAATGGTAGTTTAAATGGGAGCGATGAATAACTTAGGTAAGACTTCGATCGTAATTTAAATGGGAGCGATGAATAACTTAGGTAAGACTTCGATGGTAGTTTAAATGGGAGCAATGAATAACTTAGGTAAGACTTCAATGGTAGTTTTAATGGGAGCAATGAATAACTTAGGTAAGACTTCAGTGGTAGTTTTAATGGGAGCAATGAATAACTTAGGTAAGACTTCAATGGTAGTTTTAATGGGAGCGATGAATAACTTAGGTAAGACTTTCATGGTAGTTTTAGTGGGAGCAATGAATAACTTAGGTAAGACTTCAATGGTAGTTTTAATGGGAGCAATGAATAACTTAGGTAAGACTTCAATGGTAGTTTTAATGGGAGCAATGAATAACTTAGGTAAGACTTCAATGGTAGTTTTAATGGGAGCAATGAATAACTTAGGTAAGACTTCATTGGTAGTTTAAATGGGAGCAATGAATAACTTAGGTAAGACTTTAATGGTAATTTTAATGGGAGCAATGAATAACTTAGGTAAGACTTCCATGGTAGTTATAATGGAAGCAATGAATAACTTAGGTAACACTTCAATGGTAGTTTAAATGGGAGCGATGAATAACTTAGATAAGACTTCATCGTAATTTAAATGGGAGCAATGAATAACTTAGGTAAGACTTCAATGGTAGTTTAAATGGGAGCAATGAATAACTTAGGTAAGACTTCAATGGTAGTTTTAATGGGAGCAATGAATAACTTAGGTAAGACTTCAATGGTAGTTTTAATGGGAGCAATGAATAACTTAGGTAAGACTTCAATGGTAGTTTTAATGGGAGCAATGAATAACTTAGGTAAGACTTCATTGGTAGTTTAAATGGGAGCAATGAATAACTTAGGTAAGACTTTAATGGTAATTTTAATGGGAGCAATGAATAACTTAGGTAAGACTTCAATGGTAGTTTAAATGGGAGCAATGAATGACTTAGGTAAGACTTCAATGGTAGTTTAAATGGGAGCAATGAATAACTTAGGTAAGACTTCTATGGTAGTTTAAATGGGAGCAATGAATAACTTAGGTAAGACTTTAATGGTAATTTTAATGGGAGCAATGAATAACTTAGGTAAGACTTCCATGGTAGTTATAATGGAAGCAATGAATAACTTAGGTAACACTTCAATGGTAGTTTAAATGGGAGCGATGAATAACTTAGGTAAGACTTCATGGTAATTTAAATGGGAGCAATGAATAACTTAGGTAAGACTTCAATGGTAGTTTAAATGGGAGCAATGAATAACTTAGGTAAGACTTCAATGGTAGTTTTAATGGGAGCAATGAATAACTTAGGTAAGACTTCAGTGGTAGTTTTAATGGGAGCAATGAATAACTTAGGTAAGACTTCAATGGTAGTTTTAATGGGAGCAATGAATAACTTAGGTAAGACTTCAATGGTAGTTTTAATGGGAGCAATGAATAACTTAGGTAAGACTTCAATGGTAGTTTAAATGGGAGCAATGAATAACTTAGGTAAGACTTCGATGGTAGTTTAAATGGGAGCAATGAATAACTTAGGTAAGACTTCAATGGTAGTTTAAATGGGAGCGATCAATAACTTAGGTAAGACTTTAATGGTAGTTTTAATGGGAGCAATGAATAACTTAGGTAAGACTTCAATGGTAGTTTAAATGGGAGCGATGAATAACTTAGGTAAGACTTCGATCGTAATTTAAATGGGAGCGATGAATAACTTAGGTAAGACTTCGATGGTAGTTTAAATGGGAGCAATGAATAACTTAGGTAAGACTTCAATGGTAGTTTTAATGGGAGCAATGAATAACTTAGGTAAGACTTCAGTGGTAGTTTTAATGGGAGCAATGAATAACTTAGGTAAGACTTCAATGGTAGTTTTAATGGGAGCGATGAATAACTTAGGTAAGACTTTCATGGTAGTTTTAATGGGAGCAATGAATAACTTAGGTAAGACTTCAATGGTAGTTTTAATGGGAGCAATGAATAACTTAGGTAAGACTTCAATGGTAGTTTTAATGGGAGCAATGAATAACTTAGGTAAGACTTCAATGGTAGTTTTAATGGGAGCAATGAATGACTTAGGTAAGACTTCAATGGTAGTTTTAATGGGAGCAATGAATAACTTAGGTAAGACTTCATTGGTAGTTTAAATGGGAGCAATGAATAACTTAGGTAAGACTTCATTGGTAGTTTAAATGGGAGCAATGAATAACTTAGGTAAGACTTCAATGGTAGTTTTAATGGGAGCAATGAATAACTTAGGTAAGACTTCAATGGTAGTTTTAATGGGAGCAATGAATAACTTAGGTAAGACTTCATTGGTAGTTTAAATGGGAGCAATGAATAACTTAGGTAAGACTTTAATGGTAATTTTAATGGGAGCAATGAATAACTTAGGTAAGACTTCATGGTAGTTATAATGGAAGCAATGAATAACTTAGGTAACACTTCAATGGTAGTTTAAATGGGAGCGATGAATAACTTAGGTAAGACTTCATGTAATTTAAATGGGAGCGATGAATAACTTAGGTAAGACTTCAATGGTAGTTTAAATGGGAGCAATGAATAACTTAGGTAAGACTTCAATGGTAGTTTTAATGGGAGCAATGAATAACTTAGGTAAGACTTCAATGGTAGTTTTAATGGGAGCAATGAATAACTTAGGTAAGACTTCAATGGTAGTTTTAATGGGAGCAATGAATAACTTAGGTAAGACTTCATTGGTAGTTTAAATGGGAGCAATGAATAACTTAGGTAAGACTTTAATGGTAATTTTAATGGGAGCAATGAATAACTTAGGTAAGACTTCAATGGTAGTTTAAATGGGAGCAATGAATAACTTAGGTAAGACTTCAATGGTAGTTTAAATGGGAGCAATGAATAACTTAGGTAAGACTTCGATGGTAGTTTAAATGGGAGCAATGAATAACTTAGGTAAGACTTTAATGGTATTTTAATGGGAGCAATGAATAACTTAGGTAAGACTTCATGGTAGTTATAATGGAAGCAATGAATAACTTAGGTAACACTTCAATGGTAGTTTAAATGGGGCGATGAATAACTTAGGTAAGACTTCGATCGTAATTTAAATGGGAGCGATGAATAACTTAGGTAAGACTTCAATGGTAGTTTAAATGGGAGCAATGAATAACTTAGGTAAGACTTCAATGGTAGTTTTAATGGGAGCAATGAATAACTTAGGTAAGACTTCAATGGTAGTTTTAATGGGAGCAATGAATAACTTAGGTAAGACTTCAATGGTAGTTTTAATGGGAGCAATGAATAACTTAGGTAAGACTTCAATGGTAGTTTTAATGGGAGCAATGAATAACTTAGGTAAGACTTCAATGGTAGTTTAAATGGGAGCAATGAATAACTTAGGTAAGACTTCGATGGTAGTTTAAATGGGAGCAATGAATAACTTAGGTAAGACTTCAATGGTAGTTTAAATGGGAGCGATGAATAACTTAGGTAAGACTTTAATGGTAGTTTTAATGGGAGCAATGAATAACTTAGGTAAGACTTCAATGGTAGTTTAAATGGGAGCGATGAATAACTTAGGTAAGACTTCGATCGTAATTTAAATGGGAGCGATGAATAACTTAGGTAAGACTTCGATGGTAGTTTAAATGGGAGCAATGAATAACTTAGGTAAGACTTCAATGGTAGTTTTAATGGGAGCAATGAATAACTTAGGTAAGACTTCAGTGGTAGTTTTAATGGGAGCAATGAATAACTTAGGTAAGACTTCAATGGTAGTTTTAATGGGAGCGATGAATAACTTAGGTAAGACTTTCATGGTAGTTTTAATGGGAGCAATGAATAACTTAGGTAAGACTTCAATGGTAGTTTTAATGGGAGCAATGAATAACTTAGGTAAGACTTCAATGGTAGTTTTAATGGGAGCAATGAATAACTTAGGTAAGACTTCAATGGTAGTTTTAATGGGAGCAATGAATGACTTAGGTAAGACTTCAATGGTAGTTTTAATGGGAGCAATGAATAACTTAGGTAAGACTTCATTGGTAGTTTAAATGGGAGCAATGAATAACTTAGGTAAGACTTTAATGGTAATTTTAATGGGAGCAATGAATAACTTAGGTAAGACTTCATGGTAGTTATAATGGAAGCAATGAATAACTTAGGTAACACTTCAATGGTAGTTTAAATGGGAGCGATGAATAACTTAGGTAAGACTTCGATCGTAATTTAAATGGGAGCGATGAATAACTTAGGTAAGACTTCAATGGTAGTTTAAATGGGAGCAATGAATAACTTAGGTAAGACTTCAATGGTAGTTTTAATGGGAGCAATGAATAACTTAGGTAAGACTTCAATGGTAGTTTTAATGGGAGCAATGAATAACTTAGGTAAGACTTCAATGGTAGTTTTAATGGGAGCAATGAATAACTTAGGTAAGACTTCATTGGTAGTTTAAATGGGAGCAATGAATAACTTAGGTAAGACTTTAATGGTAATTTTAATGGGAGCAATGAATAACTTAGGTAAGACTTCAGTGGTAGTTTTAATGGGAGCAATGAATAACTTAGGTAAGACTTCAATG